GAGTGAACTACTGACTTGAAAAAGATAATGCAGTTGATGCTCCGTAGAGCGCTGATGTACATTGTTCACCGGCTGCATTAATTGAATTATTGAAGAAATATTCTGTTTTGAGCCAGAAGGGCGTTATATCTTATACTTTAACACAAAGATAAAGCCTATCTCGCTCTGAACAGACGGTATACAGCTCACACATGGTATATTCACATAAGCCCAGCTAGCATCATAAAGTATGAAAAACATTTTTGGAAATTAACGTCGATATGAATTTATTGATGGTTCAAAACTAATTGGTTGAGTTTATCCCGTCTTATAGAGACGGATAACACGTTCAAATAACGGCTGCTTAATTTACAACATATACTTTCGTTTTACAAACACTCTAAGAAGAACAGAAAAGGGTTTTATTAAATTTTCTGAGTATATTAATTTTGCCACTTCATGCATCGGGTTAATGTTGTTTGGTTTTTCTTCATATTGAAGCGGGTACTTCAAGACATCCAAAACATGTCATTCTGTCATCCTACAGCCCTCAAGTATTTTCAAGACTTCCACGTTGAAGATTCTCGATCAATCTGAGTGGACTTCATTTCCTCTAATTTCCCTTCACAAGCGTTAGCTAGATCGAACGCATTGTTAGAAGTATCTCCCCCCCCCCCTCCCTCGCCCTATATCTCTTTCTCTCTTCATCTGCCTGTCTTAATCTCTTCCTCATGTTTTTAAATATTTTTTACAAATCATTTTCCACCTCTCCCTCATTTTATTTCAAAAATAAGTACGTGCCACTTCCAATATTATCTGAAAGAAATGACAATATATTATCTAAAACAAATTTGAGACGACTATAAAGTGACTTGGTTATATGCCATGAATCACTTTTTCTACGCACTTACTCACTTCAATTTGCTCACATATACCATAGATACCTATCTAATCGACCATCGGTATTTATTGTCATCTTAATTTTCGCTCCTCCAGCTTTCACCAACTTTTATCACAGGCACCTATAAACTCATAAAAGCAAACGGAATCTAATTACTCACGTATCAAGTGTTATCCCTTCCCTACTTATTCATTTTAAAGAAATCAAATGTTTCATCGATATCAAATAAAAGATGGTCTGTTATTATCACGTTTGACTGTAATATGCTCCTCTTCAATGCCACTCTCCGATTCGTAACACTTATAATGTCTATAACTGTCACATCGTTCTTGACCTTTATAGTTCACTTCCTCGTGCTTTAAGTCTATCTTTATTTGGTTGCCAGAAAGGTTCCTTAAAGCTATTACAAAGTTTTGGTATGGGGTCATGAATTTGGTTCAAATGAACATATTGGAAGCATATACTATCCTACAATATTCAGTGATCGTTGTCGCGGTTGAAATCGAGTCTAAAGTTATGAAATTATAAATAACAAACTCTTTATGTTGTATAGCTCCCTCTCAAGGTCAATATATTAATCAAGCTATAAAACAATGTTTCTTGACTACAATCGACCGATTAGCTATTCCGGTTTGGAATTATATATCACAACTACATATTCTGAGATTTTCATGGTGGCAGCTACCATTGTACGGCCGTAGGCGCTATGTGAAAATTATCAAAATTTACCGGGAGCACCGGTAATTTTTTATATTCAATTTTGGTCGAAAACAGACATTTTTTAGGGGCTAAATTTTCTAGTGCTTATACTACATCCACATGAGCATCCAAATATATCAAAATTGTAAAAAATCACTATCCACCCAATTTTCAAAATTTCCCAAAACTTTGTATTACCTTTAAATTATTTCATTGTGCGATAGTTACACAATCAGACTCTCTTTTGACAAATTCTTCCCTGCTCTTTTTTTTTAAGTCAGTGATTGGGGTGGTTAGAAACAAGCGGATCATCGTGAAGTACATTTTAATGGCTATAGATGTCGGTACGATTTAATTCGGGAGGGGGCATGGGGGTGGGGTAAAGGCATTTAGATTCTAACCTATTTTTCATGGGTGAACAAACTCTTAATATGACATCGAACTGTATTTTTGCTAATCCGTCGCTCATTACGAATTACCCACTGATTGCCCTGTGCTTCTGCAATTAAAATGACAAAATTGTCATTTTGATGAACAATTACACGATTCTTGGTAAGTGTAGCCCTTTTTATTGATCGGAGGCACATTTCAAGATCGATAATGACATTGGCATATGGGTTATCATGAATCATTACATGGGAATTACGCCATTACGCTCTCCGATGTCTCCAACCACTTCTGCCTCATCCTATGTCTCTGTCTGTCCCCCTCCATCTTTTTCTCTCCCACTCTCCTTTCTCTTTACTCATCTCTCTCTCTCTCTCTCTCAACTTTATTCGTCACTTCTCTTTTTATCTTTCCTTTTTTAAAATCTTTATCCGTCTCTCTCTCTCGTTTGTTACTCTCAATCTTTATCTGTCCCTCCCTCCATATCTATCTTCTTGATATCTATCTTTATCTATCATTCACTACACCTTTCATTTTGTCTCTCTCTTGTTGTTCTCTATAACTGTCACTCCCTCCAAATCTCTATTTTCTTGCTCTTTTTCTTAGTCTCTCCCTCCATCTTGCGCTCTCTCTCTCTCTCTTCCCTATACACTACCTCTATCTGTCTCCCCCTCTGTATCTCTCTAGTCTATATGTGACAACTCTCTCTTTTTATTTGTTTTTCTTTGTCAATTATGTTGGCAAAACTGTAAACTTGTCACTCTTTCTTCTTGTAAATCAGATGGATTTCCAACAATTTTTTCTTTCTATTAAGATTGAAGAAATACAAGACTATATAAACAATAGGAACATAAATATAGCTAGAATCTGCATATCATAAGACATGTAGGGATTGTAGGCACATGGTTCTATAATATCTTTAATCATTGAATGTCATTCAACATAATCAAGCTATTATATAATAAACAAAATTCTTTCACAAACCAGCATTTCTCATATCACTAAAAGGTGTCACTTAAAGAGCAGGTCGAGTTCTAGGAAGAGGTGAAAAATAATTTGTGAGCATTATCATTGTATTATGCAACTGTGGAAGAACATCATAAAAAATGAGACAGATTCTTATGTCACATGTTCGTGTAGTCCCATATACATCTTTCTGTGTACAGTACTTGTAACTTTACCAATACTGGGCACAAATTCTTATCATTTTGATGATTCCAGAACCATGCAGTACACAGCAATACTTATATGCTAGATGATCAACCGTTTCTGATCGATTCCACAACATTTCTTTCTATATCCTGCAGTAGATTGGTTGTTTGAGCCAGTGAAATAAAAACAAATGCACAAAAACTTACTGGGCATCATCTTTGATAAAAACCACAACTCCTATTTGTAAATAGTGGCCTGTGATAAACACATGCTGTCAGGCCTACTTACCCAGATTTCCAAATTTTTCTATGCTCATTACTCAGCCACGTTTGTGACATTTATTTGTAATCTTGAACATTCAGCGTATGTTTTATTGGGTTTGGTGAGAATTTATTTTCTATATTTACCAGAACTCAAGTTTAACATTAATATTTAAAAATTCCTATGGTAAAAATAACATAAAACGATTTTATCTCATTCCAAAAAACATAGAAAAGTAAATACAAAATGATTGTTACTTCACACATTTGAAGATAACAAGCACTAATGGCAGCAAAAAGGATATTAGAATGTATGTAGAGTGTATTATAGTATCATATTGTTCTACTTGCATCAATACATAGTGTGTGAGATATTTTAATGATCTGCCTATGATCATTTCCAATAAATAATAATAATAATAATAATAGCTAGTTCTTATATAGCACTTTTCAGGACTGAAGGCCCTCTCAAAGCGCTTTACAGATATACATATTATTACCCCGGTCATCTGATTCAGGCTTACCTGCACACAATGTATGCACATTCTCCACTCCTTGGGAGCATTCCAGACAGGCGTCAATTTAGCAAGCGCACACTTGCTAATCTAAGCACATGCGCTTTCGCATCCTACCGGTTACCCATTTAACACCTGGGTGGAGAGTGGCAAATGTAGATCAATGTCTTGCCGAAGGACATTAATGCCGCGGTGGGACTTGAACCACGGACCTTGTGATCCACAGTCCGGTGAGAGATCCACTTGTCCATGACACCTCTAATGTAAATATCCAAAAAGGAAAGCTAGATCACAGCTACATTGGGCCCTACACTGGGATCCTTCTTCACTGAACACCTCTCCACACATCAATCTCATAGGCCCATTGAAGATGTTGGTACACAGCTGACCATTGATTTTACATGTGTATAAAACGTGTTGATGTTTTGGGGATTAAAGTTTAAAGGGTACATACTATTTCCCTCAATAAAACAAAGTGATTAGAACCAACAACAAAAAAACACCCTGAGAGCTAAGCTATTATGTCCACTGGCTTTTGAGCATTGAAACAAGCATACAAGTCTATTCCAATGCTTTTGAGCATTGACACAGACGTGTATGTTTAATGACAATGAATCTCCTGGCATTAACCATAACCAAGGCAAATTTAACTTTTTCTATGACGTATGACATGTTGACACCGTGTTTTCAGTCAAAGACATGTAGATTTTTGGAGCAACTGTAAGCGATAGTAGGAAAATTTCAAATTATATGACAATTGACCTTGCTTTAAAATTTCTTAATTACCGTATGCTTTTGACAGGATTCAACTCCCCCTCCCGCTCTTCAGAGCCAGAAGGGCGTAAAATCTGTGATAAAGTACTGTATCATGAGCCATTACCCTTCCGCCTCCAAACAGACAAAATATCACAATATGTTAAAGGGATCGTTTAACAATGTTAAATCTGAGATGCACGGCCCTATGTGTTATCAGTGTCTGTGATATGGTGTTATATTGAAGCCCTAAAAAAAATGTGATTCAAAATGTTCAAGAAGTGCCTCTAAAAAGTAAAAGCCTTTGAGTGACCGGTTTTACCATACTCGTTTTTCCCAATAGACTGTAGTGTTATGAAAACCATTTGTTGAACGCAAATTTCGATTTGGATTTTCAATCATAAATATCTTGATAATCAGACAGGGGATGGGCTTGTAAAATTCAAGGCGTTCCTGACTAACCTAAAGGTTTATAATCATCATTGCAGCATGAGCTAAATCAAGGAATTTTTTAAAGGATCTAAGACAAAGTTACCGGATCCCTTTAAGCAATACCTTTCAATAGAATTGGTTGTGAAATGTTGATATGGATGAGGTGAACTCATTCTTTCTTGTTCTGTGCTACCTTCATGAGTAGCTGGACTTCTTCTAGAGGGGCCCTGACCCTGAGCTCCTTTTCCATCAACAGGTCCAGCACTTCCTGGAGTTCTTCAGGAAAGTAGCGCACAGCATCCAGGTACAGAATCTGAAAATAGATACATCAGGAGCTAAGATTAGAATGACAACATCTGAATTGATATAAGCCTTCCATTTTCATTATCAGAATCATCTTTATCAACAAATTTGCTTACACCTGATATATCTGAAAAATGTTGTGTAAAACCAATTACCCATCTTGATGAATACATTTATTGGAATGATCCTGATATACATCTTAGAGAGACAGTGTAAGATATACTATGTGTTGGGATATGAGACAAATCAGGCTGAAATATTATACTATGAAATATCTGTTTAATACTATTCTGATTAATTAAGAATTAAATGAAGCGTCATCTTTATAAAATCTTTGGAAGAATCATCATCTTAATTACATACTAATACTTGCCAAATCTTTGCATTTATTTAATCACTCAAGTACCAAATCATCACCAGTAATACACTATCGTTTCCAAACTGCAATTCTCCCAAATCATCACAATCCTAGTAACAAATGTCATGATCTTCAGCAAGGATCTATGAACTTTCCCATTATTCCTCCTCAAATTGTTCAATTTCAATATTCCTCACCTTGGCCCATGGGCAGTGTTGAAGAGCTCTGTAAAATATTGCTTTCCCTCTCTTTGGTTCACCATTCTGCACCTACAAAATAATACCAATCATAGATGCGATAAAAGAATAAAATGTGCCAAAACATTGAGAATTATGGATAATATATAACTGTGATTCGTTATAGAAACTCATACAAATTGATTGATGATAAGAATATTTCAATCACAATACAATTAGCTAAACTTCACCAGCTACTTACTAAATTTACAAACCAGACAGTGTTGTATTGTATTGCCAATTACAAACTCAGTTCATGTATCTACTGGTCACTCATGCTTGTACAAAATGTTGGCTTCACTGAAGTAGTAGGACATAGGACTGGCTCTATCCCAGTTATTATAGTGCCAGTTTTATCAACTACCAATGAGGGCTTTTCATTAGTTACCCTTGATTCTTCATCTTTCCACCCTAATTTAGATCATCTTTAAATCTTCAAGTATAGCACTATCCCATTGCACAAAGTTGAGACATATGTGTGTTTTAATATTCTTTCACTTTAATAGGAGAGAATGTTACTGGGGAGAGAAGTGAATCTTAATACTCATGATTGTACAACACTTGATCCCACAACAAACGCTTAGAGATAACTCGTCAAATTCAAAATTGAATTCTGTTCTCAACAATGTATCCAACATGAATAATAAAACATAACCACTGGATAAAATGTTGGATTACAATACACCGCTAAAGTTTAACAATTTGAAGGAAAATAAAAAAGAGAGATTCTGTTTGACCTAAAAATCAGTAATCAATACATAAAGCAGAAAATAGATCAAAGGATTTATCTTACCTCAAAGAGTATGTAGAGACGCCACAAGAGGACACAATGCCGTGTGTATCTATTAGATGAAGCTCTGTCAAACAATGAGCGAAGCCTGTGTGTGATGCCACTCTCCTTACCTGCAACACAATAGAAAGAAGAAAACAAGCAAAATCTTAAAATATTGTACTCATGAGAAGTTTGGAATTGGTATGATTTATCATTATCAGTACTACCCTGATTATTAATTTTGAAATCCAGAGGTGTAAACACTTAGAGCAACTTTATCAGCTTTGATCAGAAGCTATTCTTAGAGAAAAACTAGATGGAATTTTGACTGCGCGCAGTCGAAAATGATGCCTCCGCCATAGAGCAATTTAAACAAGTTTGGAGTTTAAATCTCCAGTGGTTCTTGAGATATCATGATAACAATCTTAATGTATGGAATTTCATAAGTTGACCTCTGTGACCCTTGACCTTTGACCTACGTGCTCCAAAATGTAATCAGATTGTTTTCCTATAGTGATACACACTATCACTAAGTTTGAAGTTTAAATCTCCAGTGGTTCTTGAGATATCATGATAACAATCTCAATGTATGGAATTTCATAAGTTGACCTCTGTGACCCTTGACCTTTGACATACGTGCTCCAAAATCTAATCAGATCGTCTTCCTATGGTGATACATACTATCCTTAAGTTTGAAGTTTTTACATCTCCAGTGGTTCTTGAGATATCATGATAACAATCTCAATGTATGGAATTTCATAAGTTGACCTCTATGACCCTTGACCTTTGACCTACGTGCTCCAAAATGTAATCAGATTGTTTTCCTATAGTGATACACACTATCACTAAGTTTGAAGTTTAAATCTCCAGTGGTTCTTGAGATATCATGATAACAATCTCAATGTATGGAATTTCATAAGTTGACCTCTGTGACCCTTGACCTTTGACATACGTGCTCCAAAATCTAATCAGATCGTCTTCCTATGGTGATACATACTATCCTTAAGTTTGAAGTTTAAATCTCAAATGGTTCTTGAGATATCGCACTAACAAACTCAATACAAGGAATTTCATAAGTTGACCTCTGTGACCTGTGACCTTTGACCTACGTACTCCAAAATCTAATCAGATCGTCTTCCTATGGTGATAAATACTATTCCCGAGTCTTAAGTTTAAATCTTAAATGGTTCTTGAGATATTGTGATAACGGTCAAACGGGACGGACGTACGGACGTACGGACGGACAACCCGAAAACATGATGCCTCCGGCACCACCTTCGGTGGCGGAGGCATAAAAATGAGAACACAGACAGAACAGGGCTAGAACCTTACTTCTTTCATCATGGTCCGAACTAAACATTGTAAGGTTTGTGTGCTTTGGGCTAACCTAACCATACCTGAATATTCTCCCTCCAGTCTATGAAGTCTAGTGATCTCAGCATTGATGGCATAGAGCCACGGCACGGGATGTTGAGCTTCAGAGGTTGCCTTGTCAAAGTACCTCCTCAGTCTTCCAGCTATGTGAGACCTTGCTTCTAAGTCGATCAGGCCTTTCAACAACTCAGGGTTTTTACTGTACCTGGAAAACAGATGTAGAGGAGGTTACCGGTACATATTGAATAATAATTTTTTATCAATCGCATACTCAACATTCTTTCTGACACATTACAGCATTTTGACAAATTTAATTCAATATTTGGGGCCAGTCACCACGAAATGAGTCCAGTGTCGCATTAGGCTCAATTGTAGTAATAGCGATGTATAGTGTGTATGTACTGAAAATTGACCCACCTACCACATTTAAGATTTTTCCAAAAATCGACTTATTATTTCTTTGTTTGTTGAAAGTTTCATTGAAATCGAATGATGGGAAGTGTGTTGTTGCTATGTTGTTGTTGACCAGACTATAATATGTTACGCATCATTAACTTTACACCTTATTATCTCAAAACTGGGTAATCCCATTGTTATAAAGTCCAATTAGGTCTTTGTTCATATTTCTGGATATAATTTATCAATTTTAATGTGTGACCCCTTAATTTAAAGCTTACTTAATGTAGATTCATATAATACTTAAAAACAGGAATAAAATTTTTGACCAACTGGACTCATTTCGTGGTGACAGGCCCCATTTGAAATGGCCATGGAAAGGTTCATTAAATAATAATAATAGTCAGTTCTTGTATAGCACATACTACTTAGTCTCTATGCGCTTCCCAAGAGCATCATAAATTATTACCCTAGCTTTAGCTCCAGCTACAGAAGTCATCATTGGTATCTTAGAACAATTAATAATATTAATACTGTATTCTATTTTCAATATATCATTTAAGTACTGTACATGTAAAATGTGTATGCAAAATACCAATTTTTCCTAGAGGGAGGGTCAAATGACAATAAATTGGCAAAGGTTCTTGTTATGCAATGTAATCTGCTGACTGCCATCTCAAGCTTGAATAGGGTAATTAGGATTAATTAGGATAAATGCAGAAATACATCTGCAATAAAGTACATACATTTAAAAAAAAGATAATGTTCATGAGTTTGTATCACAATTTTCCATATTTCTTCAATGCTGTCGTTTACTTAAGGAGGGCTGACCATAAACTGGTTATCTACAAAAATGGCTGTTCTGTTTTTCACACGGTTGAATAGTTTCACATTTATCATTTATTATGGTACATTACCTACCTTTTAAGGGCTCTCTGCATGAGGATCCTCAATGACGTCACTGGCATTGGATGACTGTGGACATGGTGAGACACAACCTGTGTGTAGAGCAACATAGTCATCTCAGCATCAACGACCATCTGTTGATGGACTATCTCCTTCTCCGCATCATCCATAGTGCTGTTCACATGGTGCAGAAGTCCATCCCAAAGTGAAAGAGTCTCTTCAAATACCACTCCTGCAGCTAGCATCCCAACGCTGAGATACTGAAAGAGAGCGTAGCAAAGGGCAATGTGAACAAGCTGTGAGCCTTGCTGATCCAAGCATGTGAATAGTCGAACGTGGCAAGAATGTATAGAATCCCTAGAAGAGTCAGTGGCACTCTTGTACAGCTCAACGTAACCCTTTCGAGCTTTGAGGATTCGCCCCGCAGATACATGCTTGTCTGGGGTTGATGACAGGGGTGTGAAGTTGCCCCTCTCCCCAAGAGTGGTCAGCGCATGCAACACTTCTTGCCTACAAGTTGAGGTTGTTGATGTGGCATCACCTTTCTCTGACTCCGTTGGCGCGTGTGACTTGAGGATTCCAAGTTTCAAAACTGCATAGGTGGAGAGAAGTTTGGTGAGACCTTCTTGGTCATCTTCCTCTGCTCCAAGGTTGAGATTTGAGAATGCCAGAGCTGTCTCAAATATCCTCCAACTCTCCACCTTGTTTCCATTATGCCACTCCCACTTTGCATACTCCTCCCACAAGGACAGATTGTTACGATTGCACTCCTGGCTGAGCAGCCTCTTCGCATACTTCTGGCCTTCTTTCTGCCGTTTCTTCTGCTGCTTTAAGCTTGCAGAGGGATCCACTGTCTGAAGATTGTACTGCATTTGCAACAGTGTCAGGTGCTTCTTTGCTTCTGGTGGAAAGAGAGAAATGGCCTGGGTTGTGATATTATCCGCGAAGCGAAGAAGAGCTTTGTTCTGTTCATGTCCTCCACCGAATGTCTGGGCTTCCTTGTCATGACTCCCAAACTGAGACAAGTCTGGCATTCCTTCTCCACTCATCACCACTCCTCCATCATAACCTCCACTGGAAGATGTGCCTCTAGATCCAAAGACCTCTGCAGGATGCTCCATCGTCTCTGGTGTTGTCGTATGCACACAGGACAGGCGCTCTCGCTTCTTCACCCCTAGAAAGTCCAGGAACTGAAGGATCAACTCAAACTTCAAGTCTACGGAGTCCAGACTGATGAGGAATGGAGTGATATCATCCACCAGGACCATCCTCTCAGGATCCTCACAGTCATCTTCCGTCTGTCCACCGGTTGGTTGCCATGGGAGGAAGTGGATGCGTTCACGCTGGATTTCTTCCTGCAACCAGGCTTGCCACTCAAGATGTGTTTTGTTGATCACAGAATCATCTTCATCATTACCCTTGGAATCTAGGATATCAATGGAGAAAAAAAATCCACTCAAACTCGAGCTCAAACTCAAACTCAAACTCAATACACAGCGATTTCATTACTTCAATATAATACTTAAGTAATCTGGAAAGAATTGTAACAAACCTCTGAATAAATAGAGGCAATGACTACATGTCGTAACTGGGAGGTTCCCAGTTTGTAACAAGTCACTGCACTAGTGCTCTCTGGTATTAGCATTAATATTCAACTGCCTATTTCCTTGGATAGGACTTGAATCAGTAAATTCACTGATTGCTTTAATATCTACAAGCATGTTCTTTCTTAACAATCAGGAAAAATAATCAAAAAACTTCTTCAGCATCCTGAACTTTAACCTCACCTGGTGGTTGGCTGGACCATCCCCCTTTCTCTTTTTGTTCAATCCACTTCGCCCATCCCTTTGCATCAGGCTGTCCAAATCGAGGTTCATTGCTGTCCAGAAATGGCTCAAAGAAGGCAATCTGCAATGAATGAGAATCATTTTCTTAGAAAATAAACATGAGTCAATTCTACAATGTCATAATATTGTATTACATTATATCTCAATTTCTTGATCTGCTATTGTATTACATTGTATCTCAATTTCTTGATCTGCTTGTAGCAAGTAATCCAGAAAAGAAATATATCATATGACTACGGCATTGGTGAATGTCATTAATTTGATGAACAAACAGTTTTCGTCGTGTATTCAGATGGTCCAGGACAATACTGATAATCAAAAGAGCAAAAGTCCTCCAACAGCCTAGCAAGTAATGACAGGACAAAAAAAAGTTGACTTGCCTCTGTTCACCGCTGAGCCACATAAACTATTTTTCTCTTCTTAATTATTACAAAGAGAAAAATAATACAATGAATTCCCAGCTTTTAATCAATCAGTGTCATATTTTATTTTCCTCATTTGACTCTGCTTACCTTGCCTTCAAGTGTAGTAGACTCTTTTACTTTTTCGGGGCAGAAGCAGTTGAATTCCACTAGAGCTTGAAGCAATGCTACAGCCTTTTCCGTATGTCCTGACTGCCTCCATAAGTGACACATCTGCATCACAATATCTGATATGGAAGAATGAATGAATGATGAAATGCATCACTTCCCAATTATTCACAACAATAATGAACAATAATGAACAATTCTGTTGTATTCTATCATAAAATTCATAGGTTGCATCTTCCATTGCCATAAATCAGTATTTAAAATAAAAATTCTGCCCAAATAACAAATTCCATTAAAAAACTACAGATTGTGACAGAAAATACTAATTTAGTCGACAGCAAATATAAGAGCATGCGATGATGCCTATTAAAGTCTATTTGCACTACTTTGGCCAGGAGGGATTAGACCTCCCTGCATGGTCACTGACATGTAATTATCTCATCAAATCAGCTCTCAAGTAACATAAGACAATGGGGAACATTGGGGACCAACAGGTACCGCTTAGGCATTGTTTGCTATATAGAGGGCAGTGGGGCTTAAGATGGTCAGAAAATGTGAAGTTTGCGAAAGATGAAAGAAGCTGTCATTATCATTGTTTAGCTTGCTACAAAGACTCTAATGCTTCAAAATAGTTAGCTTGTAACTGAGAACTTACCTAACTTGACCGCAGTGTCCTGAGCCTCCATTGCATTCAGGTATCTACTGTAGACCGATGCAATACCTGAAACTGTGAACTTGCTGAAAGAGGAACGCTTGAATGCCAGGTACTGCTTCCACATGATGAGATTCTCAGAGTGTTGTCTGATGACAGAGTCCCACTGCCTCGAGAGCTTCCCCAGCTCCCATGTCTCCCTGCATAGCTCTATCTGCTCCAGCTGGAGCTCTGCGTTCAAGGGATTCAACTTCAGAGCTTTCTCCAGGATGGACAGCTTCTTCTCAACAATCAACTGTTCTCTCTTGGAGGTCTTGATTGGCATGGTGCTTTGGTGATCATCAGACCCTTGTGAGTTGATGGATTGAAATGCCTGGTCCTGAAACTGCACAAACTCGACCCATTTTGCGATGTCACCGGGGTGTTCTTGGAGGTGTCTGTTATATGAAGCGACCTCTTCTGACAAGCCACTACCACCAGATTTGCTTGTTTCTTGGACTTGCGAAACATTCTCACATTCAGTATTGGTTGTGGAATTATTCATAGAGGACTTGACGGGTATGTAAGGCATTTCTGCACTTTTCTTCTCCAGAATCATATCCATACCTGCGCTTTCATCCTGCTTTCTCTCTGCAGCAGGAACTCTTTCCACATCATCAACGGTATAAACTTGTTCAAAGTACCTTTTAACATTGCCTGAATGCTTCTTTTCTTTCTTCTTATCCTTCCCATCTCTCCAGTCTACCATTTGCTTTTCACTATCTAGTCCAAGGCAGGATTTTCCAAGTCTTCGGTAGAAGGCAAGGTCTGTGTGGTTAAGTGTCTTGAAGCAAAGATTGTTCCTGTCTGATTTTTCATCCACATAGAAAGGAGTCTCTGGTATGAAACCAATGTCGTCGATCCATATAGACGAGGGTCGAGCTTTGTGGCTGAAATCATGAAGAGAAGAGAATGTGTTAGGTGACTTGAAACTTGATGGAGAAAATATAAGGCTGTAGGCCCTTTTGTTAAATAAGAATTACCATATTCCATCATTTAGTAGAGAACACATGACATATATAAAAAGACATTTGAACTCTCAAGGCATTGAAAAACATCACTGTTTAAGTTACATTCCTTTGTAGGATTTAAAAAAAGTCTCTTTAACATGTTTAAGTATAGCCAAGTATAGATTGATGTATGGAATTGTTTGATCACTTTTTGTTTAATCATATACAAAAATGAAGAGCTATAATTAGAGATGAAGGCTTGATGTTTTACCTCTTGTACTCCTTGGCGTGGGACTTGGAGCTCCTTTCTCTATCTCCTTTCTGCTTCTTCTTCTCCCGGTCTTCCTTATGTTTGCTCTTTTTCTTTTTGTGTTTCCTGTTGTCTCTCTCAGGGCTAGGGTCCGACCTGTGATGTCCCTTTCTGCTTTTCTTATGTCTGTGAGAATCCTCTCTGCTTCTGTGCTTCTTATCCCTGTTAGGAGGTTTATGCTTCACATCTTCTACCTTCACTTTGGAAGTTATGTGCTTTTCCTCTCTGCGAAGGTCCTCATTACTCGAAACTGAATCAGAATCAGACTGCCTCCTCTGTAACACCTCTTTCCTCTCATCCCTTTCTGTTTTTACCACTATATCACTTCTTAAATTTGCTGAACTTGATGGATCATTTTCATCAGGTATGACCATGTATTCCTCCTTAACGGTGGGTTGAAGAAGCTTGGCAGAGAGACTTTGATATGAACTATTGTCTAGTAGGTTATGAACTGTGACATTGGTCTCTTGCTTGTAATTGTAGGCATCATCGTTTCCATGACAATGAGCTCTGTACTGGGCTACATTTGGATCGAAGCTCTGATTGGTGAGCCAATTCGGTTCTGTAAATGAGATGGAATGGAAAGAGTGAGAATATGAGGTTTAATTCCCTTCAGATTTAATGGAAAATATTCTTCAATACAGCACTAACCATCATGAGAACTTGTCCTTTAATATATTGACTTTTTATTTATCTTGTCTACTGTCTAGGTCTATCATAAGTTTTAAGATTTAAATATTGCTTGTTGTTAACTTCTTCAAATTGCGGTTTTTAATCAACTGTCCAAATACACTAGACGAAAAAACTTCAGTCTCTCTAATCGTCGGTTGTTCCACTGAGACTACGTCTGGCTCCACTAGACCTCAACAAATGTCAGTTTTATTAAAGAAATGACCCAAATCAGATGGTTATTTCTGCATTCTGTCTACAAATACACAACCTGTCCAGACACAGAATGAGTAAACCAGAAGATGCATTAATAGATCTAAAGTAAATACTTTAAGTTTATCGTTACTTGATTATAATTTATCAATTATTCAGAGTTCAGATTTGTCAACGTGACCAGCTCGTGTCGCGATATGTAGGACTAAGATAAGTAATGTGTTGACTGTTGTGATTATTTGGGAACCATTCTCACTCTCAGTCTCACTACACTCACTCTGGGTCTCTCACCTTCTTCATTTTCTAGTCTTGTCACTGTTTTGATAGCAGATGCACTGGGAAACAGTCCTCCCTTTCTCTCACTAGCAGCTGCAGCAGTGAATTCCATGATGAAAGACTCTAAACCTTCCAATTTCAAACGTCTTCAGAATTACGCTGATAAACGTTGCACTTACGTTCGAGATATACGATAGCTAGGCAGCAGAAATAGTCTAATTAGGAACGGTACACGCCAGATTTGTATCGGAGTAGCTTAGGCGCGGCGAAGCCAGGCTCTCCGTATGCAGCCAGCTGAATACTCGAGACTTGCAAATATCAAAATCTTGTGCAAAAGTTTCCCGTAGATGGCGCACCGTTGTTTTGTTTTTTTCTGGTATGGGAAGAAATATTCTGTTTGGAGGTTGGGGTGCATGTATGGGTGGGTATGAGGGACCGAGTTATGGGAAGGACAGAGGGTGATGATGGACTATTCAAACATAATAATTAGTGGTTGGCGGGGAGGTGGAGAAATATTAGCACCTGACGTGTCGGAAAGAGAGAAAGAGAGAGAGAGGGGGAGGGGGAAAGAGAGGGGAGGGGGGGGGAGAGAGAGCTAGGAGGGGGGGGGGGGGGAGAGAGCTAGGAGGGGGGGGAGGGAGAGAGGGGGGGGGGAGGGAGAAGGGGGATCGAGGGGAGAGGACCGGGGGGGGGGGAGAAAGAGGGAGAAAGTTCAATACAATTTTGTGGGGGAAGGACTGCATGGAGGGTGACCGGTACTCGGGTAATGCGGTTGATCATGTCTTATAATTCATAAAGAAGATGATAATTTTTCACCAAAAAAAACTTTAAAATGGATTCAAATTAGTTCTTTACCGTCAACAGGAAAATATGTGCCGAGCAAATTTTGTAACACTTTCTGAATGCAGAATAATAAAACTACCCTCATTCCCCGAAGTATTTTTCATCGACAATGGTCAGGCACGTCATACCTGGTAGGTGAATTAGAGAAATAATGAACAATTAAGTTACAGACGGGAAATGGAAAGCAAGTCCTATTGAAGTTATTTTCACTTTCTAAATTTAGAAACATAATAGATATCCTTTATAATCCGTCATAATTTATGAAAGTCCTCTTCCTATCATTCTGACCCAAGGATATTGTCAGTGTTTTTCTTTTATCATTATCGATCACCCCCTTCTTGCGCACTCTCCCTCGATCTCTCTCCCTCTCTCCCTCCCCCTTCCTCCTATTTCTCCCTCTTTTTGCTATATGTTTACACTGTGCACATTTGCTTAATCTTTCCTTTCAAACTTTTCATCATTAAGCAACAACCAAAATAAGACACAACTACAGACATTTTAAAAGTTTATATACATTCAAATATGTTTATTTATTTCTCATAAAATAATGGAAAAGTCACTCACACACTTCTGTATAATACAGCACATGCATGCATCAATATAGGACAACCTCAAATTAAATATATATGGTTTATATGATAAAATCTTGTTCATGAATGCTATTCATGGCACACACAAAGTATATATTGAGTTTGTTTTTCAATCTTATATGTTTCACTCGACACATACTAGAAAAATATCAAGGCTACGTATTAGTAGCTCCTATCCATTTCATTTGCAATTTACACAGAGACTCATTTTTGTAAATATACATGTACATGTGTTCAGCTCCTCCTTCAAAATACATACAATTTTTGAGCACTATTAAACAACAAAAGTACCGGGTAAGTACTTTTATGGACCATATGCCACAAAGAATTTCATAAAGTTAATATCTTACTTATTTAGTATTGATAATTCTTGTATGGCATATCAATACTTGCTATATGGATTAAGGCAGTGATATGGCACATTTAAGTACATTCACAAGGAGTTGAGAAGGAAAAAAAAAGCATGTTCATGGTTTCATTCTTTTACCCCCTAAATTTACTACCCCACTTTATCTAAAATATGAATACAAATGACAATATGTTACAGAGTAATGTTCATTGTCGAAGAACGGATACATAGACAGGCACCACCAATGTTGAGGCTGGAACTGGATTAACTCTGTGTTTGATGATGGGATTTAATGCCCACATGTATACACCTAACTAGAAATGCATGTTAATCACATGAAATGTCCCAAAACAAAAAATTGGTCCAAACAGAAGTATATAAATAGACTTTAAATGGAACGCTTTCACTTAAACCACATCATATTTGTTTTTGGAAGACTTTGATTTCTTACTCTTTCATCTACTGAAATTCTTTTTCTTCAAGAACTCATTAATGAAAACAAGTATAAAAATCTAATTACTTAATATACATCATCTCCCAAATAAAAGTATTAATAAAACAAGAGTGTTATAAAAACTTTCAGCTAAAATAGTTTTATTTACCGGTAGCTAATCTGATATGATATTGTTAAAATGCCCCGCCCCCCCCCCCCCAAAAAAAGAGAAGAATACTGCGCATATTGAAGTTACAACAGTCTAAGTACAAAGTGTCATCATCAAGTGTATTGTATGTTGTATATTGGTTTAACATAAAATTGCAAGTATTCTCATAAATGGCACACAGGAAGAAAAAATAATATTAATCAAAATACAATATTTTTTTTCACATGTGTGGTAATTCCTGATATTTGTCATGTGGATACTCTATTATTCAGTGCAATTGTGATCTATATTCAATCCCTATATAATGTACCCTATGCACTTTAAATATTAAAAATGCTACTCATATCCACACACTAGTGATAATGATAATGATAATCACCATTACACAAATCAAAATTATATACCCAATTTAGGAAGTGATTTTACATATCATCATTATCCTCATTTTAGATTCAAATTAATTTATTCATCCTAAATTGCATGCAATATTAATCTGTGATTACAAAGTATTTTCCCTTGAATCATAAACAACCCCACCTGCTTGCATAGATTTTTCTGAGAAGCTTTGAATACCGACAAAATCCTCCCGGCAATATGACACATCCACAAAGCACATCGTTTCCTCAGCCAGGTGCAAGCATGGAGAGCTGGCTGCAGTCAATGCAACTTAATATGCACGGATTGACACAAGAGAGAAAATATATCTTTCATTATATCCCATTACATTACATTTCAAACTAATGTAAAATGTATTATTTTGTATACAGAATGAAAGATGATAAACGGATCAGAATCAAAGAGTTGCAGGCAGGAGTAGGAAATATCATTCTAGAAAGACCACACTGAACTGAAGTACTATTTCTCTCGACTGCAAGGCTATCCGTTGCAGCTAAACTTGAATTCAGCCTGAATGTAAATATATATATGTAAACCTGTATATATTTATTTTTTAAATCTCTTCACTGAAATATTTCATGCAGAAAGAGCAGTTGAGCATGGAACTTCTGTCTACCGGTATTTAAAAATCTTTATTATTCAGAGTTGAATGCAAATCTTTATTAAAGATTTGTTATAAAACATCAGCAAAATTTAACTTGTTTTTGTTGTTCTCTTACCAAAGCTTGTAACACAATCAAACCTGCTTTAGTGACCAACTATCTACCAAGACCAAATTTTTTGTTTCCCTTGAAAATTATTTTTCATTAAAACGTGTACTATAGGCACCTGTACATAAAGACCACCTGCCTATGAAGACCACTTTTCTTGTCTCCCTTGGGTGGTCTTTATAGACAGGTTTCACTGTTTGACCTTACAGACTTTACGTTTCTACCTGTGGTTTGGAAAGAACTACAGAAAATATGTGTGTACACAAATGTTGTCTATCGATTTAATCAAAACAGAAGTACTGATGAGAACACACAATCTTCAGCAACAGTTGGTAATGTGGAATTCACAGAACGTAATTGAAAAAGAAAACATGTATTTGAATGACTAAAATCCATCATATTTTCACTATTTTTACAGTCTCTGTAAAGATGGATTTGATGTATCTTTACATACTAGTAAGGCCTCTTCAAATAAAGTTAGGCCGAGCAAACTCTTTGGACAGTATGTACACCATTCATAGCACCATATTAACAGCAAAAATGAAATGGACGGATTCTGCACAATGGTCAAGCTAGAGCATAAAATCCTCTACACAAGCTTGAATAGACACTAGAAAAGCTGCATTCATATGGGAATGTAATATGTATACATAATACTAATAATAAAATATCCACCAAGTAAGGTGCTCAAGGTGCTCCAATGTTACCTGGCTCTGCTATAGGCTACTGATTTCAGGCTACTGAAAAGTTACTCACGGCAGACTTAGCATTGTCAAATATCATCTTTACTAGTTGCATATATGTAAATGTCAAGGTCCATCAGTGTGTGTAGATAAAATCAGGGGCCACTGTCTTTTTCCAGAGCTGTACTAAAGGAAAGATCAAAGTCCCAGATGAGTAAGGAATGAAGATACTCTCATTCCAGTGATAAGAAGGACTCCAAGTGCTTTCATAGGGTCAAAGATGTCCCTTTTATTTACTGCCTGACCTGTATTATGTGTTTTAGACTTTGGTGGTAGCTGCATTTGTTCTCCTATGAGCTGTGAGCAATGACCAATGCCCTTGTCTACCTCTAATCTATTTGATCTTCTTCATGGCACCTCAGGTTAAACCCAAGTAGTCACATGTTTCTAAAGAAGCTAGGAACTGTAACTGCTGACTGCCATTCCAACCTATGCAGTGATGGTATCACTGAGGTTTGAACTACATCGATCCAGCCTCGATCTTGTCTATTCCATGTCTCTAGCTTTGTATTTCTTCACAGGGCTTGAAGTCAAACATAACCCTCCACATGTTTCCTACGTGTCAAAGAAGTCATCTTTCCCTGCTGCCTGACCTGCGCCATACGCATTGCCTGTCCATCCTTGATTGTCATCAGAGTCTGAAGCATAGTCAAGGCTCTTGTCGACCCTTGGTCCATTGCTATGTACCTTCTTGGTAGGACTACTCCTACCATTATAGATCCTCTCTGATGTGGTGGATGCAGATCCAAGGCCAGCATTGTTATCACCATCCAACCAAGAGTCCACATCTGTACAAACGCAGAGAAAAAAATAATTAAAAAATTTGGGGGGCTACTTTTCAAGCTTGCTTGCATAAAAATAACACTCTTTAATTTGTTTTGCATTAAACTCTATGCAAATTTTGGGGGGCTCTTTTATGACTTTCGGGGGCTATTTTTGGCATTTTGGGGGCTAATTCACCCCAAGCCCCCGTGTATTTTTGTCACTGCATACAAGGATATGATAATTCAATGTACATTGACCAAAACTGACTGTCAAACAAGCAAGTGACCTATAATTGTGGAAATATATTTTGTATTAATTTTTCCTTTTAAGGAGAATGGACCACCACAATATGTAGTGTGAATCACACTACATATTGTGGTGGTGATAGTAATTGAACAATAAAAGTTTGTATCAGACATGCAATTACCATGTTCATTATAGTGATAAATGCAGAACACAATAATTTATGAGATGTTTTCATTACCAAGGCTCCATTAAAAGGAATTTATTGCAGCCTTCTGTACATTCTTTGACATCATTGAATTCATTTCTAACTTTCTATCTGTTTTTGTTGTTGTAATTGTTATGTGTACTCTTTTTTCTTGCTTTATTCATTTTATTATACCTTATACTATGTGTAATTCAAATGTTTATCGTTTATGTATTCATATTTGTTTTTATTATTTGGCTACAGAACCTGTTGGCCAAGCAGCTCTCTAACTAAAAAGGCAGCTTAGTTAAAATTAGACAACACATGAATTGAATAAATCCTTTCATTTACTTATGTAGATAAGTATAAATTTATGTGCATGTGATTTTTAAAAAGTCATATTTGCATATATGTTTTGATCATTTTTTTCTTTTACAGAATAGAATAAAAATTGAAGCTTGACACCTGAAGATAAACATGAGCCTTACCAATACATCAAAGAGCTCATTAAGATAACCCGCACAGTCAACATATATGTATGTATCTACCAAAATTTCATTTTTGTAACACCTTGTTCAAAGAAAAACATATAAAAGAGCAGCTGCCCACTGTCGTTTGTAAGGCGAAACTTCCTGCCTGCATCAAAGAAACCTCCCAATCTACAACCAACTGTTCATGGTAACAATTTTATCGTGTAGTTCTCAAAATATCCAATCCTCTTGATGACAAAGTTTTCTGTTACTTCTATGGAGGAACTTTCTTTACATTTTTCAAAAAGAGAAGAAATTCAAATAGCGGCTAAATATGGATTCCTACTTGTATGCACATAAATATAAATCTTAAACATAATACAGACAGTCAAACCTGCTTCAGTGATCACCAGTATAGAAAGACCACATGTTCATAAAGATCGAAGAACATTTTGTTTCCCTTGAATATTATCTTTTATTGAAAATCATCTTTTATTGAAAACTTGATGTACAGGAACTGGTACATGAAGAAGACCACCTTCATATCAAAACCACCTGCCTATAAAGACCCCTTTTTCCTGTCTTCTTTGAGCAGTCTTTATATACAGGTTTCACTGTACTTGGCTTACATACTCACCATCTTCTGCATTGAAAGTCTCGTCTTTTTCCACATCAAAGTGATTCTCCTCGTTCTCCTCCTCCCTCATCCTCCTAGCCCTCTCCTTGGCCTGCTTGGCTCTCAGTTCTCTCTTCTTCTGCTTGGCAACGACATCAGCCTGAGCCTTGGAACGGTTCTTGCTGGCAGAGTCAATCTTTTCTTCAAGCTATTTGTTTGGACATGAACAGAAAAGGATTTACAACGATTTACCCTTGACACTTTGATTGAAGGAAACCTGGAGTTCTGGTATGCATGGGTGTGATATTAATGTATTTAAACATCATCAATCAAATTATCATAATACACAAAACCATCAATCAACAAATCAACCTCTAATGACATTCAATTAGGCAAGGGAAATAAAAGCAATAATTTTAGGGTGTTTTTGTCTTTTGATGTCCCATCCTAACATGAAATACCAGATAAAATATCTGAAAGTTGAATCGACTCATTTGGAATGGATTACTGGATAATAAATGTATCAAAGATTGGGACCTATTTACGGTAGTCCACATTCACACTAACCTTCCCATTTTTAAGTAAATTGACATGAAGAAAATAAAATCTCATCTATGTCTCTAAATGTTTCAAGACAATTTCCATTTAGTAACAAATAAGATGACAATTGTTCAATGGAACCATACCTTCTCTCTATGCTCTGCACTGTCTTGAATGTTACCAAACTGCCTTGCAAGTATCAGCTCTTTCCGCCTCCTAGATGACCTCTTTGAACTCTGACCTCGTTCTTCAAGGACCTGAAGAGAAATGACATTGGTATTGCAGTTGATCTAGATTCTTTTGGGTGCACTGCATGCTTGACTTTTGCAGTTGAACTACATTGTTGATAAAGGTACACATGATACCCCCTTAAAAAAAGAAATAGGGAACAAAATCCTACTATTCCTTTTTTAATTACTGTTACAGTATTCAAAGTCCTGTAATTGCTTGTTTTGCAGAGGATCTGGATAATGTTTTTAAGGCCATGCATGTGCATTGGGTACTTTGTTTAAAGCCTAACTGCACTAGTTTGGCCAGGAGGGATTAGACCTCCCTGCGTGTTCACGGACAGCTTGGTGATTATCTCATCAAATCAGCTCTCACTTAACATTAGAAAGAGGGGATCATGGGGAACCAATAGGTACCGTTTACAAGTGGTGCAGTCCCTACTGTATAGTCTCACCTCAAGATTACTTATTTTCTGGTGTGTGGGGGGGGGGGGGGGGTGAAAATTCAGCATATCTTAATCCATTAAACCAACAGCATCATACCATCACATTGTATGTCTTAATTGTCACACTAGTCTTCTTCTTCCTGCAGTCTCCATTATATTTCCCTCAAACATTTTTAGTGGGGGAGGGAGGGAGCTAGGGGTGGGGGGGGAGAAAGTTGGGCATATCTTTAAAAAAACATCATTCTGTGACATCATACAAAGTGTATGTCTTGTCATACCTGTCTCCTTCTCTCCTCAGACTCCATTAGTTTTTCCTCAATCATATCCGCAGTAAGAGTTGGTTCCCTTTTCATTTCCAATTTCTGTAGGTAAAAAGAAATATGGAAAATGACGAGGGAATAGAGTACTGTGCATGAGACTATGAGTAAGGGCTTGTTCAGATATGGTGAGGTAAACTACCGCAAAAAAGCTGCCGCGACCTTTTACTTGTAAATGAATGACAACTGCACGCAACAAAGGACTTGCATGCATTTACTGAGCTAAATGTTAGATACAGAAAAGGGAAGCTTATTACACTTTATTTCATCATTTAAAAACAACTGTGGTTTTGCAGGTTCATATCTGAACGAGCCTCAAATGTAAATAATGACAAAAGTTTAGACTACAAGTATTGGACATTGATTTTTTTTATCTTGAAATTTGAGCTAAAATATTGTGAACTAGGACTACATGTATTTTATCAATCAATCTCGGTATTCACAATTTTTATTTTTGAACAAAGGTGGCTGGAAATTATTTATCTCACTATATACTTTCAAAATATACCCATTTATGTCTCAGAGACGTAAATGCAAATCAAAATCATCTTTTTCGACAAAAATAAAATGACTTTGACTACCATAAGCAAAGTACACACATTGGATACTTGACCTGGGGGGTGTTTCACAAAGACTAAGATCAACTTTAAGTTGGACGTAACTATGGCAGGCCATTCGTGCCACTGTATGCTCTCACCGTTCACTGGCATTGGTCTCTCAAGGGACGTACAAATCATGGTCACAAATCTACAGAACTTTTATTTTTTGATAATTCATTATTGAAGGAATGATATTACTTAAAGTTCATAATGGTGGAAGCAAACAGTGACATAAACAGCCTGTCATATTGAAGTCCAACTTAAAATCAATCTTAATCTTTGTGAAACAGTCCCCAGCTCACACAAGCCAGATGAACCCCACACCTATCGGTTTCTTGACAAGTCTCTGTTCAATTCAGTCATTGTTTGACAAACTCTTCTAATAAACACACACACATTGTTTGCTAAGCAAGCACACCCTTAGAAACCAAGTATCAGCCACTGATAAAAAATAAAAAAAGATTGCAGACAGGAACTAATGGCCTGCAAAGTAAACAAGTTAAAGTTGTTTCTGGTTGCAGTATTAAAACAAGGGAAAAGATGAAACCACAAACTTTCCACATGAATGGATCAGAATGTATGGATCCAACGTGTATTTTGAAGTCTGGAAATGATGACCATTTATTTCCATGAAAACCCAAGAGGTTTCTGGCATAATTGTGCAACAGTTTGAATAACATGAATGCAGACCAATTTGTATCAAAATGGATGGCAGTTTTGAGATGCATGAAGAGAGAAATAAACCAAAATACATGTATATTCATATTCTATTCATAGTTATTATGACAACATTCTTGATCGTATTACATCTGTACATGTCATTAATAGGATGGGAATTAAAATAATATGGTCACCGGCTCACTGCTCTTTTTCACACATACAGTATATGTATATGGCAAAGTTCTGATATTATCTCCCCCCCCCCCCCCACAAAAAAAAAAAAAACGCAATCAGTGCAAATAGGAAACATTGCACACCATGCACCAAAAAGGAGATGACTATCTCCCTAAGGAAATGTCAAATTAATGATTCAATTTTTTTCAATACTTTGGGTAACATTGAATACAGTTCAATTTGCAACCATTCCACAAGTGTACAATTCGTGCTCTTTATTTCATGAATACATACAACAACAATCAACTCACCTGTAATCTCCTGGGTGGATGCCTGGCAATAATACTTTCCCCTTGATCCTTGTCATGGTCTACCATCACTTCAAAAGCCAAAGCCTTTGTAGGCGAGACACGCGGCTCACTGGACGACTTTGTCTCGTTATTGTTTGATTGTGAGGTTGATTCTTGATTGGCAGCCTGTCTCCTACGACCGTCTGATGTCTTGGCACTGTCAATGCCACTGTCCCTGCCAGAGGTACGACTGTTTGCTCTGTGCTCCGCATTGTCTCTAAGCACTGACTCGAGGCTTTTGTTGATTGGAGCAGTCTTGCTTCCGGGTCTAGAGTTGCTGTCAAGAGTTGCTAGTGAATTATTCTTGCTGTTCGTTGGAGTGGAATTTCCACACCCCATTGCGTACTGGAAAGCTGTTTCAGATCTTGAAAACTACATCTATTCTTCCGACAGTTCTTTTATGTTTCAGAAGACCAGTGAGAGCCACGTTACGATGAAATTAGAAACACATGTGTAGAACTGTAGACCCTGCAAAAGAACAAGAAAGGATTGAAAGTGCATAGATCTAGATACGTACCTGGTAACCCTCCTTTACTCCATTACCAACTGGGTATAACAATGCATAAAACAACAGGGGTCGATTTAAAGCCTTTTGATAGACCTGGCTCTAAGTCTATTTCTTACTTCATGAATTTAATGATTTTATTAGATCTCTGGACTTGGATGTACTTCACATAAATTGGGAAAAAGTAAACTTGATGTTTGAGATCTACAATGTGCATATACATGTAGATCTACTCATCAAAATATTGATCTACGCTGTACTGTATGAATGGAGATTTTCATCTTCTCTACACAATTGCTTTGCCCTGGCCCCTTATTCAAATCAGAACTATCCAACAAACTTTAATACACAATACAAGTTTAGTCAAAGTCAAACTCAAACTAAACAAGCATGAAGCCATAATATCATAGAAGAGTTTTGATAGACCTTGACTGGATGCATTTAATGATTTTATTACTTACCAAAAATGGTATGCACAATTTTCGTTATATCAAATGTAGGACTTAGCATTTAGAGGACTTAAGACTTAAGACATGATCTAATGCAATGTTAATCGTTAACTGGGATTGTATCTGACAGCCGATATTTGGGAAACTGTCTCTCAAAATTAAAAGACTTTGTCAAGGTATTTGATAGCCTATTATTACTATTTGTAATACCAATTTCATTTATTTACATTTGCTGGAAAGAGATTACTGTACCTCAGCTCAAAATAAATATATGATAAGCAGTTAAGCACATTCCTAATGAAGTATTACCCTTTTGACCATCTACAGTTGTATGGTGGTGTGACCATAGTTTGCGCATGACCTTAAATCGCTATCCTGATATGGCCAATGAAAAGAGGAACCAAAAACTTACTCAGAGACAAAATCTTTGCAGTCCATTTGGTAATAATTTAAATGAATAAATTTGTGTAGAATATGAGAAATCATGGATCAAATATCACACTTCCTAATATCTTTAAAATCTTTGCACTTTGGTCACTCCATATCCATCATACTTTTTTCATATCTTTTTATTAATAATAATATGATCCATACACAAAACCTTTTAAGTTTAGAGAGACAAAAATTTGGTAGAGAAAAAATATCTCATTGTTGTTTCCTTTGATTTTTGTAAGCATAGATCTAGGCCTTTACTTAGATCTATTATTAGCCCAAGTCTCCAATAATGGCAGTATACAATGTAGAAGGGCCTCAGTGGAAAACAGTATGTTACTACTGATGGAGCCACCCTACCGAAACAAGACTAGTAAATAGGTCTACCGGTAGATAAAATAAAGTTCGCCAGCCACTGAATTCTTCAACATAAACAGTTTAACTTTTAAAAAATCCAATTTATCCCAATCTATATCTATAGATCTAGATCTAGTCTAGCTAGGTTGATTTTAGATCCTCCTAGACCTAGTCTAGATCTAGTGTAGTGAGTAGACCCCTAACTTTTTTAGTGTATTAAAAAAAGTAAATCTAGACATTTTTAAGGGGAAAAAATCCTAATTAAGGGAAGAGGCGTAAATATTTACTTCTGAATGACAAACGCCTATAAACTAAGACAACAACGAAAACAATTTGGGAGACAATCTCTCAGTCTCACTCAAAATCAAATCAAATCAGCCGTGTGTCACTGACGTCGTGACGATCCGTCTTTTAAACTAGTTTTTATTAACTTTAACAAACATGAATGAAAGAACCACGGCCAAGTCTAGATCAACTAAATATCTGTTGGTGCAAACAAAGTTCTAGATATACATGTAGAACTATAGAGAACATCATAGAAATAGAGAACATCATGATCATGCACAGAAAACCATCCAGCTTAGCTTAGCGATTTGTGGGATAGGCTAGTCCGCTAGGCTCGGGGACTTGAAGCTCGTGGAGCGCTGGAACGTTCATCAGACTCGGACTAAACTAAAAGTCATCATGGATGATCACATTACAACCTTCAAAATATCTTACCTCTAAATGATTTCACACGATGAAGATACTATATCTGACGAGACCAATACTTCAATATCTATGTAATATGAATGTTTACCGATGAAGTTCACACAACATTCCGCAAATAGTAATATTTCGACGAATACGGTGCTACTGAGAAAACTTTCGTTAACTCCAACTTGGCGAAGTTAGCTAATGTGGACGATTCCATTATTGTTTTAGGTGTTTCGGTATAACAAAATAATTATAAATATATATTTTTCAGCACAATTGAAGTAATTTTCAGACAAAAATTTGCTGGAAAATACTTAAAGTGATATGCTATAATATTTTCTCGAATCTTTGAAACTATTAACACATATTTTCTAAACAACTTTATCTTCCATTTAAGATGCTGCCCTTCCCTCTTTCAATAAACAACGTGGCCGCGTCTGGTGTCTTAGCAACTGACTCCGACCTCGGTCGTGTAATGGCTTTCTGCGAACTTGTGAAGGAGTCTTTACATTGATTCCCGATTCAACCTTGTCAAATATTTCAAAATCATTTGACCTAAAAAAAGTACGATGTCTGACTTGCCAATTGACTTCACTGATTATGATTGTTATATCATCCAGAAAATTCAGTGTGTACTGTCCTAATCAACCATACTCGGCGTCGATCGGTGTTGGTGTTGAATGGGGTGGTATGGGTAGTGATGAGGGTAGAGGGGGGGGGGGGGGGGGGGGGGGGGGGGGGGGGGGATTAGCGTTGATCCCGGGAAATGGGAGTATAACCACCTAATTAGATGTTGGTATGTATACGTACAAATTATTATCTCTACGACCTTTTTTGACAAAGGAAAATATATATTTATTTGCACACTAGTGACTGTCGTCGTTTGTTCAAGTTCATTTATTTACACTCACCATGAAAAATACAGAGTAGTCACATTTACAAATACAGAATAAACATACATAAATATCATACATCCAAACAAAAAAAATAACATAATGAGAGTGAAGGGATGAGCAGATTAGGAGAATAGTCTTTATGCAAGAGTCCATCCCTCATATTAAATATCGTACCATTGGAAGAATGAAAACAAAAAACAAGGAGGGGGGGGGGGGTAAAAAGCCTGGTAGTTTTATCGCACGTAATATTCAATTAAATATATTTCATATTTTCGTTTGATAGTTTGAAGACTTTTACAATGTTGTATATTTATGGGAATGGAATTCCAAATTTTTGGACCATCGAAAGATATTGATTTTTTCATTAAAGTTGTTTTAAATTTGTGGTAGGTGGAAATTAGATGGATTTCTAGTTTCATGAAAAGTCGAATTCAATTTCAAATACTTTAGAAGTGCACATGGTAATGATTCATTTCGACATAAGTACATGCAGACTGCAATATGATATTTACAGATATCAAATACATTGAGAAGCTTTAATTTATAAATTATAGGTTTCGAATGAGCTCTGTAGTGTGAATTTGAAATTAACCGGATGGCTTTCTTTTGCATTTTCAGTATTCTGTTCAGATTGGTTTGACATTCTATTCACCTCCAATGACCTCGGCAATTGTATTCAAACCTTGGTCTGGGCCTCCGTGAAATACAAGATCACTAGGGAAATGATGAATGTCTAGGTTCATAATGAATGAACTGCGGAACACTCAATATTTTAGAATTCACAGTATAAACAAGTGGGGAAGGATATAGCAGACGGGTGTTATTTTTAGGAACCTCCAGAAACGAGAAATTCCGGAATCGAGAGTGGAAATAACGAATTCCGACCTATTCCTGCCTATATTAAATGCACGAGTCGTCTTTTTAGGCAAGTATGCCTATTATTGTATCCATTTATTCGTTTGATATCTTTTTATATACTCATTTATTTATTTATTTATTTATTTATTTATTTATTTATTTATTTATCTATTTATTCATTCATTCATTCATTTATTTATTTATTTATTTATTTATTTATTTGTTTATTTATTTATTTGTTTATTTGCTTATTTTTGTATTTATTTATTTATCTAAATATATCTATCTACCTATTTATGTATGTATTTATTCATTTATGTTTTCATTTATTCATTTACTTATTCATTCACTTATTCATTTATTCCTTTATGTAATTTAAAACAGATTTGCTAAAGGGTCTATACTAAACAAAGTACGTGGTTGGTCTTTCAAAGGAAACGGGTTGTACTTCCCTCGACTACAACTTCTATACTACTACTACTACATGTACACATTATGATAAAACAATAGAAATAAGTTATCTTCATTTGTCAATTTGTTATTTGATTGAATAATAGGCCAATGAATGTATTTGAATATATCATAATCACCAGTTTCCCCACAGATGAATTTCTGTTTTTTTTTAAATCAGACAATAAATTATCCGTGAAATTATCTTGAATCATTAGATGTAAAATGATAGTAACCATAACAATTTTTTTTTAAATTGTGACATCAATTGAATCTCGTAAGACAGTAATTAAAGCTACAACCTCCCCCCCCCCCCCCCCGAGTTTGGAAAGGTTTTGTACTGTGATTTTCCCAATTAGGCCTATATCATTTTAGTTCATCAGTGAGATCGTTGATCAAATTCACGACTATCAAAATGTATACCAATTAGGCGCTAGCCAACATTAAATGGCAATTCAACCCTTGGTATAAGTTCATTTGTAATTGTATGAAAGCAGGAAAATAAAGATAAACATGCCCTAATAATTGTTTGAGTGTTTGAAATATGATATCACTAAATAAGTGTGAATCTCAATCTGGAAATTTGGTTCGCGAATCGTGGGGTAGACACGGACACTAACTCTTCCGTTTGTCGTGTACAAAAATTATCATTAATTTCTGTTTTTCTCCTATTAGTACTTTCTCAAGTTCCTTGGTGCAATACTCAAGATATAATAATGATAATGTGTTATGAAATAGGTCCTTTAAATGGAAAAGACACTCCTGAGTCATAGATTTTTGAAAAAATTACATTTACATTGGAACTAATGGGAAAGTTGTTCATCACTAAATCATAGAGACTTTACCGATTCAGCCAATTTGATTAGCCCACGCCCTTGGTGATTACAACTTTCAAAAAATTATAACACTCCCAAATGTTGGATTTACATTCAACCAGGGATATGTTTAAACTCACATATCCCTGATTCAACCGTGGTCCTACAATCCACATTGTATAAGGACATCTAATTTCACATTCAAACGAAATTCAATAATTTCCAAAATAATATGATAATTATTCTAAAATCCATTGTCAGCGTCAATAAAATAGGGGAGGGGGAAATTTGCACTGAGCACTGCACTGGCTTTTAAAATGAAATGAATTTTGAACGCCAGATGGCGGACATGTCAATTAAGTCACAGAGTCAGATTGGGTTTATAAACAATACTCGGTAGTGCTTTCGAGGATTTTAGATAATGAGATGCGAAGCCTCCATTTCCTTGACTGTGTATCCACGATGTGATTGTATGTAGTACAGCACTGAACGGTGCATCGGTGCATAGTGCTATCGTGTCTTTGTGTGAGTGGCTCGCTGCATCCACACCGTATGCTATCTTCTGCTGACCGCAGATGCTGTCTTATTTCTTCCAACATATGGACTTGAAGTGAGCATAATATTCTTCAAAGGAAAAGGTATCGGGTTATCAGAAGAGGATTGAGTGAGTATTCAATTTTCTATATTTAATTTTCTTAAGAATCACGAAGGTGAGATTGTAAAATATATCACCATTATTATTCAGTCACAGGGGGTAATATCACTAGTACAATGGTAGTGTAATTTAAGCGCCAAAACAGAGAATCATATATATATAGATGATGATAGTCATTCATGATGGTGGCTCCTTAGATGTACCGACGACATCCGCTTTTGTATAATGAAATTCTTAGTATACGACATAGCCAATGTACGACATTGCTCATGCGTTTAATCATTTGCTTTATAAAGGCACAGTATTTGCGTTGCAGAATCATACTTTTTTTTGTAAAACTTATATAATGATTATGAAGCTTATAAATTATAATGCAGTTTATTTATAAAGATCATCAGGAATGCTTTCCCGAGTTCACATTCCATCAACGTAACACAGATCACTTCACATGCATATTATATTCGAACGTTGTGATTGATGGGTAGCCTCCTTGACAATATTACAAGGATTTAGTCAAGGTTACACTTGAACTTTGAAGACCCTTCACTACTTTGCCCCTCCTATCGATTCTTGTCACCGGGGTATATGACAATAAATAACAATAGACTATATTCTATTTAACCTGCAATGCATTGAAGTACAATACCCCCGAACAGTAAAATGAATTGTTGCTCATTAGAGAAAGGAATTCCCGTAAAAGGATCTATCACATTTTAAACACCTCCTCCCGAAGTTGTACGCTTTAGGTTTAGTAGATCTTACCATACTCCTTTAATTCAAGGTTTAAATGTTATGTCCGCCTCTCTATTTATAATCTGTTTAAAATTTAATTATTTCTCTTTAATATTAATTACCGGCTAATTTTCGTCTGTTTCGAGTCAGAAGGGCATTAACTCATGTACTTTAAAACAAAGTTAACGCCCTTCTGGCTCTGAACAGATTATGATTTACACTTTAAGCTTATAGGGGTATATAGATCGTCTGAAATGATTATAGTAATTAAATGATTAACGAAGATTAAGTAATTAAAGGCAGATGGGAAGTCACGAATCATCAGATCGGGCATCTCTTGAAGGTTCTATGTCCCATTTGCAGGCCCAAAAAATGAAAAGGTTAAATTCCAACGGCATTTGAAAGATAATACTAATTTAGAACTTCCCTCAAAACGAAACGAAAATGAAAATGTCTTTAAGTGGGAAAATAACAACCATTATTTTTCGAATCGACTTAAGTGATTGCAATCACCTACGCAATAGTCTGATTTTCAGACCGTTTTAATGAATGGTCGTACGTTTTGTGCTGCACAAAGATTCAATTAGTTTAATTTTGGCCATTACAAGTGGTCAGTTATTAATCAAGACAAAATAATGCTCATGTATACCTGTTATACATCTCATTTCATTAATGTTATTACCAAAGAAAAAAAGATGTCAATCAGTCACTCAATAGTGTCTGACGACTGACGGTGAAGTGTAGAAGATAAACACGTTTCCTTGCATAATCTTAATACTAGGACACAGCTAATGTTTAAATTTCACAAATAGGTCATACGTGACAATATTCATAATTCCTGCAAAGTTCTACAGAATTTGATGTTGGCTGCAAAAGGGACATAGTATCTTTAACATAAATACGATGTTACATGATTTTATGAAATTGTAAACAAAGACGTTTTATTTTGTAGCATATTTAACGGATTTGTTTTTCCCACTTTTTCCTTAAAACCTGCATGGACGAGAATTTAAACATCTATATAATTTATATAATTTGGTATAGATAATGTTATCCGAAATCTGATGGTCAGGTAAATGATACAAACAATTTTCATAATCAGGAAAGGTCAACAATTAAAATGAGCCACTTATCAACTTTTGACCTGCCATGTGTTCAGCGTCTACAATCATTACAGACAAAATGTTCTTTCATTTCACCCTTACACTATTTGTTTTTCATATGTTTTTTACCCTTGTATGCATGGGCAGTGTAAATGATGTCTCTTTGCTCAAGCTACCCTTTGGAGAAAATATTAATGTCTGACAGTCCTTATTACGATGATGATCCTGTAATCGTGCTGTACTGTATATCATTTTGCTCTTTTACAATAAATCTTTCAAAATTGAGGATAATTAAGAGACCATGACGAACTGTTGGAAAATAAATATAATCTTTCATGTTTAGCAAAAACTTGCTATATACAAACATATGTTTTCAATTTGAAAATTAAATGGCATAATATTAAAAATTTATTTTGTTTGAATTTATAGTGTTTTCAATTGAGCTTCATATTGAATTAGCACATTATTATCCCTATACTAAAAAATGCGATTAGTAATCGCATTTTTTGTTTGCAGTTTTCTCATGAGCTTTAATGAGCAGCATATATTTTGCACTTATGATAATATTCAAAGACCGCATTAATTTTCCTCAAAGCTCATGCTTATCCGCAAATAATATCGACCTTGAATCTACTGATAAGCTGTATAAATATTGTTGCTAGCTATATTAATGCACACAATGTCATAAAGGCAATAAAATATTCATGGTTTTTATACGTGTAATTTGCATACTATTCATGGGAACATTTTGACAGGAAAATATACCAGAACGCTATACCTATTTAGCTCTTTCCATTAAATTGTTTATCGATGTCCATATCGATGTCCATATTTAATAATTGGTAAGTTTTGAAATGATATCCGATGATATTACAATGGCAATACAGGGCTGTTCACTCTGTATATAATTTAGAAATGCATGAATGATCATTTCAACCACATATAAGCAAGATGACGGTGTGAGATTAAGCCATATTCTGAACTCAAGTTACAATCCCTCTGCATGATAAAAAGCTATATCGGGAAACAAATATGAACAGTTCTGTAACTGTATCGGGCTGAGAGCTTGGCCATATGGCTTCATTTGATATCCGAGATAAGACACAAATAACACGTACATGTACCCGTTATTATTGTAAACCCACTGATTGATTACTGCTTGTGGCTTTAATATCATGACTATCAGAGGAGAAAGGAAAGGATATGCGGGTGCATTAAAATAAAGTTGATTTAGGCAAGACAGCATGCGTATGGAAGGGGATGAGCAATGCATACGGAGATTATTCATCGAATATTTCAATAAAAATATTTACCTTAATTTGTCATGAAAAAAACAATACATGGATAAAGAACACATAGTTTAACTTAAAGAAATATATCGTGCTTCATTTTTATTAGGGAGTTCACTTATTGAACAATGTTGTCCGAAACTTAGAAATGTTGTTATCTGCTCATAAAGGTAATCAGCATTATACAATTGAAACCATCTTGTTGGTATAGATCAAATTTCACTGATTATGATGGAGCGAAAATTGCTTCTGCAAACAGTCTTAGGTTTCTGAACAAGATACCTTGATTTTTTGTTTCCTTTCAAAATGTATCAAAAGACCTGATGATTCAACATGACAGGTTATTCATAAGATGAAAATGGTTGATCCGGAGCCATTTCAAATTATATTACCAGTCTCTTAACTCTATTCCCTAATTTACAGAATTAGCATCATGGACCGTCAAACGTTGGAGCGCATCTTGTGGACGAGTGTCATTTTTCTCATCGCTCTCCTCCATCTGGTCTCCATGACAACCGGTCACACTGCGCAGGGGAAGAATATCAATCCACACGACCCTACAGACCAATCTAACAAATTCAGAGACCCTGAATTCGTCAGAAATAAAGAGTATGTGTATATATAGATTGTAGTTTATCCAACTGATCTAAATACATCACTAAGGTGCTCAATAATAGGTCTGGAGAAAGATCAATATTACATTTGACTTACCAATAAAACATGACGACAATATGTACATATTCTGATTGATCCGGATAATTATTATATTCAAGTAGGCCTATGTCAAGAGTCCAAACGCAGCACTTACGAATGAAAAAAATAAAAAATAGTTTGTGGTATCCGTACACTACTCGACGCATCTCAGGGATCGTTGACCTTCGTGGATTATGAACATTCTAGATCTGATGTTTATGTGAGCCCCCTCCCCTGCAGGTGTGTATCCCCCTCTAACTATTACAATATTAATTTTAGCTTCGTGACGTTGTCGATGAATATGCATGGAACAGCTTGAAAGGACTAACACGTTATTGCTGTATTTTTATGATATACTGAATTAAATCTTGTCCTTTATTTCAGGCACGTCAAAGAACATTTAGAAGGACAAGTCGATACAGATGAAAAGGAAATGACAGACGAAGAACTCGAGTTCCATTATTTTAAGTAAGTATATACTTACTTCTATGTACGAGGTATGTTATCAAGGAGATTAAGATATAGTATAAAAACAAACAACATCATTATATCTAAAATAATATTGTAAGTAATGAAATTAAGACGAATGATAATTATTATGCGGAACAATATTCTCATATTTTTATGAAATAGATTGACATTAATTTTGTTCATGTCGTTCAAAGTTTGTACACCTTTTTGCAAATCCCTACATCTAAACATTTTAGTCCATGAATATGAATATTGAAAGAAAGAGAGAAAAGAGCTATAAATATATTTTCCCTCTCTTTTACAGACTACATGATTTCGATAATAACACCAAACTAGACGGTCTTGAGATTATGGCAGCTATAAGTCACGTGGTGCCTTTTGAACCTCCTGAAAAAGACATGTCGGTGAATCAAATCGCAGATGCAAGGGTCAAGTATTTTTCAGGTGAGTATTTTAAGGGGAACAGAGAAATGTAGGGACTCTATTTTGTCATGGTCGTGGAAGTAGCTGGTTTTTGAAACGATTTGTCCGATAGATTTAAATCCACGCTGCACTTATAGCTACTTGCTCCCTCTATAATAACAAACAATACATAATCGGTGACCATTGATCCCCCATGATCCTCTTTTTATTATGTTAATTGAGAGCTGATTTGATGAGATAACCACCTGTCCAGTGACCTTGCAGTGTAGTTCAATCCCTCCTGTTCACTAGTATTGATGGGCTTTAAGACAAAACTATGCCTCCCATCAAAGTATCGCGAAATGAAATTCTAAAATCATGGAATCATCATTAGATAGGAGTGTACAACTGTCAATATTGCTGCTCATGTGATTTTATTTTTGACTGATTTCTCATTTTTTTAAATTCAAAATGTGAATAGGAATATATATATATATATATCTTAACGAAACATGTTGATACATTGATTTAAAAAGACCAATCCATATTTCAAGTGTACCTATATAATTATGATGAGTTTCTTTTATGTAACCATGGACCTAAAAACTACGGAAATGAACGGAGGGAGTCTAGTTTTACTAGTCTTAGTTTAGAAGTCCGTGATCTATAAAGATACATTTCTTTCCTCTTTCTTGTTTCTGCTTGTAGGTATCATCGATCAAGTAATGCTGGATGATGACTATAACAAAGATGGATATCTTACCTATTTAGAATATGTCTTGTCAAGACGAAGGCATCAAGACGAACCATGAAGATATTTCATTTCTTTTTTTCTTTGTTCAAATTTGTGTTCATGTTATGTTTCATTCTGTTTCGTTTACTTGTATTAACTATAACAAAGGCCTATTGTTAGCGGTTTTTAATTTTGATTTTTTGATTTTTTTTTTGTTGTTTTTGTTTTGTTGTTCTATATTTATGATAGAGACGACAACCACGGGGTAAGGTGTTGGAGTGACACGTCTCCCCTTGCAAAATTTTCCAGTTTGAAACAAAAAGTAAAATTAAAAATTAAAATGGTTTGACCTCTACAGAACATCTTTTTAGGAAACGTAGTGCTCTATCCGCATTCAAGGTTTATTTCTTATTAATTAAATGGAACTCTATATCATTCTGTGGGGTCGCAATGTTCAGTTGTAGCATATACGGTGTTCATATTGAGTTGTTTGATTTTATATGGTTCATTGATAAAAACGTACATTCAAATAGCAGCCAGAGGCTGAAACAAATTGAGTTTACAATGTGCCTGAAGAAGCATTATCGTCAAATTATAGGCCTACTGCAAAATAGTATATTCAGTAGGCGATATCAGGGAAAGTGTGATAATGCATTAATGGGGCCACCCGGCATAAACGTATAAACATTACAAAAACACTGTTCTGTAATCATTCTGCAAGCCATGCGCTTCATTATGTTGAATAAAAAATGACTGGGATTTTTATATGACTTGTGTTCAAAAGGAAAAAGTGAGTATTATTATGTTCAGAGATTGAAAGTGCAAAATGTTTCGCTACGTCGCCGCGCTCTCTTGCAATGATAATGAATACAATACAAAGTTTTTTTTATACTTCTTGTTTTGGGATGGGGTTACCCTCACAAATTCCTCCCCCTTTGTCGCCTCACTCCTATGCACATGCCGCCCCTCCCCTCTCCGACCTGACCCACCCCCCCCCCCATAAAAAAATAGCCTATACAGTCATGTATATCACAAAATCACAGCCCCTGTATTTACCAAGGACCTATGTATGATTACTGTTTTTTGGTCAATATGTTTGTATTTAGCTAAATGCTTCAATTCGAGTGCATCGAACATTCTTCACGATTCTTTTCTTCTTTTTGTGTGTGCACACTATAATATGGTGCTAATTTTGTCATGGTTTGAAATCATCTCAGCGATGGAACGATGAATTCTATGAATTTTACTCTTTTTTCTTTTTATTGCTTTTACGGAGATTACTTTGTATCGATAAAGAGGTACTATGCTTCAAGTCTTAAGTTTATCATTAAAGGCATGTTTAGATTTTAATGTTCATTGATTTTGATGTTCATGTGCAATACATGTTGATATTTTGTTGTGCATTGATGTTTATCTAAGATTTAATTTCATAAAGTAGCTTGTAAGATTATGCCTTCATACTACTCAGCTTACACTTAAACAAAAAAATGATTTCCTCGGGAGATATCAAAATTATTTGTGTTAAACAAGCAACCAATCATAACCGTTTATTTGATCTAAATTATAGTCCGACATAATCTACCAACTGAAATCTTTGCCGAAATAATATGACCAAACGTAACTCAATTAATAATGGGAGGAAATTAATACCGGGGATAATTTTAGGCACGTCGGCTGGATGATCATTTTGATGATCAACCGAAAGGGTCATTATCATAGGTGTATCCCTGATTGTACAATGTATAGCTTATTTTGTGAATATGAACAATTATTATCATCAGGCAATGGACAATTCTCGTTAGATGCAAGCATTACCATTTTTTTTAGTTAACATACTTTTTTTCTCATCTTCGATTACATGTTGTTTGTTTTAAATATGTATCTGTCATGTATGATTGCTTTTCAAAGTTACTTTTTAGTCACCGTGTATTAATAAATTGATTGATATGCAATAAAGACATTCATTCGCATTTTGAGGAAGGAATTCTGTCAGTGTCTTTCGTCCGTTGTCAGATACATTTTTTTCATAATGTGAGTGTCGAAAGAGATATATAGAGCATGGATACAAGAGAAAGATAATGCGAGAGAAAGAGAGAGAAAAGAGAGAGAGAGAGAGAGAGAGAGAGAGAGAGAGAGAGAGAGAGAGAGAGAGAGAGAGAGAATGAGAGCTGTCAATATTATTGCAATCTTGCATTATCACAGCGAACAATGAGTAGGGTGTGCAGCAAGCAGGAAAAAAAGCCCATTGTAACCGGAAAGATCCATCGTTTCATATAAGCAAGCAACTTTTCTGTTCAGTTGACGGAGAGAGAAATTAGACGGAGAGAGAGAAATTAAAGAGAGAGAGAGGGGGAGGGAGGGAGAGAGAGAGAGGGAGAGAGAGAGAGAGAGAGCGAGATATAGAGAGGTTTTTTTTTGGGGGGGGGGGGGCTCCTGCTTTTTAGTTTACGAATTATTGCTAGTTCGCAAAATATGCGTGGACAAAAATTAAGATATAGGGCCTATATAAATAAGCATTTAAAAACAATTACGTGGAAGGAGGGATCGGTAAAAATGTAGGGAATCATTCAGTATCTCCGAACAAGATAGAACAGGAGTGATCAAAATGTAAGTCACGTGTTTTTTCTTCTTATTTCTCCTTTCAGGTTTGTAAAATTTGACCCTGCCCATTCAAATGGTCACATGGTCTGGCTTCAAAATATGCAATTTCCATCACAGAGTGTGTATACGTTTGTTGAAAAGGCGCCTTTAAAGGGACTTGGTAACATTGTTCAGATGAGAGAAAATGGTGCATGCTAGATGTACAATTAAAGGTAATCTGAAAGTTTGAGTGAAATCAGACAAAACTAATCTGATCGATTCCTTCATTCTCCCAACAAGGCCTATATTATTATAATTTAAGCAAATTTAAGTGAATTTAAATCGTCACATAGCTATGAATCGGCTATATACATTCCAAACATTGAAGAGTTGAAAGATTTTTAAAAGCCTGTTTGATGTCTTATATATTTTCATGGAAAAACGGTTAATGGGAAAATTCAAAAATTAAGTTGAGAGAATTTACTGTTCGAGAATGTTGCACAGTATATACTTTTCAACGAAAACCATAAATGTCTTTGTGGTTTGAGAATTTTCCAGGATTTTGTATACATGTTAGAGGGTTAGTACAGTAAAGGGAATATAATAAGTAACATTTCATACAATTTTTTTCCTCAACCTTCAACAATTTAATGTTACCGGTTCACTTTAAGCCGAGTGAGAAAAAAAACTGGTGGACTATGAATTACGAAATTCATCCGAAATGTTAGGAGAAATCAGTTAGACAACATACATCCCAGAGAGTATTTTCTCGTTAAACACAAGTTCCAATCATATGCAATAAGAAAAGAATATAAAGAAATATAGAAATACTGAAAGGCAGTGATCTTCTCTTTTTTTGCTTGGACTTTCCAACAGGAATGTTTACATTTGAATAGAATTTATTTTACCAGTTCAATCAAGATGATTTCATTTTTCAGATGGGAGAAACTCGAATCCTTTTCAAAACTGATGGGCATACCAATGCTATTAGAAGTCGAGTTTGTTAAAAAGGAAAGAAAAAGGAATTCGATTATGGGTTAGCCAATTCGGCACGTTGTATGTACACGCATCTAGATAAGCCGGAGTTCCGCAGACTGATTTCAGATTGACCGGGGGGGGGGGGGGGGGGGGCTCCTACTATATCTACCAATTTAATCAAAGGGGGAGAAAAAAAAGTACCCTCAATGAAGAAACAAAGAAACGCAAGTTTTTAATGTCAGATTATAACATCGACAATGAATCAATCACCATTATAGTATAAATTATGCTTCACAAACCAACCATTCGAGAATCAACAGAAAATCTTTTAAATTTGTACCTCTTGCCAATATACATAATATTATCTTTGCTTTCTCAGTTGCAATGAATATCTTTAAAAGTTTTCAGTATACATAATACATTCTTTCGTTTTTTGTTATCCTTCCAAGCAATAATTATAAATGCAATTTGATAAAATTATGATGGTTATTTTTTTGGGGGAAAAAAGGAATTGATTCTCGACAGTGGCATTCCATAAGCCCTCCTACCTTCTTCTTTTTGTTATTTTTCAGAATCCTATGCGGTTTGATTATGTGTACCGTGGCATAAATTTATCACCAATACCCCAAAGACAAGCCTACCTTTGATCCTCATTATTTAAGTGTGTAAGGAATTTGCGATCAAAATGGATGTTCCACCTGGGTTAAGGCATCGTAAGTGTATGTTACTTTCTATATTTTAGATATTGGTGTTACATATGGTGCTGAAAATGGAGTATTCCTGCTGTGATGTTCCGCTGCAATGCAACATATCTACTTTTCAGTTCAGTTTGCACGTCAAGCTAAGCTGAGCTGTGTCTGAACGTCTGTGCTGCAGGTTCATGTCATGATCAGCACTGATCATCGTTATTTTGGTTTGAAATGATAAAAAACAATATATTTGATGTGTCAACATATTCGTTTGTGTTTGTTCAGTGTTTATATTCTAAACCCTATACTCATTTTAGCTTTTTGTTATGATTTGTTTAGCATTTTGTAAGTTTTTCTGACTCGTGCCATGACATGACCTGAGTAAAACTAAAAAAAGACATTTTGAAATGATGTAGACTCTAGATGTAGTCGTGCTCATGGCTCATGGATGTGAAAAAGAAAAATGTTAAATTAACACCAGTGTCTATATACTGACATAAGACATGCTTAAATTATTTAGTGTGTGCCTTGTCTAGGATTAGACCTATTCGAAAGTTAAATGTGGTCATTGTTTTCCAAATTTCCAACCTTTTCTGTCTTTCATGTCTTTCTGAAATTGCTCTGACTGCATGACTCTTGAAAAATTTCTGCTCTCCTTCATTTCATGTCTGTCTCTGAGATTCTTAGAAAATTAGATCAACATGAAAAAGGGAAGAAACTTGTTTGATTAGGTTTATAATTTCTTGCCGTAAATTTAGGAAAAGTTTTTTATTGCTTGAATTTTTATCTGTCAACCTGTATTCTTATTCATTCTTTCAAGAGTCTTATATTGCATGTCTATAAATATATTAAAGGCAGAATGACGAAAAAAGAAGAATGAAAAACCGATGCCTTTTGCATGACAGCAGTTTGGTGCTTTATACATGGAGAGCTGCCTCAATGCCTGATGTGTATTACTGTATCATATTTTATATTTATGTACTTCTACATGTAGTGTTATGTCTCAAAGAAATTTAAATATGTAGTACTATATTTGGTTTAATTAAAATTATATCAAAGTTCCCTAAACTTAAGATCACAATGCACAATTTTGTTTAAGACTAAAGATTTGTTTTCATATTTGCCTTAAACCTACATTTGTATAGGTATGTACACTGTACTTTCCATGCCACACCTTTAATCGCTTTAAAAATTGAAGTTGCTTCAAAAGTTTGCAGCTATTTAACATACATACATGTATACATGTAGACATTACATGAAAATAATTTTAATCACTTTAATTGAAGTTGCCTCTGTAGTATGCAGCTGTTGTTCATAGACATTTAATTTGTAATTTAAAAAAAGGGAAAAGTAGTATGTTATGTTTTCCATTTTCAATGATACATGTATTTAGTCTCTGTTCTGTTAATTAGGTATATATAATTTTAAAATAATTCCCCTTCAAGTAAACCATTCCAATATTTCAATATCCAAAATTAGGTGCACCTTAAAATATGTACACGTAGAAGAATAATCTTTTTTTTTAAAGATAACCAGCATCATTTCAGGTTTCCATTTCTAACATAATATTTCTCTCAATTGTCTTTCTATCATAATAAAATTGTGCAGCTCAACAAAGGCAAGGGCACCAGAGGAAGCCTAAGGCCAAGCAACATGAGGGAAGACAACCCCAGCTGTTTGATGACACCAGCACTGGCATGCCCCCACCACAGGAGGCAGCAGCACCACCAGCAGGAGGGGGAATGCAACAGAACCCCTACGGAGGCCAACCTGGGCCTATGCAACCTGGGTACCCTGGACAGAACCTGATGAATGACCCCATGGCCAACATGGCCATGCAGTATGGTGCCTCATTGGCAGACCAAGGAAAAGATGTAGTAGAGAAACAGGTGATTAAAGTTATCTTATCTCCTTTTAGCCCCCCCCCCTTCCCCCTCCATTGTTATTTCTACTGTTTGTTATTTGAATGTAGTTGCGTAGTACATTTCCTCTTGATACATATTGTGGAGGCAGTTAGTAAAGCAGTGACTTTGAAATGATAATGAAGTCTAAATCCCATTGCTTCTGAATACGCTGTCAATCCTTGGTCCCTTGTATAGTACTGTGAAGTTGATATTTCTCATTCATGGAAAAGATGGGTAGTACAATGGAGGTTACCAATGTATATTTTGCACCATGAATGATCGTTCCTCTGAATTTGAGACATGGTTCGATAATGGAACCACCGAGAAGTTTGCAGCACCCAGAATCTTTAAATCAATGTACATCAATAACTGAATAGTGTCTATATTTCTCTTTACTTTCCACAGATTGACAGGTTTATGTCTGTGAGCAAGCTCAAGTACTATTTTGCAGTGGACACAACTTATGTTGCAAAGAAGCTCCTTATCTTACTCTTTCCATTTTCACATACAGTAAGTGACTTGGTGTTTTTTTTTTAAAGAATATAATCTGTATCTTCAAACCCATGGTTCTCACCAAGTAAGCAGAAATCAAATGTTCAATATCATTGGAAGCTTTTTATCATTATGTCAACACAGTGGTAGTATGAGAAGTTTTGTTATTGTAAGATGCATGAAGGATTCTTCCCCCCCCCCCTTCAACCAATAACCAATGCTCTTAGATCTTAATAAATGTTGCACTAACAATTGATCTGGAAATCTAAACTGTAGTCTGAAGAAGCATTTAGCACGATTTCACTAGTTGTGTTGAAAGAAGTTTCAATAGATTTCGTACCAGTCACATGATTTATTAAACTAACTTACACTCATCTACTTTACTTTCATTACTTTTGACATCAGGATACAATGTGAAATCGTGTCGTACATGTTGTGTTATCAATTTAAAGTCAATGTACACATTTGGTATTATAGCAGGTACATCTAGAACTGTTATAAATTTTCATGAAAAGTCCTATTTCTTGCTCTCTTTTAGGACTGGACCATTCGTTATAACCAAGATGAGCCGGTAGCCCCACGCTATGAAATCAATGCTCCTGATCTGTATATTCCTGCAATGGCATTTGTCACTTATCTCCTGCTGGCTGGGGTAGCACTGGGACAACAGCAAAGGTACTTTGCTTTGTGATGGAGAACTAAAAAATTATTTTAAATTGATAATGATCAATTTTATATTATTCCTGATCATATTCATAAATGGTATACTTGTCTAAAACCCAGTGTTTGACATTGCAAAAAAAAAGCATGTGTCATGACTGTGAACTTATTGTTTCTACATGCAGTTCTGGACTTTTGACACTAAAGCTGACCTTTCAAATCTTGTATATGAAATTACTTAACTCAGACTTTTTACTTGTGTTTTTATCAACACATATTGCAATAATAAACAAATATACCATGCACTGAAAGGCTCTAGTTGAAATTATGGATCGAGGTGGCAAAAAGAGCACTATTTTCTGAGGGGCTATGCCCCTCAGAAAATAGTGCTCTTTCTGTCGCCGAGGAATCCATAATTTCACTAGTGGCTTGAAATATAGTGCATGATATATTTGTTTTATATTTTTCAAACCAACCTTCACAAAAATAATAATAATAATGATAATAATAATAATAATGTTTACTGTCACTTAAGTAGTGTATAGTGTAGTGAGAGTAGCTCAAACGACAGTACCGCGACCGTGACTGATAGCACATTGATCTTGATCGATCGCATAGTGCTATGGTATAGTGCACTATACCATAGATGACGTCATGGTTACATCATAGCAATGTTATGTTTGGTCACATGATGCTATGTTGGCCAATCACTGAACAGGATTTCATTGATCAAAAATATAATAAAGACTATAAGCTGATGTCTGTTTCATATTTTATGCTTTCTGTATGATGTAGCAATCTGGTTGTTGAGGGCTCTTGCTCTCCCTGGTGTCTTACTATCAACATTTGTTCACATCACTTTGTTCTGTTTCTTAATGGTTTCAGATTCAGTCCTGAGATGCTTGGGAGGCAAGGTAGTTCTGCCCTGGTCTGGTTCATCATTGAGGTCATAGCAGTCATCGTCACCATGTACATCACCAACATCCTCAACGCACTCAGAAAACTGGATTTAGTGGCATTTTGTGGATATAAATATGTTAGGTGAGGAGTAATGGGAGTAAACTGTGATGTGTATTAGTACTTAACAGCTGCTGAGAGCCAGAAGGATAATAAATCAAGGATTGAACACAGAGTTTGTGTCCTGGCAGTTAACAGACAATGTGATGATGGTTGAATCATGGGATAGAGCAAGAAACTGAAAAATTGTCTATTTGGAGTTATTGATAATAATAATAATAATAATAATAATAATAATAATAATCTTTTAAAGTCCACTCCAAATTTTATTAAGTTAAACCGAAAATGGAAATTCCTTTTGCCCAATTGATCGTGTGCCCGGCAGCCACTGAGCAGCGCCCGATCGACGTTGCCCTATCCCTTATTGTTGAACGCCAAACAAGGTAGCAGCAACTCCCGTCTTTTAACGTCTTTTGGTATGACGGGGCCGGGGCTCGAACCCATGACCTCCCGGCTGACTGAGCCAACACACCGGTATTATTAGTGAAAAGTGGTAGAAGAACTGGTGATAGCCACATAGCTTAAAGAAATGCATCAAATGGCAAAGGTGTTTTCCGTTCGTCTGCAGTAATACAATGTTGGCGATGAAATTTTGCCTGGAAACATACATGTACATCACACAAACAGAGTATCAGCTAAGTTTGCCCAGAATTGGTGTGTGAGTATCGGTTCCTGATGTTAGTATTAACAATAATGTTTTATTTATTTATGTTTTGCAGCATGATTGTATGCCTCCTTGCCAGTGTCACGTTGGGTTCATTCTTCTATTACATCGCATTCTTCTACACAAGTGTCTCAATAATCTTCTTTTTGGTGAGTAAAACAAAAAAAAACACTTCAAAGTTTATACAATATGAGATGGTGACTATAACATTACATTTGCAAATACTGTACTCGTTCCTGATTGTCCACTAATCTTGATACTTTGCATCACAAAAATGATTTGGTTAGACTACATGTATTTTTTTAATGTTTTTTTTATATATATTTTTTTAAAAGTGGTGCTCTTTCGTTATTTTTCTTGATATTCTATAGAAATTAATCATTGTTACAGCTTTTAGACATGATCAAGAGTTTTGAAATAAAAAACAAGCTGTTTTAAGTCACATTAGATTCAATATACCGGTACAAGAAATTGTGTCATTAACCACTGATGAAAGGGATAACATTTTAATTGTCGTCTATTTTGACAATATATACTATGCATGACTGTAAAAGAATGAATATGATTGTGGTGATGATGACGGCGAAGATTATGGGGAAAATTATAGTAGGTGCTGATAATGATGGAGATCACAAAATAATGATAGGAATGACGGAACTGAAAATTAACATCATCTTACCCCTCTCTTCCTACACGCTAGGTTCGGAACTTAAAGCTAGTCATCTTACCGGAATCGCAAGACGACGGCATGGGCCACGGCAGCAAGAGAAGAATGTACATCCTTCTCTTCATCGCCGTCATGCAACCCATATTCATGTACTGGTTGACCTTTCACCTCACAGGCCAGATAGCAGTCAAGGGTGGCAAGTAGAGAAACACAATGCAGGGTGCGATGAATGGGCAAGTTGAAGCTAATTGGATTATCTGCCACAAATAAGATCTTAGTATATATGGGACCCGTTTCACAAAGCCTTTTTTCAATGACAAATGACCAAAATCAGTGACAAATCTGCTGATAACCAATAAGAATCAAGGATTTCACTAGCTTATAACACAAACTGCCATTTATCACTGATGACAAGTTTTGTAAAATGCGGCCCAGATCATTGTATTAATTTAATAGCCCTACTGTAGGTCTGTCCGGATGTGAAGTGTGAAGTGATTTATGTTCTGAACTCCAAACATTTGGTACCCAGACCCAGTAGTGTAAGGGATACTAAATGACCAAATACTGGGACTTGCCCTGAATCCATTCAAAACGGGCCCCTGTATAATTGACCTACAGTTGTGTTGGCTACCTGTATATCATACTGTACATGTAGCGGCTTGTAAAAATGCGCCCGGAACATGAAAGGCATGAATGACCGTTTTTTAGTTATTAGTATTAGTTAGCCTCATCAAGATCATTAGTAGGGGTTTTAGAGCCATTTTTGATGGTTCTGTCTGTATATCGTCGCCCGGCTAGCAGAAGGGCGTTAGTACGCGAGCACCTCGAAAACTACTTTTCGAATTATTCACATTTAAAGATTTGTTTTATATTTTAACTACTTTTTGTCCCGTAAATTGTTTAAAGGGGCATGTTCCCCGTATTCCAGAGGGCGTTCAAAATACGTACGCGCTGGCGGACGGTGCTATAGCTGCCCATTGACACCAACAGATTAAGGCTCTTACGCAGATGGCATGTTCCGATAACTACACTAGCGGGAGCGTGCCCCTTTAAAACTTAAGACTAATGGAATTTTAAAGTAGAACACGACCACAATTTTTTTTCGGAAATAAGTCAGTTTTATAAAAGTTTGAGGCAATCTAGTGCTAACGCCCTTCTGCTTAGCGCTTCATTTTTTACCTGAAATTCGAGCTAACGCCCTTCTGCCAGCCAGGCGACGATATGGTTCATGACTTTCAACTAATATGCCCTTTTGTGTTCTGGGGTGTATTTAACTTTCACTAAGTTTGTATACCTTACCATGTAGTTATTGCCCAAGGTAATTGAGTGAGCATCTACAGGTGAAGCTACAAAAAATCTACGGAAATGTTGTAGCGCAAAATTGGAATCGTCTTCTTGCTATACCCCTGTACATGTATGTCATGTTTCTTTTACTCTTTTAAGTGTTTAGTTCAATATTGTGCTGAATTAAATATGGATTTATTGATCCATCATTATAGTCAATATATATCATTTATGAGACTTCTTTTTCCGGTCATTTATTTTTGTGATTAAAGGGGAAAAATTTTAAGGCGGTAAAAGATGATTATATTCCTAAAAATTTCATAATCAAGACTTGGTGGTACTTTGCTTTTGGAATTGGCTCAATTAAGAGCACAGGCTGACCAATAGAAATGTCTGCAAGAAAATATTTGCTTCGGGTTGGAACATGAGAGGGGAATGCATTTGGTATTTATTCAAAGTTCAATATACACTGTATTACATAATTATGCTGATGATGTTACTATGTGCCTGGAGCAATGTTGTATGGTACGTACATCAAGCGATACATGTAATTTATTTTGTGCATACTTATAATTACAAATTTGAATGAAATACTACCATTTTTTGTCAAATGCTACAGATTTCCGTCTGGCAGAATTAAGTAGAAATAAGTAACTGGAGTACAGGTTGTAAACACATGTTTTTAGTTTGTGTGCCTATAGTTTAATGCTTGAAATTATTATTATTTTGATTTATGATTCGTCTCAGTAAATATGCTGGTTTTCTGATGAGGACATACACTCATTCAAATTAGCCTTTATTCTGATAATAATCTATTTTCTTCAACATGTGAATTCTCTGCATCTAGAGTAACATAAATGGATTGTCAAGCCTGTCTTTTATAACAGATATTTATTTCACATTCTTTCAAATTCTGGATGGAATCCTAACACTTAAATAAAGCATTCCCCATTACATTTATGTTCCATATTAATAAAGAACTATGTACTGTACCTTCTTATGTTCCATGCATAAAATGCAAAACATTTATTCTAGGCTGTGGTTTTATGTGAAATTATATTTAGTTCTTATTACTCCCTTCCAAAGATAACTTACACATATACATGTACATGTACCTGCAAAATGCATTCACACCAGAAATATGAAACATACATGCTATAGAATTGCATTACTTGTATACATTTGTGTTGTGTAACAGAACACTCCGGTAGCAGGCTTTCTAGCCTAAGGGACCTTGCATTTTGCAGCATCATTGTTTGACATACATTTTGGTGGTATATAGCGAATAGCGAATAGTGAATAGCGAATGTCAAAAGGGCATTAGTTTCAAAGTCTTTCTGGTTGTGGATGTCAGACTTTTCTGTTCAAATGTGTCATTTCTGGTAATGTACTGAATTGGTGTGTATATTTTAAAGGCAGGGTACTTTATCGACATCGCTACCACTCCCACCAGTGTTGTAATGTACTTTCAATTGCGCCATCTTTTGGTGAAGGCGTACAAAGAGTGATTTCCGGTTTGTGTACTCAAGCCTCATCACACACACTAAACAATTGGTGTTGCATTGTGGGACATGTCTGTCAACACATTGAGAAATTGTGAGCAGCTGATGGCAGCAGATGTAAATCTGAAGTAGTGTCATTAGAATTCCCTGCCTTGTAAACGTATTTAGAGTTATAATCCAGGGACCCGTTTCACAAAGCCTTTTTTCAATGACAAATGACAAATATCAGTGATAAATCTGCTGATAACCAATCAGAAGCAACGATTTCAGCAGCTTATATTAACAACAACTGTCATTTTGTCACTAATAACAAGTTTGTGAAACGGCCCCTAGGTCATAGCCAAAGAGAAAATTGCAGTCAACCTGCCCATACAGAATATAAGTCGTTCATCTACATCTAAGAAGACAATTATTTATTGGCTTATCACATCACTACAGTCAGTAAAACATGTTGGTTTTGCAATTTTATTTTGATGCATATATAAAATTACAAAAGTTTTCTTGGGCACCTATTATACACTCTGCAGACATTTTCTTTAATATATGTAATATGGATATACTAAACTAAGCACATAAGGAACAAATGCTTCACGTTTCATTGTATAATTGGTGTTAGGTAAGTTAATATGTGCACAGTAAGTCACATATCTATAATTTGTTTAATGTATTGCTGAATGCTTTCTGATTTTCATGAAGAAATAAAAGCAGTAGGGTAAAATTGAAAATTTAGTATGTCAATTAAGTAGCGACATATTGGCCCGAATTTACAAAGGATGTTTGTCAACAAACCAAGGTTTATGTACGTCATATGATGCGTTTTGACACGTTGTTTACAAACCTGGTTTGTAAATAACAAAAGGAGGTTTGTCGACAAACCTCCTTTGTGAATTCGGGCCCTTAAGGCTTATGCTTCTTGCATTTGTATGGAATGTTAAACTATTGCACAGAAAGTGGTGCAAATACTGAAGTAATAAATTATGGACAGAAGTCCATTCTGTTTTTGTTAAATGGCTGCTTGCTTTAGTTTCATTTATTCATCATGCATGTACTTATATATATATATATATATATATTTGTTGTTACATTCCATAAAACAGATAGGCCTACATGTATAGACAGGATTATTATGTGCATTGAATTATATTGGGAGAATGAGCTTATCATACAGCTACTGTACTACATAATAAAGATACCTCCCTTATAATTTGATGTAATTTGAAATGTGGGATGAGAAAAGGTGGTAATAGCCATGTCCCATGACTATTCCTCTAAAATAAGTATTCCAATGATTAGTAAAGTTTCATTACATTTTTAGAAAATACATTCTACAAATGCAATGTCCCCCTCCCCCTCCTCCTATTTCTATGAGGGCCCTTTGAGGTCGGTTGCTAAAAAGGAAAAGGGGGTCACAATGCATGAAAAGGAAAGTATGAATATATGAAAGGAATTTTATATAAATTTTATTTAAAAAAAAATATTTCGGTCAATATTTCCTAATATTCAGAAATCCTTATAATGATCGAAACTCCCCTTTTTCTTTTGGGGGGTCTCTTGTCAGCATTTTTTGGTTACCCCCCTTATAAATGGGGAAAGGGTTGTTGGTCTCATGACAGACATGTACTCTCGTTACATGCACAAATCATGAAGTTATCTGCATCTTTTTTCTTCATGACATACATGTTGTGCTGAGAAATCCGAAAATGGTCGAGGCATTCTCATTACTCGGTCGGTGCATTCATGATGACAAAGAAGGTCTTAATTTCCTGTGGTTGTAGTGTGTAGGTAAAGCTAGGTGGTGTGGCAGTTGTTGTTGGCGCTGGCGCTGTGGTTGTGGTTGGTTCTGTGGTTGTGGTTAGTGTTGTTGTTGGTTCTGCGTGGGTAATCGTGTTGCTGATCGACATGTCAGGTGATTGAGACCGACCTTCATCTATTCATAGAAAAAACAAAATTAGACCAGGAGCTTGTCATGCCGAAGAGAGAAGAAAATCAAATTACAATATGACATTGAATGATTATGTTTGTCGTTTGATACTCTTTGAGTGCTCTTTGAGTTGCGAAGTTGTTGCACTATATAGATTGCGTATGATTCTGATGATGTTTATTCAACCTGCCTTCTAGGAACTTACAGCTTTAAATCCAATTTGAGTTTTTTTTTTCATCAGTAGATTTTACAAAGCGGCAGTCGGGTTTCGACCCCAAAACCTTTCTGTTTAAAGCCCACTGCTCTAATTGCTGAGTCATAACATACGATGTCTGAATAGAACATGGAATGAAAGACGAGTGGTCTGACATATATGTCCAGCCATTGAGCGGGCACTGCCACCATGGGGAACGGGGCACTGCATAGTCTTGGTAAATGAAATGTGAATTTTCCCGGTCGCTCGGGTGAGGATACGAAAGGGGTCCCATCATCTTCTTTTCTAATCCTCCCGATCCATTTCCCTTTCTTCCTTTTGATCTCTTGACATTGTCAGTATTATTCCGATATTTTGCTCAACATCCCCCCCCCCTTCGAGCAAAAAAAAAAAGATGCAAATTTCTGGTCACTATTTTTTTTTTTGCCCGTTTTTTTTTTTTTTTTTGGGGGGGGGGGGGCAGGGGGCAAGGTCCTTTCGCCCCCCTGGATCCGCGCCTGCCCCTAGATATGCCGAATTGAAGACATACCTTGTAATGATATCTCTATAGGAGGAGGATGTCTTACCTGCTCTTCTCCACTTCCACCTGTTCATCTGAGTGATGTTCCAGATACCCGTCAGGCTACGCTCATCCACTGTCTTTATCATCCCCAATGGTGATAAAATCATTTGCATCGAATACGAAGAATAATGGGTAAGAAAACAGTCGAGGGAGAGAAGGGGGACTCAAAATTACTGCAATAGTATGGAGACAGTATAAGAAGATCGCATAGACTTTCGAAAAAAATCAACCAAAGGTAATTTCTAAAGCTTTGCGCGTCATCCTTTGAAATGTTTAACAATACAAAAACATATTACATAACCCGAACTTGACATCTAAAGGCAATACAACAGGGTATTATTAATAAACATTTATCTACATTAGCTAGTCCATGCACATGAGAGAAATGGGGACCTGGTACGATGTCGAAAACCTTTTTGATAGTACTTACCATGTATCCTTTCGGTGACCATATGGTAGGAATACTCCCCAGGGAGTGGATGATGGCGCACAATGTGTGCGTGAATGGATCCGATAAAAATTATCGGTAAAGCTCTTAGAGACGGTATTCTATATTAAGCGCTTCATAAATTCCAAATTTACTATCAGTATTATTATCGATATAGTATATATTAACCATTTCAAAAGTAGTTAAAGACCAAATTTACGAATCAGACATTAGCGAGAAAGATTATAGTATAAGCCAACAAATAAAAATGCAAACAAAGTTGTGTACACTTGAGTCATTTATACGTACTTGAAGATCTACGGTGACGTTCCTGGACAGTATGGGGTGTTCACCTACTTCGTACAGGTGCTGGAGCCGCAGCAGAATTCGGCTAAGATTGAGTGGGGATCCTCCTATAATAGTTAGTGTAGGATGAACACCAACTATAAATGCTTGTTTATTTTAGAAATAAAGGGGAAGTGATGGGGAGAGTGAGATAGGGAGACATTATTGGAGGAGAGAGAGATAAAAAGATGGAGAGAGAGAGAGAGAGAGAGAGAGAGAGAAATAAAGAGAGAGAGAGAGAGAGAAAAAAAAAGGGGGGGGGAGGGACTAGAAAAGGGGGAGGGAGAGTGATATAGATGAGGACTGGGTAATACGAGAAAAAGATGGAAGCAAGAAAGCATGCACATTATTATATGGTGGTATGGAGATCCCTCCGTTCAAAATAGACCGTTGCATAATCAATACACTTTGCTAATTGATTCTAACATAATTCCATAGTAACTGTTTGATTGCTTTCATTTCATTATCAAATCTGAGAGAAGAATTCACAAAAAATTTCGACAAGACGTGAAGATCACTAGCAGCTCAATCGAAACCTAATTATTTTTTAAAGCAAATAATCTGCCTCTTTGGGCGTTATTCATGCTTATCATAATATGACCCAATGCCAAATGACTGATGTTGCCTTGTTCTACGACTTACCCGTAGATTGACTGGTTTTGGCAGAGACGTTGTAATTCCAGCCTGGTGTTTTGAAGGTGAGAAGATGAATGTTCTTTGGTAACACATTTGCTATAGCAGAATGAAACCTCCGGGATTGCAAGGCTGACCAGTTTACTGAAAGAAAATTAATGTTATAACAGAAGTTCTGCGTGAAGAATTGAATAATTATACTTCTTTACTTCTGTCTATTTCTCTGTCTGAAGCTCATTGTTTCTTCCTTTCTCTCGCCCTCACTTCTAATTATTTGTGCCTTCCTTTCGTTAATCCTGACCTTGCTTGTAATCTTCTTCTTCTCTTTGATTTCCCCTTCTCCCCTCCTACCTTCTCTTTCATCAACTTTTTTCTTTTCTTTCTTTCCGTTTCCTCTTATACGGTCTGTGTTTCTGTGTCTGTTTCTCCCCCTCCTCCAAATTATTTTTTCAGTATTATTGAAATATATCTGCACTTCTCTCTCTCTCTCTCTCTCTCTCTTTCTTTCTTCTCTCTCTTTCTCTCTTTCTGCCTGTCTCTCTCTCTCTCTCTCTCTCTCTTGCTCCCTCTTCCTTTATTTTCCCTTAAATTGGCACAAAGACAAACAAAATGTAGTTACTGAAGATGAAAATCAAGCCAATATTTGGGTCAAACAATTATTTGATGAAAAAATGGAAAAACAAAACGCCAGCTTGCTTTAGACAAAATAATCAGCCACTGAGAGGGAGGGGGTTTCAGGTACTAACTGTACCTTCCTTCACAGACGACCATCCTGACCCGAGCTGTACAGCGACCGGTGGGTTCTCGAGCTGAAGCCAGCTGCGATGACGAAGCTCCGATGTCGTGGATGCGTTGCCTAGCAACAGCCAGAACGTGGATGTTGCTACAGAAGGTTCCTCCAAGGTGAGGTTGTAATTGTGGGTCTCGAACTCGTTGTTGACTACTCTGCGATGCAACATGACCTGCAAAAATGAACAAATGGACATCTTTCAGATTTTCTATTCTATCCACCGACCCCCTTTGTTTCATCTTCTTTGCCTCCTCCTCCTTTGCTACACTTGCACTGCACCTAACAGTTCTCCCCCATTTTCATCATAATAACCATTTCTAACTATGCATTCTTTCAGGTGGTTTCATGCTGATGCATTTACTTTCATCAATCATCATGATCATCGGATGGTTCTTCGGTATCTACAAATCACCTCCGTATTTCGTCCAAAAAATAAATCTTTATTTAAACTTTTTAACACAAAGTAACATAACTATTGCAGCTAGGGTGAATACGGGAGAGCACGCCCCTATATGCGTGCCCCCTTTCTATGCAAACAGAAACAAGAGGAATTGCTGGATCCGCCCCTGTAGGAACTGACCTCGATATCTCCATCACTCTGACTGCTGACTCCATGGCTCCTCTCAGAGAGCAGCATCAATCTCTCATCGTTGGAAGCATCCTCTATGTAGGCCGAGCTTACCATTGGGTAGAAGTTCTGTTGAGAATCAGAATGAAATTTTAAAAAAAAAACAGTATCAGGCGATGAGTTGCGTGGTAACAACAAGATTGTCGGCGTAATTGATTAATCCTATAATGTTGTGCGATCAAAATATAAATAGTAGAATAATTTAAAGTCAAATAAAGATTAGACGATCTCTTTCCTCACTCTCGTTTATATCTTTAACTGTACATACTATTTTGATTTTGGCTGAATATGTTAAAGATTTAAGCAATGGACAATTTACAAAGTCATGTATATGACTAATGCATTATGTTGTTGCTGCGTTACAGCATGCATCTTTCGCTCTTCTTTTAAAACTTTTTCGCATGATTTTTAGTCTAAAATGTGTGTTATTTTAATGAAGTAACATCGTATTATATGACAAATATTATACAGAAAACAAGTCTCCGAGAGAGAGAGAGAGAGAGAGAGAGAGAGAGAGAGAGAGAGACAGACAGAGACAGAGACAGACAGAGAGAGACAGAGAGAGAAAGGAAGAAAGAGACACGGGGAAGGACAGCGTTTGATATAGCTTACCTGTGCAATGGTTGCACCGTGGCGCCTAGACCTATTCATAGTTTGGAAGGCATTAACATCAGCGTACAGATTACCATTAGACTTTAGCAATGTAGAAAACCTGAAAGGAAAAACGTAAGATATTTTGATTTTATTTTATTTCTGCATTTTTCCAAATATAACTGAATAACAAAGAATATATAAGGTGTAACACAAAATATACAAACAATAATAACTTCATGTCCAAAATGTTTTTTTTTTAAAACATAATATACATGTAATAAAGAAACTTAATTTTCTTTAACAATATTATCCGAACTATCGGTGGAATAAGTACAGGTTATGATAGGTAATGATAGGTAAGTAAAACATTAAAATGTATAAGTCATTTTGTAGAATTGTAATGTTCCAAATTATACGCTGTCGATATCTATTTTGAGTTTATAATGTCATTCAAATTTCAGATCGAGAACCGTGTGGATGCAATGGGATTTAGATCAAAATGGTCTGTAAATGTCTGTAATTTTTTTTCACAAATCCAATACGAGTTCTAGGACCGTATTACTATAGGGTACATAGTAGTTTACAGACTAACCGTATATCATACATTTTCCTCATTTTTTAAATTCTCCTTTGTCCTCTTTGGGTATATATTATAATGCGCTCTTTGCCTCTCCATTTTCTTTTGATTCTAATTTGCTTTTTAAAAAAACAACACATATCGCAATTTTATTTTACACCATAAAAAATGTAGTAATAGCATTTATTAATAATCTGTTTTTAATGATCGCACCATCATCTTACCTCATTTTTCGTTAATTATAACATACCTGTAAACGAGTTCCTTGTTCATAGAAAGAGGACCAACTTTGAAGTCCACTTCAATATGGCTGCACGACAGCTTATCAGGATGTCCACTTGCATCGTTGATCAATCGCATGGTCACTGAATAGCGACTTTCCACATCGAACAGCCTAGAAAAGAATACCAGAAGAAATATGCTGCCAGAGTATGACTATGCAAATACTTTTGAAATAAATCAATACCACAAAGAAATTGAAAAACAAGTGTTTTTCAGCCTAGAATAGATTGTGAGAAGAAAAACTTCCCTGTATATGATTATATCAATACTTTCAAGTATTAGAAATATATCCCTTCACATACTGAAGTGCATGGGCGTACTGATGGGGGTGGGGGGGGGGGGGGGGGGAGGGGTAGGCAGTTGGTCCCGAAATAAAATTCAAATGTGATTTGTTTCTAAAGTGATTTACAAATATTGCTGAAATGACATGATTTCCTGAGTTTTTTCCTCGCTTTTGCCAATATCATTAAGCCACCTGGCGCAAGGTGATGAGGATTTGTGTCTCGCCCCAGAAGTTTTTGCTTAATACGCCACTGCTGAAGAGTGCCGTAAAATTCAAGAAGAGCGATACCCGTTTGACACGTGGCATCATTAATTTTGCCTGACTGAGACATCAAATGGCGTGGTCCTTGGCGCGCCATGAAAGTCAACACGAAACACGACGCAACACGAAATCAACGGGATTAATTTAATTCGCATAATCGATTAGCGCACGTATTAGCGAACGTATAATTAGCGCACGTATTGGCGCACGTGTTAGCGCACGTATAATTAGCGCACGCATTATCGCACGTATTACCGCAAACGAAATGACGCCTCGTCATGCAACTTGGCACGATGTTGTTACCCATAGAAATGTTGTGTTGTCTCGTTTACGAGGACACCCGTGCTGACATTAAGTTGAGTCCTGACGCTGCCGATTACCGTGGCAGGTCCGTAGGGTCTGAATACGTAGTTGTTGGACGTTTGGCCGTACAATACGTCGTGGAAGACATGGTACTCCAGGAATCCCGCGCTCATTGTAGTGGTCTTGCCGTTTTGTCTGAATCATAATAGAGCATAAATCATGTAGGAACTGATAAAGTGACGATAGTGGACAGTTTACATTCTTACATTTACTCCATAAACTTCTAAGAACATATTTTTGTTTTGTACTGAGAAAACATGAAGAAAGTATGAGAAGAAGAAAAATCGTGAGAAAAAGGTGGCTAAAGTAAGCTTAAGAGCACATGTATATTTCCTCCTGCGGTGAGGGGATTATGATGAGAATACACAATACAATAAATTAGTAGCAGCGTCCATTCATATTGAGGACATAATCGTCTCCCAGACAGATCGGCTTAAAGAAGTACCGAGTTAGATAACACCGCTGTGCGTTCGTGTATCTTTTACCCTATAGGTTACTAGTATCTGATTTGACTGTTTTCTATGGTGGCCCTGAAGGGACATCGCGAATAGACTAAATCGTGAAAAATATGCGATAAAATTCACGATATCGTCAATTTTATCGCATATTTTTCACGAAGAAATTCACGAAATTGACGATATCGTGAACTTTATCGTGAACTTTTCACGATGAAATTGACGATATCGTGAATTTTATCGTGAAAAGTTCACGATATAAAGTTCACGATATCGTCAATTTTATCGTGTACTCTATCGTGTACTCTATCGTGTACTCTCGATCCTGACGGGCGCTTCGTAAACAAAACCAGCCCTAGCTGGGGGAGACAGAGAGAAGGAAAAAAGGGAAAGGGAAAGAGAAGATAAAAGGAAAGAAAGAATAATAAGAAGATAAGAGGGAAACGGGGGGGGGGGGCGAAGGGCTCTTGCCTCCTCCTCACTCCCCGCCAAAAAATAAATCAGAGAGAGAGAGAGAAGGGAAAGGGAAAGGGAAAGAAAATATAAAAGGAAAGAAAGAAGAGGAAGAAGGAAAGAGGGAAACGGGGGAAGGGCGAAAGGCTCTTACCTCCCCCCCCCCCCCCCCGCCAAAAAATAAAAAAATAAGAGAGAGAGAGAGAGAAGGGAAAGGGAAAGAAAGAAGGGGAATAAGAGGGAAACAGGGGAAGGGCGAAGGGCTCTTGCCTCCCCCCCCCCGCCAAAAATAAATAAGAGAGAGAAGGGAAAGGGAAAGAAAATATAAAAGAAAAGAAAGAAGAGGAATAAGAAGGAAAGAGGGAAACGGGGGAAGGGCGAAGGGCTCTTGCCTCCTCCCTCCCCACCCCCGCCAAAAAAATAAATAAGAGATAGAGAGAGAAGGGAAAGGGAAAGGGAAAGAGAAGATAAAAGGAAAGAAGGAAGAGGAAGAAGAAGAAGAAAAGAGGGAAACGGGGGCGAAGGGCTCTTGCATCCCCCCGCCCAAAAAATAAATAAGAGAGAGAGAGAGAGAGAAGGGAAAGGGAAAGAGAATAAAAAAGGAAAGGAAGAAGAATAAGAAGAAAAGAGGGGCTCTTGCCTCCTCCCCCCTCCCGCGCCAACAAATAAATAGGAGAGAGAGAGAGAGATAGAGAGAGAAGGGAAAGGGAAAGAAAATATAAAAGGAAAGAAAGAAGAAGAAGACGGAAAGAGGGAAACGGGGGAAGGGCGAAAGGCTCTTACCTCCCCCTCCCCCCTCCCGCCATAAAGGGAAAGAGAAGGGAGAGGGAAAGAAAATATAAAAGGAAAGAAAGAAGAGGAAAAAGAATAAGAAAAGAGGGAAACAGGGGCGAAGGGCTCTTGCCTCCTTTCTTTTCTTTCTTTTCCTTTCTTTCCTATTCTCCCTCTTTTTCGTTTTTCTCTTTCTTTCTTCTCTTTCCCTTTCCTTCTCTCTCTCTCTCTTATTTATTTTTTGGCGGGGGGCGGGGGGACGAGGCAAAAGCCCTTAGCCCCCGTTTCCCTCTTTTCTTCTTCTTCCTCTTCTTTCTTTCCTTTTATCTTCTCTTTCCCTTTCCCTTTCCCTTCTCTCTCTCTCTCTGATTTATTTTTTGGCGGGGAGTGAGGAGGAGGCAAGAGCCCTTCGCCCCCCCCCGTTTCCCTCTTATCTTCTTATTATTCTTTCTTTCCTTTTATCTTCTCTTTCCCTTTCCCTTTTGTCCTTCTCTCTGTCTCCCCCAGCTAGGGCTGGTTTTGTTTACGAAGCGCCCGTCAGGAGAGTACACGATAGAGTACACGATAGAGTACACGATAAAATTGACGATATCGTGAACTTTATATCGTGAACTTTTCACGATAAAATTCACGATATCGTCAATTTCATCGTGAAAAGTTCACGATAAAGTTCACGATATCGTCAATTTCGTGAATTTCTTCGTGAAAAATATGCGATAAAATTGACGATATCGTGAATTTTATCGCATATTTTTCACGATTTAGTCTATTCGCGATGTCCCTTCAGGGCCACCATAGTTTTCCACTGATGATTACCTGAAAACTAAGAAATGCTTTTTGACTTCACTCGCTCACTTGTTTGTTATCGACGACAGTGCATTCGTGGAACGGTCAAAAGATATTTTGTAGCATTCATTCTCGATCGATATTTCATCTCCTTCTGAATCACCGCGCCCTTCTCCTTCATCCATGCCTCCCGCATCCTCGGTGGCGGCACCGTAACTTCTCACAGTGGGACACTGGCTTTGTAAAAGACGTTGGTTTTCGTTGATAAATAAAAGGACGAATATTTGGTAGCCGATAGGTGGAATGGTTGCAAAGAAGTAAAGTTGGTACAGTTGACTCCCATTCGACGGCGGATTTACCTAAAGGGAAAATTGGTAACACGTCAGCAAAGACTTTTCTCTTTTGTCATCTTTTTTCTGGTATCAATTTCAAAGTAATGCTTCTATCTTAACCCCCCCCCCCCCCGATAAAAATCCCAACAACTTTAAGACGTCATAACACAATTTATTTCAGTTCAAAACGTATTTTACAAGCATGTATATAGGCTAATTAGATGTGGATGCGGCTATGCGGTATGAGAGGGATAATACAAAGGGTGAATGAAAAAAAACGAACTGTGTATTAAAATCATGGACCTACTAAAAAATCGAATAAACACCATTCCATTCCGTGAAAATTGTGGAATAATGACCCAAATAAAGGATAAAAAATACAAGTACATCAAAGCATCATCAAATTCATAGCAATGATACAGTCTCTTGGAGAAACTCATAAATGTACATTGTGTTATGACCTTTATATAACCTATTAAAATAACCTCAGTTACTATTGTAGTCCATCTGCATTATGGCTTTACATAATTTACAAACTCACACTACAAGTGTATCAACTAGACTGAACTATAGCTTGAATAAACAATGAACTAAAAAAATAATACATTTTAAATCTCTACTTAGTGCTTCAGCACTCTCATAATTGACCTTCAAAGTATTTAGCAGTATCTTCATCTATTCATCTTCTTAATACAAGGTCAAATGAACATACATCATAACAGCATAATGGAGGCGTACAGGCGCGTACACAGGGGGGGGGGGGGGTTTGGGGGATTAAACCCCCCTTTGGTATTTTTCTGTGTGTAAACCCCCCCCCCCAACCCCCCTAAAACCCCCTCCCCCCTTTAATTTTTTTATTTTATTATTATTTATTTATTTTTAAAAAAAATTAAAAAAAAATATTCCCATGGCTGACCTAAAAAAGCTGACCTTACCCCCCCCCCCCCCAACGGAGCAAAATGTCAAATTTTCAAATTTCGAGACCAAAAAAAAAAGAAGAAAAAAGTGTCCTCTTATCAAGTATCAAGTGTATGTAGCAATAGATGGTGCTATGCTAGACACATTGCCTTTGTAGTCATGTCATGTTTTAACGGTACAATAAACAAATGATTTGAGTGATAAAGCAATTTCAATTGCACTGTCACAACAGGCATTTTTTAAATTTTGCAAGATCCCCTGTAGTACAAGCTGCAAACCGTACGATATCATTACACAAAATAACACTCTGTACTATCGAAACATGAAACAAACTAAGAATTGTCCTATCCACAAGGAAGGACTTCATTTTTCGTAGGAAATACATGCATTCTTTGCTGTGCTTTTCCCGGAGTAACCATACATTGTTCTGTCCACAAGAATTTGCTATTTATAACTGTACCTATGAGGTAGGTATATTTTTTTCAATATATTCACCATTCATCTTAATTGGTTCAATACAAGATGCCCTTACATTTCTAAAATCAAATATCATGATCTCTTTCGTGTTGGGGGCAATTACTGTAGGAAGTTATCGTTGACAAATTTGTTGAAAATTGTGCATGCTCTAAAGCTCCTGTATAGGCTATATTAGCGCATTTAATAGCGCAGTCAAAATGACGCCCCATGTGCAACAGACGTAACAAACCTGGCTAATGACGGGTTGACCCCGTGCGTCAAGGACCGTCACATTGGGCGAGTTAACTTCAATTCGTACTAGGCGTCGAACGGTCCATCCGAGAGAGTTGTAGACCGCGTAGGTTAGAGTGCTCTTGCCTTCACTAATTTCTAAGATCAAGAAGAAGAGAGAGAGAAAAAAAAAACATGGGCAACGAGTCACCGTTACCATTTAGAATGAATTGATAGGAATCCTCGACAAAGCCGTGGAATTAAAATACAGAGTAAAAGAGTCCATGAACCATGTTTGGGACATAAACGGGGCCCCGCCCATCTGGGGTGGCTAAGCAGGGGACGGACGGTTCATTAAACTTGTGATCAATAACGAGTTATGATAATTGTGGTAGCTACTGAAATAAGTGCATTTGATTGGCTGTTGGTAAACTCGTCAGAAATGTAACTGTTCTTATTTAAGATTAGTTTTATGAAACGGGGAACTGACCTGAATAGTAAGCGGATGTCATGGAAATCCACTCATCTCAAATACGACGAATACCCCGAGTCCATACCAGCAAGTATGTATTTTCACCATTCTCATTTTATAATTTCATTTTAAGTTTATGTTCATTGATACATGCATTATGAAAATTGTGCATGTTTGAAAGGAAGTGTACATACTTCATTGTGGGAATAGAAAGGGGGAACCATAACGCGCCAATATCTTTATTCAAATGGAGTTTCCTAATTCGTTTGGCTTGGTTTGGTTTCCTTAAAAATAAAATACATATATTATTATGAATATGATAAACGAATCAACAATTATTTTTTTTAAGGCCGCATCGCTCTTTTAGGTGAAAATTTTGTCACCAATGTACACCCTCGTAACCTTCCCTTCTGCTTTGGAAAGATGATTTAATTTAAATTTCCTTCGTCATGTTCGTCATTTCACTTCCGTTATGTACAGACTTACATCCCAAATCCGTTTTAATATGCTTAGAATTGTCCTCGACATGTGCCATTCATGACACCAATTTTTTTTTTTTTAAATCAGTTTTCTTATATTCTCATAACTCTTATTCTTTCATAATTGGTTACAAGAAAATGTACATGTGAAATTGTCCTTCCCTTATGTCTACCCCATACCTGATTTTAACCCGAGTACATTATATCTTTCGTTGTGGTGTTCCGTCTCCCTTGCGTTAACTTGCGTCAATTCATTAAGTATATCCGTCAGCACACTTATGGTAGCTTGACTGCCGTCACGTAGGTGACTGATATACATGTCACGCACCACAGGGGCTTCTGTTCCCGTGACGCCGTCGTGATGTTGCACCTGTAACATGTTCGAGTGAAGATTCTTTTATTTACTTCCATTTTCAAAATAACATCTTCTCAAGAAGTAAAATGCAAGTAACTTCTTCATTTTGCCAGAATCATATAATACGCAATCTTGATGATCACGGCTATTTTTTGCATAATAAAATGTTCCATTAACAATAAGGGCAACCAATAAAACATCGTCAATATAATCGAAAAAGAAAGTCGATAAAGGTGAAAACTCATGACTTTGCACAAGGAAGGGGGGGGGGGGTCTATTCAAAAGGATTTGTATGCATTTTTTTTTTATTTTACTCTAACAATGTTCTCTATATTTATCTCCTTATCGCCCAGTATCATTCTCATCAATACCTCTATATCCTCAGCCTCCAGCATCCAAACAAAAGGAAACAATACCTTATATCTCCCGTGTTAAAATGAATGAATGATCATGCTTTTGATTTGGCAAAGAGAAACATTTAAAGAATTTTGTGATTGAGCTATAAATGAATTCGAAATCCAAATAAATAAAACAATAAAATAATCCCAATAAAACAACACGTCTGCATTTCTTTAATTTCTTGGCATGATTTTTTTTTTTTTTGGGGGGGGGAGCAGTCGGTGTACATGTATGAAATAAATTAGTTGATTTTGTGTCTGTATTAGCAAATATTTAATACAACAAACTGTTTTTAATACGATTTTCAGTCGGGATTCGAATATTTGGTGCCCGGCAGCGACCATTATTCTATGATACCTCGGCAGTAGCCCATCTTAGCTTCTTGATCTTCTCCAGTGCGCTGGTGGTATTAATGGTCCTTGAGATGTTAAAGAGATGGGTATACAGAGAGAAGAGGGTCTCTCCAGCTCTTAGAGTAGCCTGGCTCGCCCGGGCTATCCCCTTCAGCTCAATACGTGAGGTGTAGAATCCGGTCCAAGCTTCCTCGCGTGCTGCACAGTCAAACACAAACACAAATCAAAGAAAAGGCAATATCATTTATACAAGACTAGGTTTCTGTTAGACAGTTTTGATTTGATAACTTAATGATAAAACTCTTTATTAAGATTCAAGGACATTTAAAAAAAAATGATGTTCTGACCCCCCCCCCCCCCCCCCCCCCCCGCTGGTTTCATCCTATTCATATTATCCTCTCCAAGTTCTTGTTTTTTATGGTAAATGATCATGATACCAATAACGTGTACTTATGGTTTTTTACTCTTCAAACTAGTGTGGCGAATTAACATCTGCGCCAAAATTAATAGAGGTGATTTCCTCCCTCAGGATGATGGGGCAAGCACTGATGCATTTTTTTCTTCTCGTACTATCCTTTTCCTCCCTTCTTCTCTGTTATCTTATTTTCTCTTTCTTTCTCCTTTTGTTTTCTTTCCTTCACTCTCCCCTGTTTTAGGCCACCAAAGGGGGGGGGGCGAACGATTCGCCCCTGGATCCGCCACTGTAGGCCTACTTATATAGGGTTTGATTTTTTTTAAAGCGTATTTCATTTCAGGGCAAATCTGTATAAATTTATATATATTTTTGTTATATATGTATTTTCCTATGGCGTAGCTACAGCGTTGAGGGGGGGGGGGGGGGGGGGGCATATACAACACCCCCAACCGAATGGCCCAAAACGAAAAGGAAAAATAAAATAATGATTGGACAGGGAAAAGGGAACATAGAACGAAGATGATAGGATTGATGTTGTTGTTACTGTTGTTGAACTTGTTGATGATGTTGTTGTTTAAACTATTTAAGTTTTTCGTTAAAATTATTATTTACCGGTCGAATAAGGGATAAAATCTCCACTGTTCTTGACGTCCCACGTAGTGTCACTGTTGTGAAGGGCGGTGAAGAACTGCCCGAGTGTCGCCTGTCGGATTTTGATATTGTATTTAGATCGCTGTTGGTTTATATGCACTAGAAGACGTTCCATATTTTCATACTGGTCGGTGGCATTGAAGAACTGCTTATCACATCCCTGTAAAAACGTAATACATAAATATGAACAATGGTCGATGAAAAGGCAAGGAGTATATTGCTAGATATTTGTTTGTTTATGATGTTATGCCTATACATCGCAAGATTTGGATAGACAGCGACATTAACAAGTCGATGTCATAACTTGTTAATACAGTATGGAATCATATACTTTACCATCTTCTTTTTTTTCTTCGATTGTACATTCCATGAATCATACAAATGAACTGGACAAAGAAACATTTCGTAGATACGTAGTTTATGGGGCAATCAACCAATTTATTTTCAAAATCCCTGTTTGTCAGGTGAGAGATTTAAGTTTTCTCTTCTCTACTTTGGATTGATGGGGAATTTTATTTTTCTGTCTGCGAACTTGTCTGCAAATTCAATCCGACACTCCCACCCTCCCCCCTTACACAGTCATAATACATGTTCTAGCGAGACCTCTTCGTGTACACAGCATGAAAAGATTATAGAAAGCTCATTCAACAATCTGTAAAACATTTAATAAACAGTACTTGGAAAGTGTACCGCTGTGCCGCCCCCTCCTGGATCAAATTGTATTTACAAAAAATGAAGTTGCTCGTCAGAGATTTTGAAAAAAATTAAATTCATTAATTTGTTTATATATACATTTATTAAATATTCATTCATTCATGTATTACTTTATTTATCAATTTATATATTCATCTTGTTTTGTTTTTTGGAGGACAGGCTTATCAACAATCTTAACACTTAATTGCGCCCCCATCCACTCGTTGATCCTTTTTTTAAATTCAATTCAATTCGGTTTTTCGGGGAAAGAAAGGCATAGCAAAAGTTTTGGCCTATAATAACTCCTTGTAGTATGTACCCATGGCCAGAGTAGATGCGGGGTCTTGAACCACGCAGCTCGTTTCCGAATGTTGGCCACCATGAAGTCCGCATACTGTCCCATGTTTTGTGTCGTCACTGGGTCGCTCATGTTGGGGTAGATACCGTCGGCTGGCGGATCTGGGAACTTGGCTACGCCATTCCACATATATGCAGATCTGTACAAGTGATGGTATTGATACGTTTACAAATAAGGTTTCGGAATATTTATGTTGCAGATTGCTTTCCACGGTAGGCATTATTTAAATCAGTCATCAGTCATTGTTTCTAAAAAATATAGCCATAACGTAATGAAGCTGAGGAAGCTATTTGCATACACTAGTAGGGTAAGGGTCAGGGTTGGGGTCGTGGATATTTTTAGAAACATGCCTCTTCGACTGATTACATGATGCCTACCGATTAGCACCCCCCCCCCCCACCCACACTGTCTATTCATGTTCGAATAGTCAAAGAAGGCATGTGACAAAGTATTGGTGAAATGTCGGGCAAGCTTTTCATATTTTTAGATAGTCACAATTAATTTATTGACGATGACTGAATGTTTTCAGTATAATTAGAATAGCGTTTTATTGTTGATATCATTAAGTCATTGCACACGTGACGTCTTTCCGCTGACGGAGAACTCCGTCAGCAATTGGCGCACTCTTTAACACGACTTGCGAGAGTGATAATGTAGGAAAAAAAGATGCATGCACTGATTTTCTTGTATAGAGGCACATGTCCGTAATAACGCAATGTAAATGACTGTTCGTGTACAACAGGTTTCCTGCCAGTGACGGTAACTCAGTATCTCACCTGTTTGAAAATGGCGGATGCTCCATGGGAGCACAGTAGCTATACGTATCCATGACGTGTGTGAACATGCTCTGTGATGAGCCCAGAGATGGGGAGGCTTGCCATACAAACTGGAGTCCCTACAAAAGATGTACAGACAAAATTAGCTGAACTCATGGAAATGCCTTTAATTTTTCATTATTGCCTCAGCGTCGATCGCCTCCAAAAAAATATTAACATGATCTACCCGAGTACAGGTGTCGTGGACTAGTGGATACGGTACCTGGCTGTAGAACTGTGGATCACAAATTTCGCGGTTCGTGTCCAAGCCCGATACCAATGTCCTTTGATAGCCTTTAAATGTACTATGTCCCATTTGTAGGCCCCCAAAATGAAAGGTTAAATTATAACGCCGGGCATTTGAAAGACAATACTAATTTAGAACTTCCCTCAAAACGAAGGGGCTTGAAAATGGCTTTTAGTTGGAAAAAAACGACCATTAGTTGTCGAATCAACTTAAGTGATTGCAATCACCTAAATAATAGACTGATTTTCAGACCCTTTTACCGAATGGTCGTACGTTTTGTGCAGCACAAAGATTTAATCAGTTTCATTTTGGCGATTACAAGTAGTGGGTTATTGATGTAGAAAAATACTTATCTACCCCTTACGGCTCATTTTATGTATGTTATTAACCAAAGAAAACATGTCAGTGAGTTTTGAATAGTGTCTGACAGTGAAGTCTAGAAGGTAAACGGGTTTCCTTGCACAATTTGAATAATAGGACACTGCTAATTATTACATTTCACAGATAGCACATACATGACATATTCTTAATTCCTGCAAAGTTCTACATAATTTGATGTTGGCTGCAAAAGGGACATAGTATCTTTCAAGAGAGATGGCCACTATTAAATGAATTTATTTATTATTGTTTGATATATCAAACATTTCATTCCTTCAAGAGGAATTTTTCTATTGCTTATTTCTCCTGAGGAATTTAACGCCCATATCCAAGTCCATCGTGTTTATCTTCCTCACTTCGCTTGCAATCTTTTAGTTCACATAATTTGTGATTATATACACGAAAACCACTTTATTTCGTTCGGGGATGAAGTCCGCTGAGTTTACGCCTGGCTTCACTGAGCGTCATAAACTCCAAAACTTCGAGAAAACCTGCATAGCTCTTGAAGGTTACTCGAAGAAGAAAAAGAAAATAATTGGGAAGAAGAACAAGAAGAGGAAGAAGAAGGATGCAACTCCATAGAAACAGCAGATGCGATTACCTTTGCCTTCATCATGGCGGCTTTCTGATCATAATTTATTCGTGACGTCAGATGGGCATTAAACCCCATCAGTGCAAAGAGAGTGGGCGTGGCCGCCGTTGCGCCGAATGGATCAACATGCCAACCGAACCGGGGCCGAACACCAAACGTCTCGTAGATAAAGGCGTGTCCTTCTAAAAGGGGGAGATATAAGAGAGAGAGAGAGAGAGAGAGAGAGAGAGAGGATTAGAGAAAGAGAGAGAGAGAGAGAATGAGAGAAAGAGAGAAAGAGAGAGAGGGAGAGAGAATAGAGAGAGAGAGAAGAGAGAAAGAGGATGAGAGAAATAGAGAGAGAGAGAGAAAGAGAGAGAGATATGGAGAGAGAAATGGAGAGAGAAAGAAAAAGATACAGAGAGAAAGGAATTAAAAGGGGAAAAACAGAGAGAAATAGAGAGAGAGAGACTTTTTTTTTATCCAAAAGTTTTTTATTGATTCCAAACAATACAAATCAATGTTATAGAAATGAAATACAGTTGTTTTCATTTTCATTACATAGATTGTACGATTGATGAAGTAAAAAAAATGAAATCAGTTGTAAAATAAAACAAGTAACCCCAAAATACCCCAGAATACCGAAAATTGGAGCGACAGAAAAATATAAATAATCTATTTTAAAAAAAAATCATTTAAAGGAGGCTACAATGGCCCAGTGTTAAAAGTTAATGAAAACTTCACTTGTTCCCACTTCTGTAAATGTAAGGCTAATTTACCTGCCCTCCCTGCAATATTCTTTTCTTCTTCCCTAAATTCCAACAGTTCTTTTTGAAACTCACCCAAAGACAATATCAAATAATTCCATACAAATACAGATCTTCATAAATCGTTTTCATAACATAAATAAATTATTCACAAAACAGTGAGCAAAGAAGGAGAATAATGGAATGAAATCACTTAATTTTCTAATAATAATAATCACATACTGAACTTAATTACTCATGAAAAATGAAATAAAATAATAATACATATTTGTATACAATCATGCACCCTAAGCCCGCCACCCTCCACCCCTTCTACTCCTTAACCCCCCCCCCCCCGTAAACATTCACATTCACTCGCACCTCACAAAACATACACAGATTCACACGCGCACACCACTGGAACTCCAGCCAATCATCCTCACTCACAAACACCAAAGACACTCCCATTTAATACGCCAAACGCAACACTTATCTACCCAACACATAGAACACTGTAAAAAAATACGCCATTTACATAACAGCACGTACCCACCGATACAGCTAACCACACCTAACATCCTAACTCCTAAAAAAAAAAATCACATTCACACTCACACACTCGCACCTCACAAACAGACACAGATTAACACGCGCACCCACACACACACACGCACACACACACATCTCACATACCAATGTTAATGTAAGCACCATCAAAATTGGACACTTTCGATCTGTTTGAACAATATAGACAGACCCCAACCAATTCGTCAAAGCAACTGTTTTGAGCAAAACAGCATTTACTCATTCATTGCTCAAAACAGCATTTAATGCTGTTTTGAGCAATGAATGAGTTGCTTTGACGAATTGGTTGGGGTCTGTCTATTGTTCAAGCAGATCGAAAGTGTTATATTGTGTCGGTTATTATTGTCAGCCAAACCATAGAAAGTGCTAGAATGGACAGTGATTGAAATTCGTGGGCTTTAAAACTGTTCGATGGATTTTGTCTTCGTAAGCATATTAAATCGCCTGGCCTAGTAACATTGCTCGTCAAAGAAAGTACTTGGTCTAACTTAGACTCTATAGTGCATCAAAGACCCCATTCTCATTCACTTCGTTGGAGCGGTCTAACTAAGACCCGTTCCTCAGGAGCAGTTCTTAGGTGAGTGAGAACGGTCAAAGTGGTCCGGGAAGTGGACTTCTGGACCGCTCCAGAAGACTACCTCGGGAGGTGGTCTTGAGGAACGGGTCTTATTAAGAGCGGTTTGGACCGCTCTAACGTGCAATGTGAACGGAAGCGTACTTTGACCGGAAGTGAGCTAATGACGTTCCGTGCGAAACATGTAGTACGGTACATACGGTTTGTATTCCGCGCGCGAAAAAATTGACCTGCTGACCTGAGCTGCCATAGCAACAAGACCACTTTGACTCGTGGAGCGGTTTGAGCCATAAAAAACTGCTCGGAGTGTGAACGCTCGCAAACCGTTCCTTAAGACCCGTTCCTCTGGAGCGGTCTAAATAAGACCACTTTCAAAGTGAGTGAGAACGGGGTCAAAGAGTGATGAGGTGTAATCTGGTCTACCATATCAAACTCCAAGAACAAAAAAAATGGCTGTTTTAAATCTGAAATTCCAACCACAATTTTCAATTTCGTCAAGTCATGATCATTTCTTCGTTATACCTCATAATATTTACTATAATATCCAACTCCTGCACTAAGAACACTTCTGCCTTTTTCATCTATTGGAAAGCCATTGATGTTTAAAATAATCGAAATGAATTGTTTCATCAACCTATGTCTCAAAAGGTGTAATTAGATTTAGATGATTGACTTTTTAAAGAGTGTTGATCTATTTGGCTAAGCCTCTTTCTTTGAGTATATCATACTATGTGGAATGTGATGTCAATTGTGAAACCGATCGACATATTCCGAATTCTCTTCGGATCTATGGGCTTGGTGAGATATCACTAGGGATATTCTGAATTATTTTGTCGACTCATGAATGTTTTTATAATGTAATGGCAGATCATACTTTCATTGATACAATACAATTCTATTTAGAAAAGGGGTTTCACCTGTCATTTGTTGTATAATGGCGCTAAGTTCAGTTACTGCTTCATCGTGCATCACCTGACCACCAATGATAAACTCCAACTGTCCATTTGAAACAAACTTTCGAGTTTGACTCTGAAAAGAAGGATAATTAGACTTTTGCGACGAATCACCGTATAAGTATATGCATCACATAACTTTAAAATCTCGTTTTTTTCGTTTTTTTTTCGTTGATAGGTTAAAACACATTCTAATATTTAACTTATATCTGAAAAACTCCCAAAGGATACATGTAAGAAGACATTGATCTACAATTGCCATACTCAACCCATGTGAGGTAAATTGGAAAGTGGTAGGATTATTCCTTGAAATAATTATGCGCCGATATCAGTAGCCGGAGCTTAAGGGTAATAATTTCCGAAGCTCTTTGGTAGGGCAGAGAGTATTATGCGCTATACAAGAACGGACTATTCATATTAATATTACTGCTTTTTTTGGGGGGGGGGGGCTACCTTTTGTTTTTCTGTGGCTACGCCATCCCACCAGAGCCTGAAGAACTCCTGTTCTACAGCAATAAATCGGCGGGCAGGGTTGCGACCAAGTTCAGCTATCACTGTGGTGTAGACATTGGCGGCATAAGCGTGCATACTCTCCTGCAAAAGTGGAGGAAAAGCGATACAATAATTGACAGTTTGAAAACTAGAAAATGAAAGATCGACCCTTTTTCTTCTCCAGATGAAAGCACATCTGCAAATCACTCAACGAGATTAATCATCTCCGACTGTGTTGCTGTGGAAAATGTCTCATTCAAGTATTCTATAATGGCAGAAAGGTTATGCGCCAATGTTTGTTTAAAACTTATAAGTTTTCTTTAGTATGAAGGGAGAGAGAGAGAGAGAGAGAGAGAGAGGGAGAGGTAGAGAGAAAGAGTAAGGGAGAAGAATACTTTGTAAGAATGCAATTGTGCTTCTCCAGATGAATGTACATCTGCAAATCCCTCAAGAAGATAATCATCTCCGACTGTGTTGCTGAGGAAAAATCTCATTCAAGTATTCTATAATGGCAGAAAGGTTATGCGCCAATGTTTGTTTAAAACTTATAGGTTTTCTTAAGTATGAAGGGGGAGAAAGAGAGAAAGAGAGGTAGAGAGAAAGAGTAGGGGAGAAGAATACTTTGTAAGAATGCAAGTTAACATTGGTGATTCAAGAAACAAAATCTAGATATGTTAATCGGGTATTAGAAGGGTTTTTTAAAATAATCTTTATGTCCTCTTTCGCGATTCCCACGTAATCAATTACCGTGGACAAACTGGGACTTTTGTTTTGCTCCCATTATGATAAGTATGTTAGTTGTCATTCGCCCATATAAATCGTTTACAACTACATTTAGTTTAAAATCATCGATTTTGTTTACTTACATTAGGTACAATGTAGCCAACAAATAATTCAAGTTAGTACGATCTACCAATATTTATGACAAGACGTATATGACTTGATTTTTTGACTAAAACAAAAAATAAAAAACAATCAAACAAACAAAGCACAAGCTTTTCAAATGAGCAATAATAGACATACCTTGACTGTGTAAACCCATCCAACGTCCATGTGACTATGGGGTATCACATAAACATTCAGGGTATCGCCATCACTATATGCATTGTCGACTTCGTCCTCTCTTTCGACGCCAAGTCCCTGGACGGTCACCACGCCGGAACCAATCAAGAAGTTGACAGAGATGGTTATTACGATGAAGAAATTCCTTTTCAGGAGCGCCATATTTTTCAAGATGGTTTCAGATTGGTTTCAGATGCTAGTAAGAAGCTCAGTTGTTTTCAATCTAGAGGATATCATTCCAATGCTATAACTAAGCACTGATTGTTAATAATAGGGTACGTGAGATTTTGCCGAAAGAGATATACACAAAAAACAATGGCATAGGAGGGCAAAGTCTGTTCGTGTTTGTTTGCCAATGTTGATATTCAGGAAGCTAGGAAGTCTTGGTACCATCCAAATGTCATTTCCCGTATCCGGACAATTACCCCCCCCCCCCCTGGAAAACCATAACAATTACCTTTATCGGACGATTACACCCCGGACAACCTGGACAACTCATTGGACAATTACCCTAGTGGTTATTGTTTGTCTTTGTTTAGTCTTTCTGGGTCAATTTTAAAATTAAATTGATGAGGCACTAGGTATTTTTGTTGTTGTAAATGCTAGTCGCAGGAGGGGAGTGAGTGTGGTAGATTCAATTCAATTCAAATTTATTAAAATGGAACAGAAGGTAGATTACGGACCTACCACGACAACCTTGTAAAAACCTTGTAAAAACCTTGTGAAAACCTTGTAAAAACCTTGAGGTATACTAGGTCCATTGGATATACATTGATAACTCGTTAGATCGGGACAAACATGTGAAAAAAACTCCCCGGACAACTACCCCGTATGACAACCACCCCGGACAACTACCCCCAGACAACTACCCCCTACGACAACCATCATCTAGGACAAATACCCCCCTGAACACTATCCTCGGGGGTAGTTGTCGTAGGGGTTAGTTGTCCGTGGAGTTTTTTTCACATGTTTTTCCCAATCTAACGAGTTATCAATGTATACCAATGGACCTAGTATACCTCAAGGTTTTTACACACGGTAACCTGATTCAATTTTATGTTATCAGTAAAAAGATCTAGATTTTTTTCCACGAATTCTTTTTTATAGATCCGATTTATAGCATTGTTTCACATTTCTTTGTATTTAATGCCATCTGATTACAATGAAAGCCATCAGTTGATTTGATGTGTATATGTATTTTGTTGTGCTTGTTGTTGTTGTATAATGTTTTATCGTGTTCTACGGACACTCTGAAGAACAGCATCCGGTTAAAGTGTGTAACCGCAGTAAACTGAAATTATAAACAAATTATTAAAAAAGTTCTTCATAATTATGATCAGGTAATACTGTAATAGTTTTGAAGATCGCTACATGATTGATTTCAAGCAAGACAACGACCCGTTTCATTGGCCTATAACACGACAGCAAAGCAAAAGACATGTTATCAGATCTGTACTGTAAATTACCAGTCTGACGATATGTTAGATTCTGCTGAAATGAATATGTATCACAGGAAAATAATCAGGCGACTTCAACAGTAAATACAGCGTACATAAATTAGATTAAGAGCCATCTACTCAATAATAGGGACTTTTAGATGCTAGGTGTGACATCCTTGTAAGGCATCGCCGGGCACTTAAAAGGACATCACAATGCCTTAAAAGTGTCACACGTGGCAGTCCACGTTCTCGTCGTGCAAATCTAAAAGTCCCTAATCTGCACAAAAATAAATGACAAAGCAAAATGATTTGGTTTCAATATGAAATTATAGTAGATGATGTTATTGCAATGTGAAAACACCCCCAAACGGCCTTAAAAAACCTCCCTCCGGCAGGCGGAGGGCGATGAGTTGTCCACAAAAAACAGTTTAATACCACACTCTCTCCAGTGGCCAGATGTGACAGATGTTTTTTTTTTTAAAACTATATCATTAAAAATCAGTAAATAATTCCAAGTTCCAGCAATGACTAGGTCATCCTTCGGGTATTATATAAAAGAAAATAATCTACGTACACTGGACTGGTCTTTGGATACAAATAGTTAACTTTTTGGTTAAAGTCCAGATAATGAGGTCGTGAGTACAACCTCTTCCTGATTTTATTTTGACTACGAGCGTTGATGAATAGTAGGGTTATGAATACAAGCCCAGCTCGTCCCTAAAAATAATAAAATCGAAAAAAAATAGCTAATCATCTACCAACATAGACACGATCTAGCTATAAAGATATACATCCTAACAATTTCCAAAATAATTACAATATCTCTAGAGTCTAGAGCTTTGCTTCACTGAAATAAATAATTTAAACAGACGACATTTATAAACGACTGTGTACGGTATCTTTTATCTGGAAATGTAAAATAAAATATCTGTCTTTATAGTTATCACTTCTCAGTACAATGCAATTTTTACACTTATTATATTCTAAGCAAAATAAACGAATCACGGTTAAGACTTCCATATTCAACATGCAAGATAAAATAAATACCCATTAACTCACATTACATGTAAGAAAATAGCTTTCTAACTTTCTAACTTGCAGTTCAGATGTCGAAACAATAACACAAGCTGAGATGAGGGCTGATGAGGCTTTTACCACGGCATGTGCTACCTGGTCCGTGCTTGGTCCTATAGGGATAGTCTTACTGGCGTACTGGTTGGGGGGGGGGGGCTTGGGGTGCTAGCCCCCCTCCCCCCAAACAAACAAAAATCAATTAAACTATGACTTATTTTCAATTCCATACCAGTGATTTGTAAATGTTCGTGATATCACATGATTTTCAACAAAATGCGCGTTTCTCCATTTCTGTTGCAAACTGACACATTCCCAAATAGCCAAGAAGAGCATATGTTTTTTATAGTCACTAATGGGCCTTAGTGGCCACTAACAGCTAGTAACACTAGTAGAAATTTTCTTTCCAGAAGCTACTGCGACAAGGACTGCCGGGAGATTTTGTTTTGTGTATCTCTTATCCTCAAGCGAGGTTTTTATTTCCATATATACTGGCTAATAGCAATACATATTTACATTAATGAGTGAACATAGGCTAAAAATTTAAGTATTTTCAACAATTAATCTTCCAGCTTGGTATTATTTTCTTTACATTCATATCTTAAAAATAATCTTAGCAACGACTTTAATTCAAAAAACAAAGTATGTGGGTAGTTAACAGAACCATTAACAATCTTCTTAACGTAACATTTATAAATTGCATATTGCGCATAATTTAAAATAATATTCAGAAGTGAATATTTCTTGTTTCCAATATCCTTACCTAAAACTATTATCTTTTGGTCTATTTGTATTTCTTTTTGGAATAGATTAAATATAAAATTACATATCATTTTCCAAAACAAAGTCACATCCTTGCAATGTAACATAAAATGAAAAGTTGAGTCACTGCCGGGAGATAACATGCTACCGACCACTCGGGCTGTGCATGCACAGATTTGCGAACGGACGTTCCATACATACGTACATACGTAACGTGTACCGTTAAGGGGCCCAGTGGGGCAACTGAACAAGGATTAAGAGTAGAGAACGGTACAACGAATTGTCTTTTTTCTCTAATAATTTAATGAAACTGCAAAGCGTCCATCCTTCGCGCGGGAGGGGGCAACTGATTCAGACTAGGATTAAGAGTCGAGAACGGTACAACGAATCGTCTTCTTTCTCTAATAATTTAATGGGCGAAAACGAATTCAGACAAGGTTTGAGAGTAATAATTTAATGAAACCTCAAAACATCCCCGCTTCATGCGGGAGGGGGGGGGGGGACTGAATTCAGACAAGGACAGGTACAAGAAATCTTCTTCTTTCTCTAATAATTAAATGAAACTTCATAGCTTCTGTGCTTCGCGCGGGAGGGGCGAAACAAGAATTAATAGTCGAGAAAGGTACGACGGATCGTCTTCTTTCTCTAATAATTTAATGAAGTATCAAAGCTTCCGTGCTTCGCGCGGGAGGGGAAACAGATAACTTAGCTCTTGGCCCCGGGTAATTTTCTATATTTATTTATATTTTGGTGTGTTGAAATGCATATACTTGTTTGTGTTATGAAGGGCCTCAACGAAAACCAGTATTTATTTGCTAATTGGGCTACCCTTCTTTTTAAAGATGTGTAATAAATTAAAAAAAGAACAAAAGTTCTCTTTATGGTAAACTCCTTAAAATTCTTCGTATTCCTCTTATGCTAAACCCTCTATACAAACTGTCCATTCAAAATTCATTTTACTATCCTCATACTGAATCCTAGTAAACAAAACTGTCCTATCAAAATTCTCTTCATCCTTTCCACATACCTGCTACGCTATTAGAGAACCCCAGTTAGTAAGGTTGTAAGATTGTAAGATTTTATTGACTCTATCGACCCCCTCACGGGGTGTGAGAGTACAAACATATTTACAGCATAGTATCATTATCAACATACTAATAGTTATAACAATAATGATAATAAGTGATAATAAGAACAATAATAAACATATAATGAACAATGAAAACATGTGATAATATAAACAAATAAACATATTTACAAATCAAGGCGAACAGGGCAATTCACCCTCCTACCGCTACGAATGTGCCTAACAACATTGCTTACTTGTGAGCTATTACTTACAGTATTACCATTTACCCTTGGCTCTTTTGAAAAATGTGACATAATTATTTTAACAAATTTGGCTAATTTCTTTAGCTGGCAAGCATTAGCTGTATTAAAAACCTTATCCATGCGCAACGCACTTGCTCTTAAGCAACTACCACATAATTTATTTGGTATATATTTTTCTCTCATTTTGAAAGGATGGACATACAAAAATATAATGAAATTCATCACCAATATCTGTTGGGGTACAAAGTGGGCATTGCGAATCATGTACTATTTTGCATCAAATCTACATAATACCTTTATTAAATGGCAATCTATGTGTTCTACATCTAAATTGATTTAAAGTTATTGTTTCCTTCTAACATAATATCTGCAGGTATTTTTCATAAACCAACTTATTCTTAAACATCCTATAGTTCGTGCAAATACGATTTGACCAGGTAACTGCGCTCCATTCCTAAATAGACATGTCAGAAAGCCTGGTTTTCATAATATTCATAATCCATGCAGGCAGCACTATATCCATCTCTGTGAGCTCGCCAGATGTTCCCAAGTCCTGCATTATCAAAACTGTCTGCAAGAAACTTAATACACTGAGACTTTATATTGATTAAATTTAAAAAAATTACTTTGCGACCACAACAAAAATTAAACAAAGAATCAATGAATATTTTGATTGCTTCCCTTGAACTAATCTAACCCATTATCCAATCATTCTACACTTAATTTTATCCAATATTTTACCACGTCCAGTTTCGCCATAAACCATGCAGTCAGGTGTGCACTTATTAACAAACAATAATCGTTCTTAAAGGATTTCTGCGGAAAACTTCCAGTTGATCTATACACTCATAGCCCCAGACCTCAGCACCATAATAGAAGCGGAAAAACTAAGTGATCAATTAAATGACATTGTGTATCAACAGATTAAAAAAAAATGCAACCTATATATTTGCCTTTACTAACATACTATACATTGTCTTTCTAGCTTGTGTTTACCTAGGCATATAACAGTACCTATAAATTGCCGCGAAACACATCCATTCAACTCGCAAAAGTCTCGTCTGTTACATTCTCTGACTATACAACTCAACACGAACACAGGGTCATAGGGGGAGGGGCGTTAGAATCATGAAAGAAATTTCAGTGACAATGCTTCCAAGCAAACTTTTAGCTTGAATAGACGCTGTACTTTTTACAGTACCTTCAGGAAAACTTGGAAGTGTCTCAGTGGAAGATCATGAATACAAAAATGGAAGGCACGCGAAATTCACAAGATAAATGGAAGTACGTCATCGTCCTGAGCAAATTCATCATCCAGTTCGTTGAAGTTGCGATGACAAAGTCGTTTGGGATCTTGATCTCTACCTCTACCATGATGTATGTGTTCTCAACGAATGCTTCGTCGTTAGGCCTTGTGTGCAGCATGCCTACGTCCATGATGTCTTTATCAAGTGAGTGAAATTGTGAAGCAGTGGGTAATAATTCCAATCATAGTTTGTCAACAGGGTCGACGTGAGAGGAGATGAATGTTTTTCATCTTTCCTTATATTTTTGTGTGAATGTTACGAAATATATTCCTTTTAATTATCTCACAGGTCTCCCCATGGCTTACATACTAAAGAGCGGTCACATATCACCTAGAGTGATGGCGGTTATTGGAGCTATTATATCATCGTTAGGAATCATCATTGCCGGTCATCTGACATCTGTAATCGCTCTTGGATTCTGCCTGACCATAACAGGTGAGTACAAAAACTGATGAGGAATCTGGAAAACACGCATGGTGTTCTAATTAATAATTACATATACATGTACCATTGTACATGCACGGAGAGGCTACGGTTGTAATTATGAGCTCTCTGAGGTGACTGCCATTTGTGAGGGGCGTAGCCCATTATATAGAAAATAGTAACTTTTCTTGTCGCTTGAGAGAAAACTAAACCGTTAATTGCCTCGAAAATATTGCATGGTCTGTTTGGTTATATCCATTATCAACTTTTGTAATTCAGTAAAGGGGCGAACACTTTATAAAGCTAAAAATAACATATATATATATATATATATATATATATATATATAGTCAAACCTGCTTTAGCGACCACCTGTATAGAACGACCAACTGTCTATAAAGACCACAATTTCCATTTTCCTTGAATATGGCTTCTCATTGAAATCTGTACTAAAGGAAACTGTACCTGCTTTAAAGACCACTGTCCATTCTTCCCTTGAGCGGTCTTCATATTGTGACAGGTTTCACGGCATTTGTATACAGTGTAGGCCTATTCATTTTTATTTTGTTTTGTTTTAATGATGGGAAGATAATAAGGCCTAAAAAAAAGATGTTGTATTGCCCTTAAGGTGCCAAATTCTGGGTCGGTCGGTCAGAATTTTGTTTCTTTCTTTTTTTCCCCCTCTTTGGGCTGATATTTCTCAGTTTTGAATGCTTTGATACCTGTGTTTCAGCGACATCATTCAAATCATATCTTTCACCTCATAATAAATGATGGTTTACAATGTTGTGTTGAGACAACACTATGTGCTTCCCAGCTGACAAAGTTGGTTGTCAACTACCTGTAAAACTTGGTAGAAATGTGAAGATTGTTGACAAATTTTACAGGTGGTCCCGGGCACAAAGTTGTCTTTTTACTATAATTATAAAACCAAAGAATGGACCGAAACTGACTACACAGGAAGAAAACAGCCAGACAGTTTTGCATGCAACAGGTTCAAATCATAACCTGTTACAAATGTTTGTATTTAATCTGGCCCACTTTATAGAATGTATTCGTTTTTTGAGTCTGAAATGAGTCAAATCTGACAAGAAATTTAAACAATTCAAACACATGAATGTCTGAACTCGATGTATCTCCAATGTTTTAATCTGAGTTGTTCAATGTACAAAGTTACAAACTAACTTACACTTGCTGGAAAACTTTAATAAAGAAACAATATCTGAATAAATAAACATAAATACATGTGTTTTTCTTGTACACATAATTTCCATACACAGATCCGCCACACACCGGAATGTACTTGTTTATAAAAGCACCAACATCTTTGGAAGTATTTATGTATAATTTTAGAAATGTCTCTTCCTTTACACTTTCTAGTTTTACTGTCTATACTAATATCTGAACAAAGATACGTAAATACATGTGTGTTTTCTTTCCCACATGATTTTCATCCGCTTCTGCTACACACCGGAATGTACTTGTCAGTTTTTCCGTTTTTTTAGATGCAAACTTCAGTGTTTGAATCCACACACGAAAAATTACTTCTACCCCGCATTTGGCCGTGAAAGTAACAGCGTACTAGTAGCTGTTTTGGCCGTCACACGTCGCCATGTTCAACACTGCACATGCGCGGCCTTTAATTCTCGGGCGCACAGCACTCAATTACTACCAAATTAATTACATGTTAAAGGCCACTTTTTGAAAGCTCGATTTGAGACTGTCCGGCAATATTTTGGGTATAAATAGATATCAACGGATTCCAAATTGATGAAATGTTAACATAATGTCTCGATGTATATGTCCCTTTCATCTCATTTTACGTAAATTTTGAACATATTTTAGTGCATGCCTTCAAAATGTGTCATGAATACTCAGGTGTTGTGATAAGCAGCGATCGTATGGCAAGCCGTTTTAACATTTTATTAATATTTCTTGATATCAAGAATTCAGTTTTCGATATCAAGAATTATCATTGCTTTAAAACAGAAATTCGTTTCTTAAAATCAAGAATTTCTTGCTATTTCTCTTTCTCTTCCTCTCCCTTGCTCTTTTCCATCTTCGACTCCACCCTTGTCTGATTGTAATTATCTTTTACCTTCTTCAGTAAGATACCATTATTGAAATTCACTCAATACATGTTCAAAGTCTGGTTTTGAAATATAGTATTTTTAAATCTTTAGTGTGGTATTTTGATAGTTTACGCATTACTCACATATTCCGTATTATGTGCATTCCCATTTCCTAAAAAAATATGAATTCATGTATTGTAGACATTGAATGTGGCACTATGAACTGTAATTTTGCATACACAGTGATTATATACTCTAATTCTCTCTCTCCCCGCCGGCCTCTTTCTACCCCCCCCCCCTCCTTCTCAGTCTCTCGGTTCCCCGGTTTTTACCTTTTACTTCGTTCTCCACTGTCGTCCTCTCGATTCCTTCTTCTCTAGCTCTTCTTTTCTCCTACTTTCCTTCAACTCTCCTTTTTTGCTATATCTCTCAGTGCAATATGTGTACATAGTTTGACCCAATACTGTTTTTTAGTTTGATTGCCGTATTGTTTTTATGTTTTAATGTTCTCACATTGTATGATAGTTGTTACAATATTGATGAGCAAGTTCAGTTGATTTTATCATGTAAACTGAATGTAATTCAGCCTATACGGGCTGCCAGGTTCAGTATTTTAATGTAAACCAAATATCGTTAAATATCGTTAAATATAAAGGACCTTTCAGACTCGACGATAGATGATCGGGAGTATGAGTTGACTCAAAGCTAAATTAAAAAAAAAAACAGGCGCGGTTGAGCATTTTCCAAAATGGGCTGGGGGGCACTAGCAAAATAGGGCACTTTCTGGAATATAAGGGCCACCTTCAAAGGGAAACATCAACATGTATATACCCCTACATTTGATCGTGATTACATTGCCAGGGATGATTCCAATATTTGTTTCTCTCTTGACATGGTCCAATATACTATTTAAGAATCATAAACTTTGCAGTTGGGTGTGATGGTCTGAATATTGAGAACATTTAAAGATTTGTGACGTCGCAGCGCGAAAAGTTTTAAAATGAGAAAAACAACAACAAATCCTGATGGGTTTTAAGCACAATTTAATCATGAAAGACTGAAAATTCATTTCATAAATAACACATTTAAACCAATTATAAATACGAGCGAGCTCTGGGGGAAATAAATGAAAAAGTTGCTCTATAGGGGCGTATGTTATGGAGAAAGTAAAAGTGGTATTTTTCAGATAGAAACAAACACTATTAGGAAAGAAAAGCAGACAGCAAGCAATTTGTGTAAATGACAAAAGGTCTACGGGAGTGATTAGAAGCAGTAAAACTGTCTTGTCCTGGGAACCACGTCTATCTTTACGGATCGGGTGCATGGGGAGAGCCTTTAATCACTGAATAGGGACTCTTGCTATACGTTGTTACATTATTGTATTTGATCCAGTGACCTCGGGGCAGTAGCCATGCAGTAAGAACTTGTGTTAATAATAAAATGTCAACCGGAGTGGTTGTTAGAAGCTTAAAGATAATCTTTAGTACTGGTAATGCGATTGCATTGTGAAATAAAAGGTGTGGAAAGGATCAGAAACAGTTGATCATGTAGCATGTAAATATTGGTGTGCACTGCAAGGTTCTGGGGGGTGTTTCACAAAGATTCTAAGTCAAACTTAACTCTAAGTTGGACTTAAATATTATGGAGAGCCATTCGTAGCCTTATTTTGAAATATATTGAAAAGCAAAAATTCATGTATTTTAGACTTTTCATAAATTCCACATCAAGAACATGAAATCTCTCACGATAATTGAAAATATGAATGATTTGAGTCAAAATCTTATGCATTTAAAAACAAATTTTACAAAACATTTTCAAACATGCTAATGGTTTCCATAATTGTTAAGTCCAACTTAGAGATAAGTTCAACTTAGGATCTTTGTGAAACACCCCCCTGGAGTCATCAAAATCATAATAAATTTGACCGAGTCTTGGTAAAGTAACAAGCACTGTACACAGAAAGCTATATATGGGACAACACACACGGTGTCGGGGCTAGTACTACCTTGATTTCCTTGTCTTTCTATGCTCATCACTCAGCCAGTATACATTTTCTTCCAAAATTGTTCGGCACATGTCATTTATTTGTAATCTTGAACATTCACAATCTTGAACATTTCCATACACTTACAGTGTAAGTTTCGTTTGATTCTGTGAGAATTAATTATCTTTCTTTTTTTACCAGAACTCAAGTTTATCTTTAAACTACATACAACTCACATTCTCTCCAGTGTTATACAACAAAAGGTTGCTATCGTAACCACTTCTATTTTGCGGACAGGGTGCATGGGAGCCCCGGGAGTTTTTTTTTTAAAGGACCCTCAAAATAGTCGTCACGAGCGATACAAATTGTAATTTCCTTCTCAAAAGTCACATAGCCCCTTTCATTTTAGAAATAACCTCTCTGTTTATACTATGTCCCTTTTGCAGCCAACATCAAATTCAGTAGAACTTTGCAGGAATAATGAATATGTCATGTATGACCTATCTGTGAAATTTAAACATTAGCAGTGTCCTATATTCAAATTATGCAAGGAAACCCGTTTACCTTCTAGACTTCACTGTCAGACACTATTGAGTGACTGACCATAGACCTATATCCGTAATAGGTCCATGGACTGACTGGCATCATTCTTTTTCTTTTTTTTAATATTATAATAATCAATATTATAATTTGAGTAAGGAAATCCGTTGAAATGTGAAAACTTTTAGGGTGTTGCACGTCTCGGGCTGAAAAAATGCTGCGTGTCATTCGTTATGACTGGAGACTGTTCAAAAGGCTGGGATTTTAAAATAAGTTGTTTGAAATCTCGAAATGAAATATAAAAACTCAAAAATCCGGGGTTGAAGGGACCGCAGTCATGTGCCCAAAATCTCCGGTTCAAGCCTTTTCACGCAACAAAGTCCAGCCCGATAAATGTTTTAAAAAGGGGGTGTATTTGACATTTCACCCGGAGATTTCTTTAAAAAGGGGTGTCCTTTCTCTCTCTCTCTCTCTCTCTCTTTGGATTCCTGAAAAAATTGAAAAGGGGTTATAACATATTAAAAAGGGAGTGTTTTTTCTCCCTCTCTCTTGTGACTCCTGAGAAATTAAAAGAGGGGGTTATAAAATATCTCGAATATCCGGAGGGGGGGGGGGGGTGGTACATTGAGCAGTGTTCCAGATTCAGGGGGGGGGGGGTCTCCAAAGCAGGAAAGGCTCGCGAAAACACCGCGAAAGGGGAGTTCAGAAATGTTGGCAGTCCTGAGAAAGAAGGGGGTGGGGTGCTTTGGGAGGGAACAGGCATACACGTACCCTAAATAACACAAAGTGGGGGAGGGGGCCGGGTATACGATACGGGCTAAAATTAAGATACCAAATTACATTCCAAAAAGTAGCCCCCATCATCATGAAAAGAACCCCCATGAGAAGCCTGAAGGGGGCACTTTTTGTACATTTGAAATAAAGCCCCTTGGAAAGAAAAAAAAAATTGAAGGTTGATTGTCCATATTAACCGAACACAAAAAAGTAACTATGCCCCATAATTTCATAATCTACAATTGTGACAAGATTTTGTCTTGCAAAAATATTTCTATGGTAGTTAGGAAAACAATGTGTGAAAATAAGGGGTTACCATTAATCCATGGTCGAGTAAGCATACATTAAAGAATTATTCGTCATATTTCAAAATTCGCAAAAGTAATATTATCATTGCAGTTTACTGAGTATTAAAACATTTCAAAATGCAGTGTTTAACAATTGCAATGTGCCATTTAAAAATTAAAGATGGATGGAATATCAAACAGCATTGTTTCACAAACCCTACACATTACACATTTGTTGATCCAGGATTATTCAGTCTTTGACTGTTGTTCCTATCCATGTATATTGTATCTCGTCAAATGACAATGTCTCAAGTATGCTGATGACATGGCTATCATTGGCATCATCCACGCAGGGGCGTCTCCAAAGGAGGGGGGGGGGGTGTGTGGGGGTGCGACACCCCCCCCCCACCCCACCTGTTAAGATATTGTCGGTAAAATTGCGCTGCCGTCGGGAAAAAAGAGAGGGAAAGGGAAAGAAAAGAAAAAGAGAAAAGGAAAAGAAAAGAAAGAAAGGAAAAGAAAGGAAAGAAAGGAAAGAAAAGAGAAGAAAGAACGAGAAAAAAGAAAAAGAGAGAGGAGAGGAAAGAAAGGAAAGAAAGAAAAGGAAAAAAAAAGAAGAAAAAACAGAAAAGGGACAGAAAAGAAACGGGGATGAAAGAGAGGAGAGAGAGGGGAGGTAAGAGCCTGAGAGAGGAGGAGTGGGAGTAAAAAAGAGAGGGGGGGGGGGTTGTTGTTGGGTGAAGTCGTGTCGTCGAGGGAGCAAGAAAGACACGGGTAAATATCGCGCGGTAGGGGGAGAAACTGAATTCAGACAAGGAATAAAAGTCGAGCACGGTTCAACGAATCGTCTACTTTCTCTAATAATTTAATGAACGCAAAAACTTCGGCGCTTCGCGTGGGAGAGGGAGAACTGAATTCAGATAAGGATTAAGAGTCGAGAACAGTACACCGAATCGTCTTCTTTTTCTCATAATTTAATGAAACGTCAAAGCTTTTGCGCTTCGCGCGGGTGGGGAAAAAACTTCATTCAGACAAGGACTAACAGTCGAGAACGGTACAATAAATCGTCTTCTTTTCCTTATAATTTAAGGAAACAGGCGAATGTCATCCCATGTTTCGGACCTTATGGCTTTCAAAGAAATCATATCTGGACCGTCAAGGAAAATGTCTAAGAACCCCTGGTCTAGTGATACGTTCACTTGCCTACTTTATTGTTTCGTATCGTTATGAATGTGGATTATGCTTCCCTCAGATCAATTGTTAAACTTTGTACTACACTCTTAGATTAGATCGGCTGTATGTACGAAGGTCCAAACTTTAAGCATGCACCATGTACCGATTCATTCATAAACTATACCCGCCCTACCTTAGTAATGTTTTGGCTCCAATAGAAACAACAATTGAACAAGATCCGTCCCTATAGGGAAATATGGCTCATATAGCCAAAGACAAATTGCGGTAAGAAGTCCCTCGCACATTGCAGGACAAAGTTGTGGAATGAGCTTGATTACCCTTCCTTCACGACTTACATTAATTAAAGCTTTTAAACGCCACCTAAACAACCGCCACAAAACAAAAACTGAGTATATAAATAAATTGATTTTTTTTTTCTCACCGACCTTTTCTCTTTTTCTTAGGATTTTTGTTTAAAACTCTTTTTATTTGACTCTTTCCATTCATCGTTGTATATATTTTTTTCTTCATTGTTTTGCTGTAATATGACCGCAACTTTGTTACTTTTCACATGATTCATATTTCCATGATTGTATGTTTTAAGTTGATATTGTATATTATTTTGTTGGTTCGTATGTTTCTTTTAATTGGACCCATGTGGAAACAGCTATTAGCTGACAAGGGTAATCCAACCCTAGAATAAATCAAATCAAATCAAACGAAATAGATTTATACTTTCAAACCAAAAAAAAATGAAAAAAAAACGAACAAAGGAAAAGTTTACAGTCATATAATTTTAGATATAACCCTGCAACATAATTGTCAATTTCCTTTTTGTATTGTGTTTTTTAATTGTTTGTTTTTTTACTCACGCTTATCTCAAAAGGAATTGGACTGTCGATGGGGTACCTGCCATCCAAAGTCTTACTCAACGACTACTTCATGGATGATTTTATCCTCATGAATTCTATAGGCAATCTAGGAAGCACTGTAGGTGCATTAGTTGTTCCTGTGATCATTGAAAGATCACTACAGGCTTACGGGTTCAGTGGTGCCATGTTGATCTTAGGAGGAATCAGCTTACATGCAATAGTTGGTAGCGTTACTCTTCGGGCCAAAGAATGCCCTCGCAAATCCACAGGCATCGGGAAGGCAAGGAAAGATAGTCAAGAAACTGAAGAGATTCCTCTGATAAATCCTAATAGTGATTACCAGAGTGTAGATATGACTGTGGGGGAACCAGACATCTCGGTTGACCATGAAGCAACTTCCACAGATATTAGCCAGTATCAAGATCAAATTGGCGAGGAATCTCCGAGGCAAAGATTGTGGCACTGGATTCGGCATTGCATCTTCGTGGAGGAACCTCTCATGTCACTATCACTTCCTTGTCTCTTCCTCACGTCATCCATCTTGCAGTCGTGGTTTTTGTTCCTCGTTCCGAGAGCAGAATGGCGCAGAATTCCATCTTCTACAGCTGTCTTGCTATCTTCTTTTGGTGGAGGAGGTGGGATTATTGGTCGAATTCTGTGCATAGTTCTCCTCTACTTTGGGGTCGATTTCATCGTGGTTTTCCTGATCGTGGGCGTGATATCATCGACTACCTTCTTAATCGATCCGCTGTTAACATCGTTCCCGGCCATGTGCGCCACGGCGTTTGTCCAAGGAATGTGCCTCTTCAGCTCATCTCTTGGTTATGGAGCCTTCATCAAAGTCGCCGTGTCCAATGAAAACTTCACGGTTGCCTCGGGAATAAGCGGCTTGGTGGTCGGCCTCGGAGGAAATATAGGAAGTCTGCTGTCAGGTAGGCCAACCGTCATTATTACATTGACTTTTAAACCATGGAGATATAAGCCGTCAGGGGCGGATCCAGGAATTTCTTCCCGGGGGGCACATGGGGGGGGGGGGCACACGGGGGGTAATAGAACATATATATATATATATATATATATATATATATATATATATATATATATATATTTGTAAGGTCACCTTTTTAGGTCAGCCATTGGTATTTTATTTTTTTATAACATTTTTTATTTAATTTTTTGGGCCGGGGGCACGTCCCTGTTTTTCAGTACATTTTTGGCGAATTTAGGGCTGATTTTAACATATATTTGGGGCCGGGGGTATGTGCCCCCTGTGCCCCCCCCCCCCCCCTGGAACCGTCCCTGGCCGTTGTAGGACTTCTTCTTTTTTCTAAATGTTACGAATGTGTTTTCTAAATGTCATATTTTAGGTCACATAATTATTTACATTGTTTTAAAGTAATCAAAGACATATTAAAAAGATATTTCATAAGGCTAGCCGGCCAGCTTATTCTATTTTGCCATTTAATACTCTAATTTGATCTGAGTTTTACCAATTTGTTTTCTAATCTCTCTGTCTGATTGTGAAGGTATGATCAAGGACAAGACTGGATCCTATACCAAAGTATTCCTTTTTCTTGGTTTTGCCAACTGTCTAACTGTGATCCTCACCATTGTCTTCTTGGCTGCCCGACGGAGGCGGGATCATCTTTCCTTACAAGAAAACTTATAAGACAAATCATTGTATTATAAGCGAGTCTGTAATTAGCCACTGGAGTCGTATGACGTCAACGTGTCATAGGTCAAATGAACATATCTCAAAACTTACTCGCCTGTTCACTCGCATTCTGTGCGTGCGTTCATCCTTCACTGTTTAGTGTATGTAGTACCGAGTGTTCGCCGTGCTTTCTATATTTTTATTCATCGAAAATTCCTACAAGAGTTGTTGAAATGGATTGAGGAGGCTCCTTCGATTAGGATGTACGTTTGTGGACCGTCAAACCGAGTCCCCTCTATGGTAAATTTGATGATCTTAACACGCAAGGGGGACTCGTCACCGTGAGGAATATATTGACAGTTTTATAGTGTTTTTAGTCAGATTCTTTTGATTTAAGCGATTTTAACATAACGGTAAATATTAATATAACATCTCTGGGTAACTGTCTGAAAGTGGCAGAGTGGTCTTGAAAAGGAGGAAAATGAGGGGAAGATATCAACGGGTTAATTGCCGTCTCGTATTAATTTTGGAGGGGGGGGGGCGATCGGATCACGAGGAGTATATTCCTCGTGGTACCGTGTAAGTCCCCTCCTATGGGATTTTTTTTGGGGGAAAATATTATATATATATTGTAAATCAATCGATTTGTTCGATCCAGTTCGATGGCACAAATACGACACTACTGGACAAAGATCCTAACAATTATAGAACTTGTCTTGTTGCTCTGTTCGCCAGCAGTTTGAGGATATGGAATCCCGCGGCACATTACTCACAAGAGCTCTCACATTTTGCGCATATGCCACTTACCCGATCGATCCACGAACAATAATTATTCAACAAAAAAAAAAAAAAAGAAGATGTCCATTGACTTAATATCAGCTCTCAAACTCAGAACTGTTATCAAAAACGAAATGTGAACCATCTAAAAATTCATAGTTATAAAAAATATCTATAAAGATATATTAAGCAACAAAATAAATAATATCATATTCAAGAAAAGGATAATGTGCACCAAACGCCCTGAAACAACATTCCCAATTTGAGAGCCGAACTATTGCGGCAACACCAATGGCCATGTTATGGTTAGATAAACTTAACCTTAACACAGGGAAGTGCTAATTTTCAGACTCCATTTCTGCACTCCTTCATTTCATTCATTTCATTTCATTTCTTTATTGTGTCCATATAGGATAATTGTTTATATTTACATTAACAATCTTGCTTCAACATAATAAACATAGTAACAACATATAATTGACAATCATAGGGCCCTGTTTTAGTATACATTCAATATAATATACATGATCATGATGAATATACTTGTTACTCTTTCTTCATTTTCTCCTTCTTCTTCTTCTCCTCCTTCTTCTTCTTCTTCTTCTCTCTATTCTTACATACACTCCCTTTTCTTTTATTCTTATATGCGCTAATCTGAAGTAGGTATTTTGTTTAAAAAATTATTCCTTGATATGGTATAACAGTAGGGGTACAACAGTAAAGTAAGTATACTGGAACAAAATATATATTCGTGTAACATGTCAATAAGGAATTTTGCATAGTTTTCACATTCTCTGCTCGAGTCTTTACTGGATTTCATTAACAACTCTTATGGAAAGTGGAATGAATGAATTAATGCGGCGACTAGTTCTTGCTTTAAAAGATCTCAATCTTCGTCCGCTTCTCAGGTATATGTACTGGTCATTAAGGGGGTGGGTTAGATCAGACATAATGGATAGCGCCTTAGATACTACTTTTTCCTTAGTCTGTAAGGAAAGAGTAGTATCTAAGGTCAACAGTATGGTTCATTATTTTGTTGGCTTGTTTTACAACCCTTCTCAGCTTTTGTTTGTCACTTTACCTCTCTTTACAGTCTCCTGATGATAATTTTGTAAATGATATTATTATACCAAACTGTTATACAAAGGTACCCAAGTGTATCTAGAATAGATCCCACCACACTGTGGCATTACATGAAAACGAAATGCAGATCACCTCGCAAAAACAAGCACTACAGCAAGAAATCATAATTTTAAAAAATCGGTTATTTTTATCTGAAATGAAAGCGTTGTTAAAATCAGAACTGTAAAATAAATGGAAACAAAGATGGGAAAATCATATTGACACAAGGCCTTTCAAACCAACACTTTTATGCATACTGAATATAGACAGCGAAGTATCATTCGCAGACTCGGAATATGGCTTAAATGCAGACCCCGCCAAAGTATGGTCATCCCGAACAACCCCTAATAGTGAAACCTGTACTGCCATACCCCTGAAACAATTATTCATTATTTAATAGAATGTCCAAAATATACAATAGAATGAGCAATGTTGATGACATAAGGCAATATAGTTAAGTCCAGCGAAATAATATGAGTCATAAAATCAATAGAAAAAGCAGTCAAAAAAGCTCTAGTTTGCTTCCTTTGCGCTTTGATCTTTAGCCCAACGTAACGCAACGTAACGCATCGGTCTGGCAAGAAATTATCCACTCCCAGTGATCTGGCCTATGGATCTAAGATCTCAATCCTGTTTTTATCAAAAAATTGTGTGAATAATCAAAATTTGCCGTCTATTCCTTGTCAATCTCGGCGAATGTTTTGTATTATTTTTATACACTATTGAACAATGCAACTGTATATTGTATTCTTTTACATGATTTTAAAAATATGCAACTATGTACAGAAAAAACGGAACCGAGAAGTTTTATCATGACTTAATCACAATTATAATTGATAAATGACACATATTTGGAAAGCTTAGATCCTCCTCTTTCATATTCCACGTATCAGTGATTAAAATGAATTTGAAGAGAGGAAACCAAAAAGTCATTTGGCGGACGGTATCTTAATTTCAAGGAGAAAATCACATTTCTAGAAAGTTGAGTTTCTGCCCTTTCATATGACACCTCAATCAGGAAAAATGAGCAAGAAATAACAAAGTTCTGTTAGTTTAAAGTAGTGCTTGCCTTTCCATAATTTGATGAAGCGAGTTCGTTTTTACTGGCTGCCTGCCGTAGCAACAAACAGAGTTGACAAAAGAATTAACTCCATTTCGTGGACAATCAGCCGTAGACGAAGGACTTCATGCATGACTGATTGTCAACGAAACGGAGTTAAGTCTGTTGTCAACTCTGTTTGTTGCTACGGCAAAATGACTTTTTGGTTTCCTCTCTTCAAGTTGCATCAAATGAAAGAGGAAGATCTAAGCTTTCCAAATATGTGTCATTTATTAAATATAAATGTGACTAAGTTATGATAAATCATTGATAACTCTCGGTTTCGTTTTTTCTGGAACGCACTGTATTGTACACTTTCATATCATTTTTTAACAATTCAACTATATATTGTATACTTTAATAAAATATGAACAATTCAATTATATATTGTTCACTTTGATAACGTTTGTTTAACATTGCAACTATATATTGTATACCTCATTGTGATTTTGTGAACAATGCAACTATATTTTTTACACTTTAATACAATTTTAAACAATGCAACTAGTATACTTCAAGACAATTTTGAACAATGCAACTTCATGTCGGTAAACTTTATTAGTATTAGTTTTTGGATTGTTCTACAAGGATTTGTTCTCTCAAAAACCGAATTAATGGGGAAAAAAAAGATGTATAGTTGTATATTCCTGTATTCTATGTCCAATCGAGTATATACTAAATAAATACACCTCTACCCTTGATTGGGCTGCCAATTGCATGTACACTCAAATTATCCGAAGGGGAAAAAACATGGGGATCAAGAAGGCAGAGCATTAAACGAAAACAAAACATAATCAAAGAAAGGGAATATAATTCTGTCCTTCGCGTACCGTTATTTTGAAGTGACCGCATTTTTATTCGATGTCCATCAAACAAGTTCTATGCAAGCCATGCTTTTGAGTATGAGCTTTAAAATAAAAAAAAGGATTATTTAAGTGAAGAAGCGAAAAAGATCGAGTTAAAAAAAAAGTAGAAGACATTTTTCACGCCTTACGCGAATAGTGTACAATGTATTATGCGGTTGTCCGACATCAAAAATAAAAAAAAACTAAACGAGGGGTGGGTGCATACAGCAGGGGCGGATCCAGGGGGGTCCGAGCCCCTCCCCCCTGGGAAAAAAAACATGTAAAAACATGTGATTTTTTAGCTTTTTGGGGGGATGCCCCCCCCCCCTTGAGCGCCAGGGGGCAAATTTTCGAGGGCCAAAAAAAAATATGCTCACTACCCCCCCCCCCCCCCCCCCCCCACTGAGCGAGTTTTCGGGAGCAAAACAAATAAAAAAAATTGGGCCCCCTCCCCTGAGAAATCCTGGATCCGCGCCTGGCATATTGGTAAGGAGCAGAAAACGATGTTATTGGGAAATATTTATTGCGGGCATATCTGCTTTGCTGAAATGTTGATAGACCGGCCCTAAATCTAAAATATCGAGCGGCCTCGGGGGGGGGGGGGGGGGGGGGGCTCCCCGAACTCCACTATGCCAACTGGTCCCTGGTGGTCAACGATTTTGCGAAAATCTTAACAAATGTTGCTCGAGGAATTTCAAAGGTTGAAGGGTAGGAGAGGGTAAGTTGACAAGGAAATCAAATATTGGGCGCAAAAGTACAAGCCCATCAATGACTTCTTCCACTCTCCCAAATCTAACTCAGTCTGTCTCTCCTCCAAAATTCATCTTCACTTGACTTTTGGGCGACTCTGTATATTAGTGTAGGTTTCTCCTCAGATTCCTCATAAAACATTGAGATATGCAAGGTGTGTTATTACACATCAAATCGAATTTGAAGCATAAGAAACTGCAGACACATCCATCCCTGGAGATTTACCCCTCCCATCCTGAGAATATGGTAGAGATTTGAAAAAACCCTCATGGCATTATGGTGCACATTTTTTATGAGATTTGAAAGACATCTGAAATAAATGAATAAATAAATAAATATTGGGGGTGTTGGAGTGGGGTTCCCCGTCCCAATCTGAGCAAATTCTGAGACTTAAGGCCCACCAGGTGTGTTGATATGCACAATTGCACTAAATTTCGTACTATGATTAGGTAGTCTGTCATAAACAGATCAGCTATTGATTTCGTCAGAATTTTCTTTCTTTATTTATTTTTATGTGTCCCGCTTTTCTTTTTTGTGCCGGTAATAACTCAGGATCGGTACGGTCAATTTCTTTCAATTTTGGCAAAGTCATATATGTCATTTTCAAGGTCATCAGGCGCCATTTTTTTTTTTTTTTTTTTTGTACTTTCAAGTTATTGTCATATCTTCATAACAGAAAGTCACTTCTCATTCATACTTAGCATGATCAAGGTCAATATCCGTCAATATCAATGTACAATGTATCCAGTTTTGTTGAGAATTATTTGAACAATATGTATTTGATTTGAAAGAAAATAATAAAAAATTATCTTTCAAAAAAAAAGTGTGTTCATCGGTGTGTTTCTATAATGTGTAGTATCTTATTATATATATTGTTATTGTTTTGTAATCTTGTTATTTATTATTATGTTAGGGGACTATTATTTACAAGTTTTTTCAAACTCCCTTTTTAGTCTCGAAGTGATGGTAGTGAGGAAAATCTGCACACAAATTGTATGCGATTTTTCATTCACTACCGTCACTTTGTGAATATAGGGACTATATAGCTGCACCCATCTTGTCTAGAAATTCACACAAAAAGTCAATATTTCAAGGTGTTGGATGCATAGTTAGGATTTCAAAATTTACATGCATATTAATATTCGCACAATTCAAAGATTATGCATAATAATAATAATAATAGGCATTTCTATAGCGCCGTCTCTAGATAATTCTATTCCGAGGCGCGATTTATTATTACCCCGGCTTTCGCCTAGCTGCGGCCGTTTGTACAGCGCTCCAGCATTTCAAGGAATTAATTCCTGCCAGGTACCGATTTACATCACCTGGGTTGAGTGGGGCAAATGTAATCTGACTGGTTGAACAATACAGTATAGAAGAGTGTCAGAGATTATAGGTTCAGAGTGCAGGGCAAGTGTATGTGTATCTCTGTTTCAATACAGAATGCAAATAATTTCTCCTTTGTATATTATATCCTCAAGTTCTTTACAATCTGATGACAAGAAGATATGAATAGTATCAGCATGTAGTTACATACAGAGGAAATGAAACTGCTTGGTAAAGGCTATATCTTTTAACTTTATCTGCATCAAAATAAAATTCATGAACAAAATACACTGCATTCATTTGCCATTGAAATCTATTAAATGGACTAGATTTACATTACAATTATGCAAGATTATATATGACTTAAGAAAAAAATTATATTTGTATTGCATACATATTATACAAAGATCTTCATTTGCTGGTTTTTACTGGGCTTTGGGAATCCTTCCACACAAGTATGCAAATGGAAGACGAAAGGCTAATGCTGATTTGCATTATCCTTACATCCTGGGTTCCATTCTACAATGAAGCATTTAACCTATAATCACCACAGGGAATTGTCTGCTTGGATGATGGGGTCAGTATGTTATAATTAGGAGAATTGGTTAAACATGCAGAGGGACACTGTAACATTCATAATGATTAGGAACTGTACAAAAAGGTAATATAGATCCACATTGCACTGCCTCTATAAATTTAGGCAAAAAATTGGTCACAAGCAATAAATATCACTGTGGAAAGGATTATCAAATGATATATTGTCTGGCTGCCTAGTCAATAAAACACTGATATATTATCCTAACATGTGCACTTGAAACAATAAACAATGAATAAGCACACTTAAGATATAGGGACCAAGACTAGGCTGTGTAGCTATAAACGTTTTGTAAGAAATGGGTATCTATAGCAACCATACAGTACAAGTAGATATAAAAGATCATCTCAAGTTCTGACAATGATGAAGAAAACAATAATCAATTTAAAGGAAATAAAACAAATTCTATATAAATAAAATCCAACAAAATCATCACCATATATACATATGTGAAAATAAATAGCATCTGCAATTCTGAAAGAAAATGCATAAACGAATGAGAAGTACCAGAATAAACAAAGTATTCCATGGAATGTGAAAGGTTCGTTCAGACCATGTTCACTGCCTATTGGTAAAGTTGTCCAATGTGTGCATATCCAAGTTGTAGATGTTTGGAGTTTTGGCAACCACCTGAACATGAAGACCACGTTTACTGATTCGCTTGAATAACATTTCGATTAAGAAACTGTACTAAAGCAACCTGTACAAACTTTATAAAGACCATCTGATTATATAGGTGAAATGTGACGTCATCAAAAATCTATTTTGGGAATTTCTCAATTTTCCTATAGAAACTCAGTGTTATATTGCTCTGGTTCATAACATTACGAGCCAGAGCAATATAACGCTGAGTTCCTATAGGACATCCATTTATTCAGATGGTCATATCTCAGCCAATATTTAACATATTCAATTGGTTTTTGACATTTGGACATTATTTTTTGATGCTCTTTTGGAAAATGAAGAAAAAATTGAGAAATTCTAAAAATAGATTTTTATGATGTCATAGCTTCGGTACTCTAAACAGGCATTATTTTCTCCCTTGAGCAGTCTTTATGTATAGGTCTCACTGCACTAGCTATATGTCCAATGAAGCGTTTAGTTCATCATCATCGAACTCTCTCTCATCGTCGTCATCAATCTCTCTCTCCTCATCGTTCTCCATGTTTTGCAAGCGACTGGATTGCAGTAAGGTGGCACGGGGGTTCTTCAGGAGCTGCTGGATTACATCATGAGAAACAAGTGTTCTCGATGTATCTGTAAAATTATGAATTACAATATTATAGCTCATACAGTTTCCTTTTCTCTTCTTGTTACATTCTAACAAGCTTTCACCTGTATATAGAAATCACAGGTGTATAGAGAACATATTTTCCCTATTTCTCTTGGTCAGAGCTTCTCATTGAATCCTAAATGAAAAGTCCACCGAGACTGCGTAAAGTGGTCTTTACACACAGGCTTGACAGTATGATCTCTATCTCTCCCGTTGTTTTTCCAACCCTCCCACTATCTCATGCCCCATCTCTCTTCATCTGCATATCTATTAATTGCTATGTCTTTGGGCCTTTAAAAGTTTATTTTTTTCAATGGCATAACCTTAACATCTATCTATTCATTTTTTATATTATTTCTATGTAAATAATTCAACACAACATATGGTATTACTTTATTATGATAATTTTTTTCTCTTCCAACTGGTCATGAACTTAAACCAGAGATAAATACTTGATGCTAGTAGCACAGGAGGGATGAATTTGACAATGGGTTAGACTTACTCATACTCATTTCAGATCTGGGTGAGTCATCCATAGAAAATGCAAGTTGCGATGCCGAGTCCCTCCCCGTCATCATAGTGGTTGTGGTCCTGCTACTGGCACGACTGCTATCAGCATTTTCTATTGCAAGTAGCCCAAGGCTGGCTTTGGCCTCTGAGAGAAGCTGTTGCAGGGCATCATTGGAGAGTTTCCCACCAGGGGGTGCCCCCGACGACATCTGGCTGCCCCCCTGCCCAGGCAATCGAGGGGACGCTTGCTGACTGCTCGCTCTCGGAGACGACTGGTTGGATTGTAGCGTTGAGGGGGTTTGTTGGAGTCGGGGCGAAGTGATTTCCGTCAGGGTTCTGTCACTGGCATCAGAGCAGCGTTGCAGAAGGGAGTTCAGCTGAGCCTTTGATAATGATGGTGATGATATCTTTGAAAGGAAAGGTTAAAAGATGAAATGTACAACAAAAATATTTGTGTCAACAGGAGAAGCATTTGCATGAAGTTATCTCTGAAACTATTTTTCTTCACCTTGTTAGGGCAGATACCTACGGTAGTTATTGTACTTTTTAATGTCCACCTTTCAAACAGATAGCACATGAGGGGAAAGTGGGATGGAACTATTGTCAATGCAATTTTTTGTTTACTAAAACTACTTAGAATACTATACTTTTTTGATAAAAATCCTACATTTATTGTGTTGTATAGCAATCTAAACACACTTCAAGAAATTAATGGCTTGAAAATATAATTATTTTGTAGATAATCTCAGGAATAGGACCCCCTTAAGGTGACCCTCTTACCTCATTATCAACTTGATTTTGAAGGCTGACAAGTTCCTGCTCTATGTTTTTGAGTCTCTGCTGCTGACTTTGCTCTATCTTGGTGTCCTTGAGGATGCGCTCGCCAAGGTCAAATGCTGCTGGGTTGAATGACTCACGTCTGTCTCCAAGCTGCAAGAATGACGTGTTTATACAATGGTCAATTATTTATTTATCTACCTTTTATTCATTTTCTTTACCCAGGGTTACTTTATGAGATATAAAATCACTGTTTATACATTCAGACTACCAAAAGATGCTTCAAATAAACATAACTGAAATTAAACAAAACAAAATTTAATCTAAATTGAATAATTGCAAGATTCACATACAGGGAGTGAGGTACAGAACATTTTAACAATATTTGTGATTAAGGGGTTTAACACAGACACTTACTTTGTACATTTCTAATTGCCAACACTTAGAAATAAATAATTCAGTTAACAAAAATCAGCACTTAGTATGTGATTTTTTAAACATGCAGGTTTTGGTAAGGTTTGATCATTATACCCGTACAGACAAACTTAACCTTCTGATATTGCTGGGTCCATTCAATTATACTGTGAAAGATATATATGTAAAACAAATACCATAGAGGGGGTGCTACAGATGTCCATGAAATCGTCAGATGGGAGAAGGTTCTTTAGTTTCTCATCAATGTCTTGTAAAAGCATCTGACTGTCAGCATCCGGTGTGTAGCCAGACCCAGGGATGTGTTTCAACTGAAGACTGTTCCCAGAAGAACCCTTCAAGAAAGTAAAAAGTATAGAAACAAATATCACATACGTATACATCATCAAATGAGAAAAGAAACGTTATGATATAATGTAATAACAAGTCAATTTCATGAAATATTTTTGTCATTTAATTGAGCACACAAAAATACAGATCAACCGATTCAAAATGAAAGCACACATAAAAATATTCATATAATACTGACTAGCTTTAAGGGAGATAAGAGAAATAATTCAAGAGCATAATCATATCCCCAAGTCATAGACAAGGACAATATTGTTATCAAGGACATACAACCTCATATCATTCCAAACAATGAGCTAGTCAATATAATGACTTCTTTAAACCTGTATTATACACTCATTAGCATCACTTTATCTAAAGCACAAGTTTCTGGATGCAAGATAAGAGAAATATGAATGTTGTAGACTGGCCAGTACGGCACACGGTAAGTGAGCGTACTTATTACTTGTCCATAGAAGGACATGATAGCCTGAAAAAGAAACCATCAGAGAATTTAAACAAATCTTACCTCATCTGGTTCACCTGCAAGAACAACAACCTCTGAGAGCATATCTTCAAGCCTCTTTTTTTCATCGTCTGTCATGGCGATCAGATTACCCGCATCCGATGCCAACTGAAAAGACAGAGAAGGGTATCATGGTTATTTACTGTATGGTTATTTATCTGTATTGGTACTTGAATGCACCCCTTATTTAAAAAATTTCGGGGGCTACTTTTCAAGCTTGCTTGCATGAAAATAACACTCTTTAATTTGTTTTGCATTGAACTCTATGCAAATTGTGGAGGCTCTTTTATGACTTTCGGGGGCTCTTTTTGGCATTTCGGGGGCTACATCGCCCCAAGCCCCCGTGTATTTTTTTCCCTGAGTCATTGCACTAGAGCCCATTCATATACAATCGCTTCTTATTGGATATGAACTTAACAATGTGTCTTTCTGAAAGTTTGAGGGAGACAAAATATGAGATGAGCTTATTAGTTCTTCAAGGTCACTGATATCTTGTTAATTGCATTCCTCTTTGATTACAAATTGTGACAAAGAGATCACTCATCAATTATTTCTTGTAGATTTCTCCTTTCAAGTAATTAACTCTGTGGACTTGTAAGTTAAAGTAGTTTGGTAAATGTCGACATTTCCTTATCATATTTTCCACCAGTCTGTCTCTCTCTCTCTCTCTCCCTCTCTTTCTCTCCTCCACTATTACTATCTTTTAATGTCTTTGTTTTTCATACTTTTCCATTTTATATTAAAAACACGTTCCCATAAAACTATAACTTATTTCTACATCTCTGTTGTAGGCAAATACATGACAGATACATATCAAAAGAACTCCACAGATTTGGGGAAAAAGTCTTGTGTGAAAATTACTTCTCACTTCTCATGACTGGTAACTGTAGTTTTTATATACCCTCACCTGAATATTTCTGTGAATGAAATCTGGTTCATCTTCTTTCCTACCCTGGTTGCTTGCCCCTGGTGGTCTAGGTCTTCTAAGGTGATCCCTTGGGGATGTCTTAGAAGCTCTTCTACTCTGACCTACTGTCCTCCCTGAAAATTAGGAATAAGAACAAGTGATGAAAACTGTATTTCTTTGTAACAGATCTTTAAGAATCATGTTAAAGTACTTGGGCAACTCCAAGGCATTTTGTCTCATATGTAGTTGACCGTGTCAAAGATGGAAGTATACTAAGAAGACTGTTTTGAATAGATTGATAGCCCTAATATAACTGGGATAGGACCAAATATCAAGGAAAATAATATTGTTCATATTAAATATGTTGATATACTTCATAAATATTTGGGGGACAGAATGGTCTAAAAAATGTATGGTAGTTTGATTTTTAAATACACCCTTTCACGGTTAAAAGAGTGCGCATGCGCTGACATTGGCGCCATTTTAAATTACGAGTAACCAAAGTTGTTTACTTGCAATTGCGCAGGCAGTGACACAACATTACATGGGCATCTGAAAACATTGATGATGCAATGTTTACTCGCAAATTAAAATGGCGGCCTTAAAGGGATCCGATAACTTTGTCTTTAAATCAAATCAAATAAAATCTCTCTTTCTCTCTCCATTCCAGTTTTCTGATATCCCTACACATGTCTTATTTGTGGCTATAAGAAAGAAGGTATCATCAAATCAAAATTATAATATATTTCTTTTAGCTCTCATAATTATGACAATGCCTTCAAATTAATATACAACAAGATCAGCAAACGTTCTCATAAACAAATCTGATAATGAGAAAGGAAAATCTTGAGACCTACATATACATGTAGGAAAGACAGGTGCTTAAATACAAATATCATCCAATTTCCTAAATGTTTACAATATTTGTTTGTGAAAAGAGAAACCTACCAGGACTGGAATGTTCACTCGATGATGAAGTTTTATGAGATGGACTGCTGCCCTCTGGTGGCTGCGTAGCAAACACAGGAGTTGAAGGAATGTCTTCCATGTTCACTCCTAAATGTCAAAGAGAACCACAGTATTAGAAGTCATCAAAATTATTAATGACATAAACAAACTGAACCCTTTTACGGATCGACGGATTAGGTGACAAATATAAAGATGAATTACTGTGTTTGAGCTTGGGTTGGTTGGAATTCTTTATATGTTTATGGCTGGTTATATTCCTGAACCTGAAAACAAATATTCAATTAAAATTCATTTCAGCAGTGAAGTTATGTACATACTAAGCTTCAAATATCAATTTTGAGGTAAATACAGCTGAAGCCTCATTCACAGATGAAGAGGTAAACATCCTCAATAGGGACAAGCTGTGGCTTATTGTTATCATCACTTAAGTATAAATGAGGGGCAAGTGGAGAGAAAAGAGTAGCAGTGCGCAACAGAGGCTCATATGAGTACTTATTAATCTGTGTGTCTTAATCAAGACTCAGAAATGTGAAGTCCCACTATACTGACATCATTTTATTTTTCTGTATTTTTTGTAAAAAGGTGGCTTAATGCATGTCTGCATCTTGAGTAAATGAGGTCTAACAAAGCTTGTATAGCTCACAAACCTTCATCATGACTGACAGGTGGTACCAATGCCAGGAATCGAGTGGTGTTCTCTGAAGCCTCTTTAGACTTTCCTCCTCCCTCCTCCTTGATAGCCTCTAGCTCCACCTCCAGCTGATAATGGAGCATCTTCCTCTGCCGTTTCACCTCCTTCTCCCTCGTTACCCTTGTGTTCAGGATGCGATCCAGCTTGCGCATCTTCTTGATGGCCTTCTTCAGCTCCGGATCCGTGATGGCTGCTAGGTCTGCATCCGGATCTTCCTCTTCCTCCTCTTCCTCCACATCTTGCCTACTCTCCCGGTTCTCACTTCTGCGTCCCCTGGACGAGCTCCTACCGGATCTGTCCTCATCAGTTCGGTTGAGATGAGTTAACTCTCTCAGGTTGCTTGGATCATCGGTGTCAGGGAGACTACCATCCATGCTTTCATTGTCACCTTTGGCAAGGAGGAGGAGGTCCAGATTATGCAGTCTGTCCTGGACCCTGCAAGCATTAAACACTCCTCCACTTCTACCAAAGTCATTGATATCCTCCTCCTCCCCATTTCCTACTTCTTCATCTTCAGAAGAGTTGAGGAACTCAACCACAGCCAGATCATTATCCTATGAAGGAAAAAAAAAAAAAAAAATGTGATACAGTCATAATTGGCACAAATTTACTATTCGAAAAATACAATAAATCAATCACTTTGACATTTCAAAATAACATAAATGTTTGAACTTTGAATTTTACAGCATGTCTGCATTTATAACTAGTTTTACCCTGTGTAAAGCAAACTTAGAAGAGATAAGTCTAACTCTGCGAAGAATGGTATAAAGATAATTATCTCACAGTCACAATGATGTTATGACAAAATTAAATATTTGGGCAATCCTCACTCATTTACTTTTCAGTGCTCATTGTTTTCTTTGAGATTTTGCTCATTACACGTACGGTACATTGCGTGATAGCTCTGTCCTTAACAGGATAGGATTTAGGATTTTCAGCAAACTCCATCATTCACTCACTTCTTGCAGCAGTATGTCAGGATCAGGTGGCAGTAACTCCAGTGAACTACTGGCAACACTGAGAGACCTATTAACTGGGCTGTTGAGCGATACCCTGCTACCTGGTCTGTATCTAGAGTTTCTAGCAGGCCTGGTGATATCATCTAGACTGCCTCTAGTGATGTCCATGCTGGACGGATAGACTCCTGGAAAGGAATGACAGCAAATTAACAATTTTAATTCAGAACATTTGCAGTGTGGCAGAGTACCAATGTATATTTGATTTTCCAGTCTGATGGCAGGCTTGGTAGTCATGTCATTTTATGAACAAATTTGCAGAACCAAGACCCACTTTTAAAGGCTATTGTGTAGAGTCCCTAAAGTCTACACTCTATACCACTTTTTAATAAATGATTTTGAAAAAAAATATTGATGTCAAAATGATCTTGTATGAGATCTAGATGATAATTTAAAGTGCATGGATCATTTGACAATATTTCACTGTTAGATAGATTACAATAAACTTGGGTTAAAAAAAACCGCTCTACTAGATCTGGTTTCTTTTTTTCCACACAACTTATTGTAAGTCGAGACCAAATTTTGATCTACCGGTATATACATGTAGGTGTACCTAGACATGACTAGACCTCTATAAATTTTGAGACCACACCATCAAAACCATCAAGATTTAAAACACTGCATTTGGAAAGTTATCTGAGGTTTCTAGCACTCAACAGTACATGATACCATCGACCCAAGACTAAAAGGAAAAGCCCCCCCCCCCCCTCCCCCCTCCTTTTATTTCCTTGCGCGCTCATGAAATTTATAAACAGGATGGTAGATATTCAACTAACAGGCATAAGCCCTACCCCGCCCGCCCCCCCTCAAAATATTATACAAATAACGCATGTCCCAGAGTGCAATAGCGGTGAATGCAGTACGCGCGAGGTTTCTTTAGATTGGTGCCGCTCTGTGCAACGAGCCGCTTGCGGCGAGTTGACAGTGCGAACCATCTGAAGAAACCGAGCGTACACTGCATTTACGTTTCGCACAACAGGGTCAAGTGAGTTATTTGTTTTATAAAATAGCGACACAAATAGCAACAAACGAAACTTTAGATCTAATAAGTTAGAGTCTACGAGAGTTTGATCTAGATCTATAGATCTATATCTAGAGTTATGTTGGTTCTAGACTAAGACCTTGCAGGCTTACCAAAAAGTCAATGGGATTCATTGCCTTGATTAAAAATAAAATCCATACAGTTGGTCTAGAGACGAGTCTACATCAGACAGCTGAAATTCCTGGCTTCATTATAAAATCCAAAAGTCAAAACAGGCCTAAATCCAAGGCAAAAGTAAAATAAATATTTGCTTTTTAATAATACCCCGTTGGCCGCTCTAGCTAGCTAACTAGAGCTAAGCTACGCGTACGTTGCGCTGGGGATCATGGTGGAGCGTACAATATTAGCTACGCGTAGCCTACAATAATTGCAATGCACTCGAGGGAGCGCGTACTAGATGTACGCGCGCGCCGCACTGGATCTCCATGGTCACGTGCATTATAACTTTTTGTCGCGCTTTTTCTGCACTCATTTCTGCAAAATCGTGCTTGCATCAAAAATTTGTCAATGTCATGTGACGCGTATTGACCAATCACGATGCTTAAAATACTAGAGCCATTTTATAAATTCCCATACGCCTATGATTTCGATGCCCCCATGCTAATTTTTATTTTTTTATGGGTCGATGCATACAAAATTGCATTCTGTCGCCACATGCTGGTGCTACTGTAAACGACTTTTTTATGACTTATAAAAAAAAAATTACTTTTAGATGCAGCGGCACGCACGCCGATTGGACATCAAATTCTTTAGATACCGATATCTCTGGAATCCTTTGAAGATAAATTTTCTAGATGTCTAGATCTAGTTGAACCAATTTGTAGATAAAACTTTGCCGTCCAGTAGGTCTAGGTAATAATTGAAGTAAACCTAGACTCTAGATCTAAATAAATTTGTGTAGACTCTAGGCCTATAGATCTCTAGAATGTGAGAAATCATGGAGCGAATAGATTTTCTAGATCCATCACATTTTCTAATACTAACTGTTACTGTTAGACCCTAGATCTAGATCTAGATCTAGAGTCTAGACCTAGGCCTATTATAATTTTCTAAATCTCCGCGAACTTTGGTCACCCCTTCAAAGTAGACTCTACTCTCTACAGTTAGGTCTAGATCTAGTTAGACTAGACCTAGTTGTAAGTTGTAATTCCTGTTGACATGGTTGAATTACAATCTATGGACTAGTATGAGTACGACTACCGGTATGTCACCGTCCGCAACTCCATTAGACTTGGAGAACACGACGGAGCTCTGCAGTTCCGCCTCGCCTTTGCCGCTGCGGCAAAACTCTCCGAAAAAAACCAAGTGCGACTTTGTCTTCGAAGTTCGAGCTCAACTCAAGTCACAGTCACACTCACAGCTCAGTGTATATCACTTATCAATCCCACGCCTATCAAATTAGCCAAAAACACATGAATCAGGCTATCGCAATGTAATTTTACAAGAATACAGACGTTTAACTTACCAAAAGATCAATTGTTATTGTTTGCACTCGAATATTTGTCTCGTATCGTCAACTACCGGCCGCCAAAGACACAGCGTTCCTGACAACAGCCGCCATTGCATATTTTCACATAAAATCATGGTATCTTCCACTTGACTTATTAAAAAGAAAGTCTAATCAGCAGACTGGATGTCTAGGTTAAAAAAAAAAAATTAAAAAATAATAATAATAATGTCATACCAATATTTTATGAACTAATAAACGGTGACTTGTTTTTCATGTTCATAATAGCAAAAAAGAGAAAGAGAAGTTTGAGAGACAAAAGGGAGACATGAGAAGAAACTATAAACGGCCCTCTCAAACACTGTCCCTTACTCAATTACCTTATTATTTTACACAAAATATCAAGGTCTACATTGGATTCACAAGAATACTGAGTGATGAGTTATAATGAAGCAGATACATGAAAAAAGTTTTAAAAATATTAAAAACATTTCATATTATCCCTTATTTATTAATTTGCTCAATCTGGGCTCGCTAGCCTGAGGGAATATACAAAAGAAATAAGACGCCCCCGACCCCCCCCCCCCCCCCCTCCTCTCTCTCTCTCTCTCTCTCTCTCTCTCTCTTTCTCTCACTCCCCATCTCGATCTGTCACATGTAATATGGTTCAAGGAGCTATATGTATCTTACTTTTAGAAACAAAAGTAGTTGACCTGTGCATATATCTTTTTATAAATATGATATAAATGATCATATATAGCTGCAAAGTTTCTAGTTTGTTGAAAGAGAAATATATTATATTCCTTTCTTTTTTCAGTTCTTTGTCTACATGTGAGTTTCATAACAAAAAAATTAAAATTAGAATTCTCCATTGCTGTCCTCCCTTTTTTTTAAATGGGGAACTCTGAATTATGCTTCGTGACCATTATTCTCTCATTTATTCCTTTCGCACTGTCTTTATTTCCACAAGAGTTGCCAAAGTTGCTGATTATGTTATTCCTTACACTTTTTTGTATAGGCTCAATATCAGGTTAAATCATGATTTTAAACAGCAAATATCATTTAAGTTGTCAAAAAATACACATTCATCAGAATACTTTATAATCAAACTCATTATTATTTATTTTTACAATAGAAAAAATAATCACTTGAATTTACAAGCTTTAACTTTTTTTCTTTCTTCTTTATCATTATTATAATAAAGCTTCTTCGCATTGAAGCAATAGCTAAGAATAGAAATACAATTTCATTCAAGCTAAAGTCAGACTACTACAGCAGCCTAAACAAAAATTCCATCATTAAGGGAGGGATCATGAACCAATTGTATAGAATATTTCACCAGTTTCCTATTTACAAAGAGGAGTGGATGATGTCATTGCAATGGTGCCAAAAAACTAAAACAAAAACAAAAATCAAACACACAAAACAAAAATATAAAGTATCGGTAAATCTTAATATCATGGTACAACACATCCATCATAGAGGGCAAACAATATACACTTTGAAAATAGAAGACCCATTAAGTACACACTATATCATTGTTATTCCTTTTTTCCCTGCTTTATAGAGACAATCCTGGATCTACCATTGCAGTATGTACATTTTAAAAGAATTTAAAGAAAACAAATGCCTGATAGAATAAAGCTTTAAGTAAATGCAATCAAAATATTATCAGATCTGCTTACAGTCCTGCTATAAATAGATCCATTTGAAATTTCACCTTATAAGTGCATGTATATTTACATTTTTGTTAAAGTTCTCATTTCAGTTTATCTCAATTATTAAAAAGTTATTGACAGTGTGCATAATTATATACAGCATTAAAATGTACACACTATTCTAAAACTGTGAAAGTTAAAAAAAAAAAAATCTGGACAGATTTAATTCCATTTGCATATTGCAGCCAAACCAATAATGCAAACAAAAATATTACAAGATTTCATAAACACAAGACTAAGACTATGACACATTTCACACACAATTTTTTAAAATTTTCAATGCAATTCAAATTCAAATTCAAACTGATTTCATCAATGATTCTGGTCCAACTCTTTTGAGAAATAAATAATTTCCAAATTTGACAGGTGGATTTTCTACAGAGAAAAGGAGATATTCAAATTTTAAACTATAATGCTGTAATACTTTCTCTCATTTACAGTAGAATAACTACTGATTCCTTACGATAAACTCTCCAATAACCAACCTATCAACAAAAAATCTGTAGTGGTGTACAAAGCCATGGTCTACTACTAGAGTTCACAATACTCATAGATTGTACACACTAATCTTTCATACTAAAACACATGATTTTCATTTTTATTGTCATATTTACTTCAAAAAAATCTAACTCACCCTCGTCACTGGGTGCCATGTACAGTACCTGATTAATTCTTAGTTCTTAGCAAGCACATATGATTTATTGATATATAGTTGATTCATAAGGGCAAATACTACATCATTTGTTCATCAAATCAAACATATATATTTCAGTGTCAATGCTACAAATAATGTTGGATTTATTAATATTCTATTTCTATCTTTTCATCTCTTTTTTCCTTCTAAATATCTTTAATTTTATCAAGATTTTTTCCACTATAACATTTCAGTACTTGTGTCTTTTTATTACCCCATAGTATCATTTCATAATTAAGTCTGAAGTCACAAAGGAAGCAATTTGGACAACTACATCAGCTTTCAGAGCATTTTGGTAAAATATAGAGAAAAGTATTTCATGAAGTCTCAAAATTACTTTAATTGATTCACATAGAGGATTGCATAAAAAAATAAAAATAATAATGATGATAATAATTTTCTGGTTTACATCCAGCCAGCATTAACATGATTAACAATAATAATAATAATAATAATAAAAACGTTACTTATAAAGCGCTTACCACCGAAGTCTCTAAGCGCTATACACACAAAATAGACTGATATACAATTACATCTTATACAAAACTAAAAATGCAAATAAACCTACAAATAACAATACATATGGAATACACATCAAAGTGAACAGAGATAATTAATCATCGAACGCAATTTTGAATAAATGTGTCTTGAGACTAGTTTTGAATAGGTTAACGGTTTGACAGTTTTTTACATTTAAAGGTAATTTGTTCCAAAGTTCAGCAGAAGCTTTGCGAAAGGAGCGATGCAATAAGTACCCTGTAACAATTAAGTAATCTTTAATTCATAAAGTACTATTCAATGAATACTAATGTACTCTTTACAACTGAATTAAATTTGTTTCTCCAATCGTTCTACGTTAGGAATATTGTTATTTTACATTAAATGATACATTGTCCTACTAATAGTTCTTTTTAGTTATTACTTGCAGCAGTTAAATTAGTTAGTAACAGTAGTTGGTCTCATTTTCAGATTTATAGGTCTCTTGTTATCAGACCTTTAGCTTTTTGCTTTACCAATAAATATATTTTGATGCATTGTTATATTCGAGCTTGGAAGTTCTGGAAGGATTCCAAATTAGCACTTTCAATGATGAGATGGGCTTGATTTGAATTGAGAAAAGGTTTAATAACAGCCACATGTTTTGCCACCTGCATGATCCCACAATATACATGTACAGCAAGGGGATGTGCTTGGCTGCTGCTTGGCTATAGACCAGTATTCACAAAAGCTAGCCTAAATTAATGTTCTTGCAAGTCATCCGGTGTGGGTCGATACAGGAGTAGATCCAGCTCCTTTTTTGTGTGTGCAGATGTCTTATAACATATAGCTATAGCTGTTATTCAGAATATAGGTGTTAAATACATTAGGGTTTACCAAGTAAATCCCATCTTTTCAAAAATCCAGGGAATTCAAATTTGTTTTTAATGGAGAAAGCAGGGAGATGGGGGGGGGGGGTGGTGTAAAATCTCAATACACGTAAAGTAGTTAACAGAAATGGTAAGTAACAATACAAAACCAAGGGGAAGACTCCCCTCTAAAAGCATCAAAGTGGAAATATAAAATCAAACATGGATATCACCGATGGAAAATGATTTTAAAAAATCCCTGCCACCATGTTTATGGGAAAAAAAATCCCCACAATCTCACAAGACAATATTTTAAGTCACATTGTATATATTACACATTCCTTCAGACAATATTCTGGCTGATCTTTAGACTAGTTGACAAGCTAGACCATCATGTCAAGAAGAGGTTAATAGGGTGTGTTCTACCAATTTGGGATGATCATTAAGGGGATTACACAGAAAGGGGCCTTAGGGGTTCAGATTCCTTTTTTTTTTTTGCTTGTTAGAGATTTCTGGAACTGGACCTCCCCTATAAGAAGAAAAAAAAATGGAGCCCCCACCACGGTCCCTCAGGGTGAGATGGTTCATAGGCACCAGATGAACAAGCCTGAACTCTGGTCCCTCTTCTAACTTCATTCCAAAGACTACAAAAGACACCTTCAAACACTTTTCCAACAACGCTACCAACAGATCAAGTCAAAGACATCCGATCATCATCCTCTATCCCTGGTTGTAAACAGAATATACTTGGCAGTCTCCAAGCTGCTAGGTCAGGGTTGTTGCCAGAGCATCACATGATGGGTGCTAATACCACACATGGAGACTCTAGAATGAGAACTACAAGGATAAATTGCAAGTGCTGAAGAAAGAGATGCCAACGTTTTGATCCTCCATAAACCATTCCCATTAGATTGCTGCCAGGGCAGTTTACTCAGTGTGAACCTAGTGCAAACAAATCTCCAATGAGAACTACCTCTGCCCAAGAGATACTGGCCATGTCTGTAAACTGACACCCTTGATGATTCAGGAATCACTATCACTAGCAATTTCAGCAGAGATTCCTTCATACCTTTCTACAATAGCTACACAGTCGTCTCTTCCAATTGCTTTAAGTGCAATCCGCAAATCATTCAATGACCTGACAATTTGCTTTTCCTCACCTACGGAAAGGATAGCGAATGCTGGTAGGTGTACATGAATGAGGGCTGCCTCATCGTATTCTTGATCCAATTTCCAATACCTGGACAGGTCCATCCAATTCTTGACACCTATTTTCTCATCCAACTTCACAGACAACTGTTTTTTTAATTGGAAGGGAATTACACTTTTGCATTCAACAAGTCCATCATGTGAACTATGTCGTTCCATTCTTCCAGGGAAATTCACAGTCAAATTGTTTATGTAAAATTGGTGGATGGCTGAACTGCTTCCCCCTGGAGCTGGTGTAGCATTGGACTGGTCATGGTTGAGGTTGGCAATGGCAGTGGTTGTTCCTTCATGATTAGATGGCCCTCCATAATCAGGCACATCCCTTCTCTGCTTCATGGGAACCCTGTCCTTTGACCACATTTGACTTGACACTTCCATTTCGCTAGCCCTACGGATCATGCTCTGATGAGTCTCACCTAGACTCACTGCACCTAGAGAAGTTTGGAGCATCTGTGTGGCTCCCGGCTGAGCAAGAGAAAAACTGTGGTGTCCTTCAGTAGTTGGAAAGTTTTGCTGACGATATCCCATTCCAGGAGAACTGCTAGCTCCTGTGAACGACAAGAATCTGGTGGCAATATCTGGAGGCGGTGGGACTTCTGGTAGCTGCAATGGCAGTGAGCTGAATCCGATAGACTTTGTTTCTTCTTGTGGCACCGACAGCTTTTCTTCAAATCTTGCTTGATCTGCTACACACCCTGGTCCATCAGGAGAGTCAATCTGTAAGAACAATAAATTAATGCATCAGTGACTTACACAAGATTGGTATTTATTGTGCCATGTATATAAAGATAATGGCAAAAGTTAATACAGGCAAGGCCTACTAACTATCTTAGATCATAGGTGCTTTAGGATGTGTTTTTTTAATTCCCAAGTAATAGAATATTGTATATGCCTTCCAGCCGATACAACATCTATGAAGATGGCTCATCCACATTTCTTTAAAAGGCTTTTATATTTCATTGCTCTGTTTGAGATCAATATATTCATTTAAAGTAAGTTAATTTATTGGCATAAAACAGTTTTGCTCAGTGATATATTTACCAAATACAGACAGGTCATGCTCATACAAGCAATACATCTTTAATGACAGACGTCTTTGTACTATTAAAGAGTGAGCAAAAAAGCAATTTAAAGCCGTTAACAGAAAGAGTGCATTTCCTCTTCATGCCTCCTAGATGCAAAGAGGAAGCAAACCAAAATAAAATATTCCACAAATACAACAGGCCTCTCTCTGTCTCTCCCTCACTCTAGTCGGTAACTCAACTATGGTTAGAAACTAATTGTCAAGCAACTGTTTCCAGGAAATTTTACAATTGTACTTATGATACTGGGCGATTATTTGAACCAAGCTTTCTCTTCATTTATTTTACCCCAGAAATTATAAGAAAATGTCTCGTTACTACATGTACCATTGGCTCTTATAGGTATCACTACAGTGTAAAGTCAATTGGTCATGTCAAGATATCTCTCATTTTTATAAAAATAAATGGATAAAAGACTAATACATCCTTTACACCACTAATCCAACTACAAATTGACTAAAAAGACAACAAATTCTTGGCCATTAAGGGTAGTGTAATTATTTGTTTAATTGTTTGTCGGTCTCATTGATATGATCAAGGTTTTAATAATAATAATAATAATAATAACAATATTTATAAAGCGCAAACATATCCATCTCTAGAGATGCTCAAGTCGCATACAAATAATTTAAATTAATATTCAACATACTTAAAATTAAAGAAATATTAAATGTTTTAAGTTGTGTGGGACACATTTCACAGAGTCGTCCTACTGACAAAACTGTCATATTTCACTCACCTTAACATCATGAGCGAATGATAGGACCACTTTGCTATCATTATCCTCTTGCTGGATGTCTATGTTGCACTTGAAATCCAGCTTCTTTCCTTCGTTGGCGAAGAGAAGCTCACAGGAGTTAAGCTCACAAGCCCACATCTCTCGAAATGGCACCTGAATAAAATGAAAATAACAGTGCAACAGGATTAGCTGATTTCAAGGTGAATAGTACACCTTGTTATATCTATTATGATAATAATAATAATAATAATAATCTTTTAGTCCACTCCAAATTTTATTAAACCGAAAATGGAAATTCTTTTTGCCCAATTGATCGTGAGCCCGGCAGCCACTGAGCAGCGCCAGATTGACGTTGCTCTGTCCCCTTATTGTTGAACGCCAAACAAGGTAGCTGCAACTCCTGTCTTTTAACGTCTTTTGGTATTGGTATTGGTATTGGTATTGTCATCACTTTGAAATTTTTTCATCAAACTATAGATTAGGGGTGATGCCTCTCATATAAAGCAGCCTGCTTAAAAGGAAAGTGCAAAATAAAGACCAAGTACTTGCAACCGTAGCTGTAAATTTCCACACTATCAAATACTTCTAAACCAAACCAAACCAAACAAACGCAAAGCTGACTGGGCAAGTTGGTGAAATACAGATTGTTGTCATACAAATACATGGATTCTTTTTAACATAAGTTTGAGTCTATATTTTTTATTTCTTCGCAATCCTGTTCAGGAAATGAAATCATCTATTTAACTTGTATATATATATGTGATATTGATATGTCAACTTTATGGAGGCTCTATTTAATGACAAAATATCACTATGTTACCCAACGATTAAAAAAAAAAAAAAATCATTTTCAGCTCTTCTTGTTATGGATTGATAATAACCAAACCCAATCAAAGTATTCAATAACTCTAGGCTTCTGACTTTACTCAACAGTAAATTCAGCTGGCATTATGCATGCAGACACGCTATCAATATGTACTTACTGCAATAAGTGGACGAGTGCGAAGGACCCAGCCTACTGTATTCCAGGTCATCTCCATATAAAGGTCTCCTTTGTTCTTCAGCAGCACATAGGAGTGATAACTCGTCAGACGTTCACCTCCAAGTTCTTCCTCTTCCTTTTTCACTCTCTAGAAAATATCATACAATTTAAATGACGGCAAAGTATTAAAACATAATGGCTTTCTTTCACTTTAATGAATCTTACTTTTTAAAGGAAAAGATGTGATTCCCAGGAGCTGGTATTCTTCATTTCAACATTATAACTTAATCACTTTTTTTTCTATGTATATCACAGACATATAAAGTTTGATTTACATTCTCTAAATCATTCTAAAATTTTGTGAAAATTTTGTAAGAATTTTTAAGGTTACATGAGGGAGATGTAGCCTAACTCTTAGAATAAAGAATGATGTAAAGAAAAGAGTTTTACAACTTTGGAGAAAAAAACAAAATGGGACTTTATTTCCTTTACATCCTCGTATTCATTTTATTTGAACCTTGTCTCCTTTTAACCTCTTTGACAACCTCAAAATTCATAATAATGTTCCTTTTATTGCTTCTGAACTATCAATAAATCATAATCTTTCTTCTGTTGTAATTTTCTTGTATTTCTAAATATAGCATCTCCTATTTTCCCCCTAAACAACCTCTGAATTCTAAAAAATGTATGGACTCTTTTTACATGCTTAAAGACCGTCAATACTACTGGGCCAGAAGGGATTAGACCACACAGCGAGGTCACTGACAGGTGGCTATTTCATTAACTCAGCTCTCAACTAACATATGAAAAAGAGGATCATGGGGGACCAACAGGCACCGATTGGGGAAGTTTTCTACATATAGAGGGAGCAAGTAGCTACAAGTAGGACAGTGGGGCTTTAACCATTGGTCCCTCTCTACAAGTATTTCATTTTTACCTCCCTCACAGCCTCCAGATCATCAAACATGTGGAGCCTAATCTCCTGGTCCTGTTTGGAAGAGATACGTGAAGCGTATGGAACGATACGGATCTTCTTAGCCTCCACGTCAGGGCGGTCATCCTCAAATGCCCAGACCAGGTAACAGAAGTCATAAACTTTGACATCGATCCTCTGCTGCTGGAATGAGACACTATTGCCCAGGAACCTGCACTGTGACCATTCTGGTTTTCCATCTGTAATTATAAGAGTAACACATGATGCACACAAAACTATGTGAAATATTGTGGAACACACGCAGAGGACACACCTCATTTTGTTATTCTTTATTGTTGTATTTCAAGTTATGGCATAACAATTGTTTCCTATCCTGACCCATCTCTTTTTATTTTCAGCACACATGGACTTTCTATATATATATTTCAGTGATACGGTACTACATGAGCAACACACACTGATATCCTCATCATTAACTCTGTCTTGTCTTTAAAAGATAAAAACCAAAAAAACTCTGTCTTGTCTGTCATCCTCCAGGCTGATGAAATGCATAATTTATCATACCTGATGTTCACTCCAAACTGAATTGAACTTACTACATCAGACCCTGCAATCTATACAGATCACCGCACTACAAACTCTACTAATTCCTCTTGTTCATATCCTTTTAAGATTTTCTATCTATAATCTTAAATCAACGCTATTAAAATCAATCACAGAAACTACAACTGTTCGTGGCTGGTTATGTTTGATCTGGTGACATCCTGTTGCTACAGCACTTAATAAGGAAAGGAAATAGAATAATTACTAGCCATGAAATACGGCTGTATTAATTTGAGGCAGGCTCATTAAGCCAACTAATCAGCCTGTATCTCTATCTTGAATTTTCAAATGTGATCTTGCAGGATATAATAATCCAGAACGTGCCTAGCCGTTACTTGTCGGAAAATTGGAGTGACTGTACACTGTGATATAGATAGCAAATGGTTTTATACCTCAACAGACTATTACCATCATGAGTTGTAACTCACCATTCGCATGATGACTGCTGTACAGAACAGGCCTGATCTGCTTCCCCTTGGAAGGGTTCCATTCTAGACAGTGAGGTAGACTCAAGGTTACAGGCTTGTAGAACTTCAAACCTGAAGGTTGGCAGCTTAAGATGGATGTCATCTGACAATCAGTCCCAAAAGAGGGCCAGAGACGTTTGTTCCAGACCAGACCGAGCTCAATCTTGGTCCTCTCTGCCACAGCCCCTCTTGGTATGGTCAGAACATTGCCATAGATCTCTAGCTGACCCCCTTCTGGGCCTATCATAGCGCTGGTGATTGGTCCACCGATAGGCCCATGGTTTCCATCAGCTCCCTTAAAACTATCAGGAAATAGACAACCAGGATCTTCAAAAGGACTAATCAGACTACTCGGACGGCCTTGACTGTAGTCATCTGGGTACTGGTGGAAATCCAGTTGGAGAGAAGTGTCATAGGTTGACTGGAGACTGGCCCACCTTGGGCTGGGAGGAAGTGCCCTGTTTATGCCAGAATACGATTCTTCTGCCCACCTCTTGGGTTTTGAACCTTGGGCTCCATCGATCTGAAACAAAAACAAGGAATTTAAGTCTAAAGTGAGCACCAAAAAAAAATGCATTTTTACACTTTACTTGCTATATTTCAAGCCATTTCCGTCTAATTACCGATATATAGTATTTAGACTCTTCTAGTAAAGTTAGAGCTACAAGAACTTGGAAAACCCCAAATACCTGTCCTGTACTAAACTACAGTGTATGTGTGTGCATGTATCCTGTGGATTCAATAATAATTGAATAGAAACACTAAAAATATTTGTAAAGTGCTTAATTAAAGACGATATTCAGTATTAAGCCCAATATAAATCAAATGTATAATTATGATTATTATTACTCTATAAAGAAAGGATTATTAAGGTAGCTAAACAAAATGAAGTGGCACAGAACGCAAATGCATAATATGAGGTCTGTTGTCACTGACATGCAAAGATGATATGTTTTGGTAATATTAAATCCAATCAAAGTAGTAGAGAAGAGATAGTCAGTAGTTCTGTGTCCTAATAAACAAACACTGATGAAAAATGAAATTAAAAAGACAACAAATTCATATTCACCTCATTGAAACAAAAACAAAACAAAAACAAAACAAGAACATGAAAGAGAAAGAAAATACAATTAATATTTATCAACACCGAAAATTAGTGACATGCATGACTGTACTCATGAGTGATGATGCAACACCAATGAACAAGTTAACAAAACAAAAATATATCATTAGATAATCACCTCATCAAAACCGCCACGTTGATCTTGACTGTGGAACATTCTTTCAAGTCGTTTTATTATCACCATCAAGCCATCAAAAGGCAGCAGCAGCAGCAGAGCGCTAAACCAAGTCTGAGGGCTTGAAGTTGAAGCCAGGCCTAGGCTTGCGCTATGAGCTGTGGTTCCAATTTCCCCCATGCACGGGATCGGGAGATCGAGAGGCAAGGCGGCAGGCGATAGGTGTATGCATCAAGGATTCCGAATTCCACACTCAGCTCAGCAGGCGCTCTTACTTCTTAATAGTCTTAGCACATCGAAGTCCCAGTCCCGCCATATTCGAAAAAAAGCCGAACCAAATTCATTCCTGGCAAGTATAGTAATCAAAAGTGGAAGCATTCGACCAGATTTCAACCGTTGTATGCATTTACCTTATCAAAATGTATATCCAAATATACCACAACACAAGTTTTCCACACAACTTAACAGCATGAGAATCGGAGGATTCTCTTATGTACTACACTGCACTGCGCATAATTTTACGCATATACCTCTGAACATATGTTCAGAGATCTACGTCATATGGGATTCCCCTTTTTCATTTCGCGGTGTGTGACGTCACACCCCCCCCCCCCCCCCTACGATATTTTGGATCCAACGCTATTAGCAGTAAATCCTGGATTCGCGCCTGGAAGTAGTAGTAGTAGTAGTAGTAGTAGTAGTAGTAGTAGTAGTAGTAGTAGTAGTAGCTAGTAGTAGTAGTAGTAGTAGTAGTAGTAGTAGTAGTAGTAGTAGCTAGTAGTAGTAGTAGTAGTAGTAGTAGTAGTAGTAGTAGTAGTAGTAGCAGTAGTAGTAGTATAGTAGTAGTAGTAGTAGTAGTAGTATAGTAGTAGTAGTAGTAGTAGTAGTAGTAGTAGTAGTAGTAGTAGTAGTTAAAAAAACGTGATTCAAGTCCTGAAAATATAACCTCTTTTTGCAATTACGTAACAAATTCCTATAAGATTTCCCCGCATCATCATAATCACTTGAATCAACAGGAACATCAGAGTTTCTCAACAATTTTACCATCTATTTTTAACATTCAGATATTCAGATATCCATCTGAGCTTCCCTATATTCAGTATCAAGGCATGGTCGTTGGTGACCATGCTTACTCTGACTGTTACTTGATTCACTTCTATCTTTTCTATCAGTAGTAGAAGTGTTAGTATAATAGTAGTAGTAGTAGTAGTAGTAGAAAATTTGAAAATCGCGCCGGCCGTAAAGTCGCTCAGTGGGGGGGGGGGGGGGGGGGGGGGGGGGGGGTAGTGAGCACATTTTTTTTTTGGTCCTCGGAAATTTAAAAAATTGCACCCCCCCCCCTTGAGCGCCAAAAAAGGTAAAAATCACGTGTTTTTACATGATTTTTTTCTCAAGGGGGAGGGGGCCCGGGCCCCCCGGCCCCCCACCCCTGGATCCGCCACTGATACGAAGTATAGTCGTCTTCGTTGTCTTAGAGTCGTCGTTGTCGTAGTAGTAGTAGTCAGGGGCATCGCCAAAGGGGGGGGGGTGTGGGGGGTGCGACACCCCCCCCCCCACCTCTCAGGATATTGTCGGTAAAATTGCGCTGCCGTCGGGAAAAAGAGAAAAGGGGGAGGGAAAAAAAGAGAGGGGAAAAAAGAGAGGGACAAAAAGAGAGGGGAATGGAAAGAAAAGAAAAAAAGAAAAGGAAAAGAAAAGAAAGAAAGGAAAAGAAAGGAAAGAAAGGAAAGAAAAGAGAAGAAAGAAAAAGAGGGGGAGAGGAAAGAAAGGAAAAGAAAGAAAAGAAAGAAAAGGAAAAAATGAAGAAAAAAGAGTGAAAGGGAAACAAAAGAAATGGGGAATGAAAGAGAGGAGAGAGAGGGGAGGTAAGAGTCTGAGAGCGGAGGAGTGGGAGTAAAAGAGAAAAGGGGGTTGTTGGGTGGAGTCGTCTCGTCGAGGGAGCAAGAAAGACACGGGTAAATATGTTGCTGTGTCGGGTCAGCTGTGTCGATATTCTTGCTCGATCCTCATCAATGCATGAGTTTGAAGTCGGTGAGATGTATTATTGTCCGTCGGCCGACAAGTTTTTTTCCCTACGAACTGCGACTTCTTATCCGCTGTGACGACTTCGAGAGTGACTACAACTACAATACTTGTATTTTCTCGAAGTTTCACTTTCCTATAATATCAGCTAAAGAAATCAGAGGTTTAAAATTTTCGGGAAAAACTAAATTCAAACAAGGTTTTAGAGTCAACAACGGTACGACGAATCATTTTCCTTTCTTTATATTGTGATGAAACGCCAAAAATTCCGCGCTTTGCGCGGAAGGGGAAACTTCATTTAGACGAATCGAGAACGGTACAACGAATCGTCTTCTTTCTCTAATAATTTAAGGAAACGTCAAAGCTTCCGCGCTTCGCGTGAAAGTGGGAAACTGAATTCAGACAAAATTAATAGGGCTCATTTAGAGGCGAAAACGGTACAACGAATCGTGTTCTTTCTCTAATAATTTGAGGAAACGTCAAAGCTTTCGCGCTTCGCGCGAGAGGGGGAAACTGAATTCAGATGAAAAGGGCTTAATAAGATTCGAAAACGGTACGAGGAATCGTCTTCTTTCTCTAATAATTTAATAAAACCAAAACTTCCGCGCTTCGCGCGGGAGGGGGAAGCTTCATTCAGATAAGGATTAAGAGTCGAGAACAGTACACCGAATCGTCTGCTTTTTCTCATAATGTAAGGAAAAGTCAAAGCTTCCGCGCTTCGCGCGAGAGGGGGAAACTGAATTCAGACAAAATTAATAGGGCTTATTTAAAGTCGAAAACGGTACAACGAATCGTGTTCTTTCTCTAATGATATGAGGAAACGTCAAAGCTTTCGCGCTTCGCGCGAGAGGGGGAAACTGAATTCAGATGAATAGGGCTTATTAAGAGTCGAAAACGGTACGACGAATCGTCTTCTTTCTCTAATAATTTAATGAAACGTCAAAACTTCCGCGCTTCGCGCGGGAGGGGGAAGCTTCATTCAGATTAGGATTAAGAGTCGAGAACAGTACACCGAATCGTCTGCTTTTTCTCATAATTTAATGAAACGTCAAAGCGAATACTGAATTCAGAAAAGGATAAACAGTCGAGAATGGTACAGCAAATCGTCTTTTTTTTTTTTTATAATAATTTAATGAAACGTCAAAGCTTTCACGCTTCGCGCGGGAGGGGGGGGGGAACTTCATTCAGCCTAGGATTACCAGTCGAAAACAGTACAATTAATCGTCTTCTTTTCCTAATAATTTAAGGAAACGTCTAAGCTTCCCCGCTTCGCGCGGAAGGCTCATCACCCACACCCCCTTATGAGCGCGCTTTTAAGTGATTCTCTTGCTCACTACCGCCCCTCCCTAAAATAAGATCCTAGCTCCGCGCCTGCATTAAAATATATAACTATGATGCTGACTAAATTTAAGAAATAATTCGTATATATTAATGTCGTCGAGGAAAATGACCATTTTGCGCATATGCAAGTACTATAGATAGTCCATAGGAAAAACAATTTAGCCTTCGGCCCCAGGTTTATAGGGTTGACTTTGTAGATATTGGAAATTTAATTTTGTCGGTAATTGATGGCTACTTTTGTCGGTAATCGTTGGCCTCTACACCCCCCCCCACTGAAAAAGGTCTAGCGACGCCCCTGGTAGTAGTAGTAGTAGTAGTAGTAGTAGTACAGTACGTAGTAGCAGCAGCAGCAGCCGAATTAGTCTTTAACTTAATAGATACGTATGGCCATCAGAATCTGTTCACTATTAAACTTGCAATCTATCCGTCTTGAGCCATTATCAGGCTCCTAAAATATAAAAATTGTAATAATAAGTATTGGGTGAAGCAGTAACATCCTTTGCGAAACATGACTGACAGGAAAACACTCTAATTGACCTATATGATTTTTTTTGTTTGTTGTTGAGTGTTTTCCTGTCTGTCAAATAATATGCGCATGAAAGTGAAAGGACGCTCTCCTTCCGAGGCTATTATATTATTGAGAGTATAGCTATAAATGTGATATGCATTTCATGTTCTAACTTTTCTGGGTACTTAATACTCGATCCTCACGAGGAAGCCAATACATCGATTTTCATTTTTAAGTCCATGATAAGGTCTTTCAAATATCCTCTAAAATTACATAAACACCAAATGATATTTTCTGAAACTCAGTTGTGTGGGAAATTCTGTTTTCATCATTTAATTGTATTTTTCACTATAATAGAGTATCAAAATATAAAAATGAAATAAATGGGGACGGTTGATTATAAGAATGAGAATATTGTTAAAAATTAAAAATTTAGCTATAGTAATATTGAGTAGTATAGTCAACATCGTCATTTTAATCCCCATAGAGGAAAGGAGATATGGAAAGGTAAATGACGTGAAAAGAATAATAAGCTCCCCTTTTCTACACCTTAATCTCTCGCATTTAATCAATGAATTAAAACCAGCCATCTCTCCAAGCGAGGGGAAATCAATACGAAACCTGTGAGCCGCCAAAGCACGTTTGAAGCATGTAGAGAGAGGGAGAGAGAGAGAGAGAGAGAGAGAGAGAGAGAGAGGGGGGTGGTGTGAGTTGGGAGGAGGTTGGGAGGGGAAAGAGAGAGAGAGAGGGGGGGGGGTAACGAATGCAATTCACAAGTTGTGCCCTACAGCAAGTAAATTAAATATGACCATTATGTTGATCGCATTATCAAATAATAATGATAACAATAATATTAATACATGTATATGAAATTTGTAAGGGGCCGAATCCACTTTAAAATCGTTTTACTTTGACAAGTGACCCTTCACCTCCTGATAATTGCTCTTTTCCTCTTTGGTGATTGCCCCTTTTTACCTCTAATAACTGCCCTACTTCTTTCTAATAAATGCTTTATTTCCTTTTCATAGTGTTCCTTCCCCTTCTCGTAATTACTCCTTTTTCATCTCTAAAAAGTGACCCGTGCCTCTTTTTCTTTTTAATAAGAGCCGCTTCCCTCTTCTCATAAAGCCCCCTTTCAGCCCTTTTCATATCTGATCAGTGCCCCCTTTCAGGTGCGATAAGTGCCCCTATTCACCTCTGATAAATTTCCCTTTTAACAAGGATAAGTGCCCCTTTTCCTTTCTAATAAGGGACATATCCCCTTTTCATAAATGCCCCTTTTTCACATCTTTTCACATGTCATAAGTGCCTTTTTTCATCCCTGGTGAGTGCTTCTTTTCAGATGTATGCAGTGCCCCATTTTCACCTCTGATAATTATCCTTTGTATTTTGACATGATTGTGCTCTTTTTCTTTTCTAATAAGTGTCTTATCCTTTTCGGCAAGGTCCCCCTTTTCCTCTCATCATTAACGTGCCCCTAATTTAAAGGGAATAAGAGCAATTTCCCCCAAAGCTCGTGTTTCCATCTCTTCCTCTTCCATCTCCTCCTCAAGTATATTTCTCTTCATCTCTCGTCTTTCTATCTATTTTCATCAATCATCTAGACATTTACAATTTAACTCTGCAGAAATCGAATCTAGTGTAGGCCTATGCCAAACAAGAAATGGGTTGGCCAAACTAATAATCAACGAGACTGTGTATTCATATGGATTCACCCCATCTACGTTCATATGTTTCATTAAATCAACATAATCATGATGCTCATTAATCATTGTTATTTTTTCTCCATCGATCTTCATCAGTAAAGTTTAATCAAAATCAATCATCCCTGTTTATGTAACCCTCAATATTTTCATTTTTTTTCTCGTTTTGTTTACATATCATTCGTCAAGCCAGGCTCTGCATTTAGTGTTTGGCAAATAAAACAAATGTCATCGGTATAGCCCCGTGTTCATGAATTCTGTGCACACGTATGCTAATAGATAGTAATATTATTCTGTGCACCGAGAAAACTGAAAAAGATTACAAAAATAATATGAGAAAAAGCAAATAAGAATATTAGAGATCAAGCCATTTTTTTATAATGCTAGTTTTTATGAGCTACAGCAAGTCGTATTAAGTGATTGGATCTGATGTTACAGCGTTTTACGGAGAGTTTGAGAAGACTTGATCTGAAGATGAAGTTAGCTTTGTTTCTCCTTCTCACAGGGGTGATCTTCTTTTCGCTTTTGCTCAATCGTTACAGTACAGCAACTGAGGGTAATAACTAAAATCCTCCAAGATATGGATATAAGGGTAGGGCAGAGTGGTGATGACGGTGATGGTGTGGCGATGTTGTATAATCACGGGTGGAAGTAGTGGCGATGGTAGTGCGGGTGAGGACTGTGTCGGTTGTAATTAACAGTGAATAAGAAGAGGTTGTGATGATGGTGGTGATGGTGGTGGTAATGATGGTGGTGATGATGGTGATGATGATGGTGATGATGATGGTGGTGATGACTAATGATGGTGGTGATGATGGTGGTGATGATGGTGGTGTTGATGGTGGTGATGATGGTGGTGATGATGGTGGTGATGATGGTAGTGATGATGGTGGTGATGACTGATGATGGTGGTGATGATGGTAGTGATGATGGTGGTGATGACTGATGATGATGGTGATGATGGTGGTGATGATGGTGGTGTTGATGGTGGTGATGATAGTGGTGATGATGGTAGTAATGATGGTGGTGATGACTGATGATGGTGGTGATGGTGATGGTGGTGATGATCGTGGTGATGACTGATGATGGTAGTGATGATGGTGATGATGATGGTGGTGATGATGGTAGTGATGACGATGGTGGTGATGGTGGTGATGATGATGGTGGTGATGATGGTGGTGGTCGTGATGATGATGATGGTGGTGATGATGATGATGTTGATGATGGTGGTGATGGTGGTGATGATGATGATGATGATGGTGATGATGGTGGTGATGATGGTGGTGATGATGATGGTGGTGATGACGGTGATGGTGATGGTGACGATGGTCATGATGATGATGATGATGGTGATGATGATGGTGGTGGTGATGGTGATGATGATGATGGTGGTGATGATGGTGGTGATGATGGTGATGATGATGGTGGTGATGATGATGGTAGTGATGATGGTGGTGGTGATGATGGTAGTGTTGATGGTGGTGATGATAGTGGTGATGATGGTAGTGATGATGGTGGTGATGACTGATGATGGTGGTGATGGTGATGGTGGTGATGATGGTGGTGATGACTGATGATGGTAGTGATGATGGTGATGATGATGGTGGTGATGATGGTAGTGATGACGGTGGTGGTGATGGTGGTGATGATGATGGTGGTGATGATGGTGATGATGATGGTGGTGATGATGGTAGTGATGACGGTGGTGATGATGATGATGGTGATGATGGTGGTGGTGGTGATGATGATGATGGTGGTGATGACGGTGATGGTGATGGTGACGATGGTGATGATGATGATGATGATAATGGTGATGATGATGGTGATGGTGGTGATGATGATGATGATGATGGTGATGATGGTGGTGATGATGGTGGTGATGATGATGGTGGTGATGACGGTGATGGTGATGATGATGATGGTGATGATGATGATGATGATGGTGATGATGATGGTGGTGGTGGTGGTGGTGGTGATGATGATGATGGTAGTGATGATGGTGGTGATGATGGTGGTGTTGATGGTGGTGATGATGGTGATGATGATGGTGGTGATGATGGTAGTGATGACGGTGGTGATGATGGTGATGGTGATGATGGTGGTGGTGGTGGTGGTGGTGATGATGGTAGTGATGATGGTGGTGTTGATGGTGGTGATGATGGTGATGATGGTGATGATGATGGTGGTGATGATGGTAGTGATGACGATGGTGACGATGGTGATGATGATGATGATGATGGTGATGATGATGGTGGTGGTGGGGGTGGTGGTGATGATGATGATGGTAGTGATGATGGTGTTGATGGTGGTGATGATGATGGTGGTGATGATGGTGATGATGATGGTGGTGATGATGGTAGTGATGACGGTGGTGATGATGATGATGGTGATGATGGTGGTGGTGGTGATGATGATGATGGTGGTAATGACGGTGATGGTGATGGTGACGATGGTGATGATGATGATGATGATGGTGATGGTGATGGTGACGATGGTGATGATGATGATGATGATGGTGATGGTGATGATGGTGGTGATGATGGTGGTGATGATGATGGTGGTGATGACAGTGATGGTGATGGTGACGATGGTGATGATGGTGATGATGATGGTGATGATGATGGTGGTGGTGGTGGTGGTGGTGATGATGATGATGGTAGTGATGATGGTGGTGATGATGGTCATGATGATGGTGGTGATGATTATGGTAGTGATGATGGTGGTGGTGATGATGGTAGTGATGATGGTGTCGATGGTGTTCTTGGTAAAGAGATGGAAAGGTGAATATAATACTTGGATCCTCTGTAGACATAATGTAGACTGATGTGGTTGTTGTTGTTATTGTAATGTTGTTGTGGTTGTTATTGTTGATGATGATGATGATGATGATGATGATGATGATGATGATGATGGTGATGATGATAGTGATGGTCGTGGTAGTCGGTAAAAGTGGCTGTGGATGTTGATGATAGTAGTGGAATTGTTGGTTATGGTGATTATAACTACGTTAACTTTATGCAATGCTATACCTCAATATTCTTTATTTTAGAGCATTTACAAAAATCATTTATTCGATTAGCAAGTACTAGTAATATATTTACAGAATCTACATTATATTTAACCACTCATTATTTGTTTTTATTTTCGATTTTTATGGAATTGAAATTAGGACAAAAGTTTTTAATAGATTATTTTCAATAAATTACAAAGTCATGAAGTTAATAATTCACTTTCAAACATTGCTTCGATTTTGTAACCACTTTACTTTGAATAGGTCGCGGCGAAAGGGCTGAGGTACTGGATTGCCCTGGTAACTTGGAATATTTAAACAACGGGAAAGGATGCGGTTCTCCATCATGTTTTATCCCCGGCGAGATGTCGTGTAACAGAGCTGCTAGTGCAGGATGTTTCTGCCCAAAAGGTGAAATTTCGTCAACAAAAAAGTGTTTCGCTTTGTTCTTTTGTCTTGGTTTTATTTTGTTTTGTATGTTTGTGCGTGTTTGTTTATTAGTGCAAGAGATGGGGAGGTTAAGTCCAAGTTAATATTAAGACAATTTTTCATACGTTCACTTCAGAGTTATGGGCAAAAATATCACTTAGACATTGTACATTATACATGTGTTTTTCCGATATGGGGTCTTAATTGGGTGACGCTGGCGTTATAATTTGTGTTAGTTTCTTTATGGGGAGAAGTTTCTTTGTAACAGTTAGTCATACTATAGGCGGGGAAAGGGAGGGTGCTTAGTTTGTAACCTTTGTTTTGTAAGTGTTAGGGTTGTTTGTCTACATTGTGATACTGACGCACAGGGGCGGCGGAGCGTCTCTCAAAGTTGGGGGGGGGGGGTCAACAAAAAAGGGCACATTCTGGGAAAATGGGGGCACTTATCTGAAGTAAAAGGGGGCTCTTTTCCTAAGTGTAAAAAGGGTTACTGTGCCCCTCCCCCACCACCGGATACGCCGCCTCTGCTGACGCATGTAAAATTCATCACCCTCAATATGGTGAATTAAATAATAAATCTTCTTCCTTCATAAATGCAGGAATGGTACTGTGCGGATTGAAGAACCGCGCCATCTGCGTCGAAGCATCAGCATGCGGATCGTCTGCTTGTCCAGTGTGTGAGAACGGATTGAAGTGGTCTGAAGAACAAGGCGGTTGCATCCCTGAATAAATTATGCACCTTTGCCATGGTAATTAGGTTTTAAATTATAGAGAACAACTTTAGGCCCTAAATGAACATGGAAAAAGACGGAGTGAAGAGACAATTAACCAATAACTTAGAAGTAGGCCTGATTTAATAATGGTCCTGGTAATTGGTCCAAAAGCTGAAACTGAAATAGTGAGACATTAATAGTTTAATATTTTGATTACAATCCTGATTATCAGCCAAAATATAAAAATAATCTGTAATAAATACTTAATACCTATTGTTCAGGGGGATGAATGAATAGATCACCCCCCCCCCCCCATGAACAATAGGTATATACAGATCGACACTCATGTCGATCACCCTGATTGCATTATCCGACCAAATAGATAGACCCGCTCCATTAGCATAATAGGTATATAGGTTAATTAAATTTGTTTTTGGTTTCCATTGATTCATTCATCAGTAGTGGCATGGGTATTGAATAAAGTGTATTATCATATTCTTCATTGAAAATGTCACAACTTTTACTAATCAAATGTGTAAAGGTCGGATTACAAAATCAAAGCGAAAATAAGGTAATGCAGATAATTACACAAATATATTGGCACCTTCCATTAGATTATTGTCGATAATCCACTTAAACAAAAAGGATTTGACTACTGCTAAAGAATTTAAATTCCCCTGTTATTAATCAATAGAAAATATGACGATAAGTTTTTAAAGCATATAACTAGGAATATTATGATAACGAGCAACTTACTACACTGATGAATAGCAAAAAAGCCACTCCGTTTGAATATTCATATAATAGCAAAGTAAAATTTTTATTACAATAATTAACTGTTGATGATTTTTATCCGATTTATTACATTGGAGTGCTTTTGTTTCTTTTAAATTAAAATAACCATCACAGCTTTGAGGTTCAAGTATTATTTGATGATTTTTTTTTTTCGGATAGAGGGTTTATGGTTTTTGAAGACCCTACAAATTCATTAAATAATTGTCATTAGATATTATATCCTTTTTGTAATTCCAAAATATAGTGAAATCGAATTTCAATTAATGTCACTTCCATCGAAAGTAATAAAGAATAACAAATTAAAAAATCCTTTCATATTGCGTGTATAGCCTAAAAGTGTTTCATCTGTACGGTAGCAAATTATACTTTCTTAAGAATAAGCAATTAAATCCAGACTTTAGAATAACGAAGTTAAAAGTACTTATCATAATCCGATACTTCATACTAATTTGAAAGTAATTTGACCTTGTTAGGACCTTTATCCTTATCACAGCTTTTAGTTTCTAGAGTCTTGAACAGAAGAGCCGGTTACGAATAATAACTTTAAAATGCTTGAAATTATGTAGAGTTCGATTATGATTCGATTATGAAATTAGCGTTACTAACCTTGTTATATTAAGATAATGTGTGTACACTGTGCCGTTATTTAATGTATTTTCTACCGATTATCTTTATTTTCATAATTGGCACTTTTATACAGTATACTACTCAGATCAACAGCTATCAATATTAAGCCACATCTTAGTTTTGATAAATGAAACAAGGTATATTTTATGATAAGTTTGTAAAGCTAAGAACGATATTTTCACTTTAATTCAATCCAGGCACCGAACAGAGGAACAATAATTATAATTTTAAGTTTTTCTCGGAAATGCCTCTTTCGCGGAAGTGCAAAAGAAGTACCAGTACTACATACGCATCGGATTTTGCCCAAGGTATAATGTGTGGAAGTAAGAAGTTTAGATGTTACTATATCTTATATGAATATACAAATATTATGGAGTTTCGCTTGTGACTGAAGTGGCTGCTACTTGGAATTTGAAGGTGGAAGTCGAGAGATCTTCAAACGCGAGGTTCTAAAATGGTCTTTTGACAGTGGCCAGTTTCCATTGAAGGGCAGTCATCGATTAATGATTGCGTGAGATTTTTTAAAATAAAATTTGTAATAGTTAACTTTAAATTTAAACGTGAACAGTTACTTATGAAATGCCGAGTATGTCTTTGGAAATGAGGAAACATGGCCTAGTGTAGTGTTCATCTTTTGAAGGATATAAACACTGAGAGATATTCACATGAAACCTCAAGAAATATCAAAATAGATTAATAGAACATTTAGAATTTTCTTAAAGAATAGTATGAATATTTTGATATTTATGTTGACATTAGAGAGAACTGAAACTATTATGATTGATTTGTTCTTTATTGTTTGGGGGGGGGGGGGGGACAAAAAATGTGATTTACAAAGACTTTGATACGCCAACCATTATTATTTGAAAATAATCATATCTGGTATGCGATGATGATGGTGATGATGGTGATAGTAGAAATGATCATTTATAGTACAATCACTACAACTATAATCACCATTACAACTTTGTCATTTTCTTCAAACTATACTATCGCTATTATCATCGCCATCAACACCTAATAAATATTCATCAGCAGCAATATCATCGTCATCGTCGTCGTTGTTGCCATCCTCCCCATTATCACTATCATCATCAGTAGCAGGAGCAGAAGCAACAGCAGTAAATATTTGTAATTTATTACTATTTCTCTGTTCTGTTCTCCAAAGTAATCCTTGCAAAAGGCAAAAGGGATGATCATACATTATAGAATCTGCATGCATGCAGGTTAAGCATTCCCGGAAGATTCCCGGAAGCTATTATAACCAACATAATTACAAATTAAAAGATTACTGTCACTAAATAGTACACTACGTCCGATTCAGATACGGAAGCGAGAGGGGAAAAAAAAACGTGTAATTGGACGATAACTTGCAATTTGGTGCTGTAATTATATCTATCTTTATGTGATATTTGGGTGTAACTCTTATTCAGCGATAATTAAAAGCCAGTAATGGTTTTCATGGAAAAATCATTAAAGTAACAGGATAACATCGGTTTCAATTTCCATATTTCATGAGGTATATATCCTTAATGGGATCTATAAATATTAATCTTTCATAATAGTAGTCAAAAATAAAACGGTTTCTCTCTAATACCATTTATGGAAGTTGCATGAAACAATTAAAGGATGAACAATTATTTCCAAGTGGTCATTTTCTCTCTCCTTTTCGAAAAATAACAAAAAGCATTAGCACCAAAATAATAAAATAATAATAATAGGCATTTCTATAGCGCCATCTATCTAGATAATTCTATTCCGAGGCACATTTATTATTACCCTGGCTTTAGCCTAGCAGCCGTTTATACAGCGCTCCAGCATTTCAAGGAATACATTCCTGCCAGGTACACATTTACATCACCTGGGTTGAGTGTGGCAAATGTAGATCAATGTCTTGCCAAAGGACATTAGTGCCGCGGCGGGACTCGAACCGCGGACCTTGCGATCGACAGTCCGGCGACGTATCCACTCGACCAAGACACCTCATCAAGTAATTACAAAAGCCACATAAAAATTACAGACATAACAAAAGTATTAAAAGTATGAAAGAATAAAAGAACAATTAGTTTAATGCTGGTGAGAAGCCATTAACATGTCTTTTTTTGCTTTTTTTTGGTTTCTCACATGGAAATGAAAAAAAATGACTGTGTTTACCTGTAGGCCTTTTAATTTGTGTGGGTGTGCATTTTCATTCTGTTGAAAGTAGCAGTTTCGACAAGAGTACAGTATCGAAATAACAAGAGAGAGGGCGAGAGAGAGAGAGAGAGAGAGAGAACAGAGAGAGAGTGAGAGAGAGAACATAGAGAGTGAGTGAGAGAGAGAGAGAGAGAGAGAGAGAGAGAGAGAGAGAGAGAGAGAGAAGAGAGACCGTGGTGAGACAGACAGAGACAGAGAGAAAAGGAGGATAGGAGGTGGGAAGGGGACAAAGAAGACATTATCTATCTTTACTAATTTTCTTCTATTTTGTTTAGAAAAACATTGTATTATTATCCGGGGTGGGTAGGGGGAGAGGGGAGGGGCATTTTAACGTACACCGGTTCGATGCCGTGCTGGATAAAATACTGCCATTATATCGTTTTGAGACTATATTTTCTGAAATTTCAAACGACCTCGTGCTTTGATATTAGATAGGTGATGTCAATTCGGTATGTTATAAAAAATAATGTTCAAGCCGAATTGTATCCCGATTGCGATAAACCTAGTCATTTTGAAATTAACATTCTTCAATATCTTCTAATGTATAATTGCCAATTTCATTTCCATTATCTTAACTAAATGTTCGTCTAACGTTATTGATGTGAAAAGCAACAACATGGCATTAATGGGAAATTTACTCTAGCTATATACACAAAGATTGATCTTTGCCTCATTTGCGCAGCTACGGAAGGCACAGATGCACGTACGTGACCCCTCCTATCGAATAACCAAAGAGAAAACAAGAAGAGAGAGAGAGAGAGAGAGAGAGAGAGCGCGCGAGAGAGAGCGAGAGAGAGAGAGAGAGAGAGCGAGAGAGAGAGAGAGAGAGAGATAGAGAGAGAGAGAGAGAAACGACGTATTCCTCCATGCACCCCTTTGCCTTGTTTTATTCACCTCATATAAGACCGAGTCATAAGTCTCTTCGATGACTGTACACACACTTTTACCACTGTTCATACCGTTTAACAAGCATTCATAAAACATTGATAATTAGATGACAAAACATGAACGACTTTTTAATAAAATGTATCAACGTGTATATAGATCAACCTTTAAAAATTCTCACTGGTCAAAGCTCACCACCTTCTGAGAAAAAAACACAAAAAGGATGGAAATTTAGATTTTTTAATGAAATTAAATCCCAGAAAAAAGAAAATTATCCAATCATGTCGACATTTCTTTTATCGTTTCATTTCTGTTTCCTTTTCGTGTCTCAAATAATTTATGGGCGTGGCTACATCACCGCAACCTAGTTGTACAATGATACCGCAAAAACGGAAATAATTGGCTCGATTGATTTGCCAAAGGAAAACAAAATAGCGCGAAAACCCAACCAGATTTTAAACGTGTGACATCACAATAGATGGATGACATGCCACTGACCTTATATTCAATTGTTCGTTATTAAATGGTTGTGTGTAATGAGTCATACAGTATGCTCCTGTCTATTTTTGGGAGGGTGGAATTTCCAGGCACCACGAGCGCGTTTTACGTCAAGAAAAAAATTACTATAAAAACACTCTACTTCCACTTTGGGGAAAACCCACCGCACATGTTTCGTTTCAGTAGCCCCATGGAATTCGCATATTGAACAGCGAATTTCGTTTGGAAAACATCAACACAGTCATGTTTAAATATGACAGTTTTATCTCGGGTTAGATTATCAAAGCTGGCAACCTTTGTTGTATTCTAAAGATAACCGTGAACACGGGTTGAAACGCATATTGCAATACACCGGTTCGTCATTTATTTGTGAAGTTAGCTTCAATAAATTTGTTTGTTTACTGAAGTCATTAAAATGTAAAGGTTCTCGTTTTGGTCCATTTATTTCTTACCTTTGTAGTTCTTTAATTAGACAGTCAGAATGTGTGACTTTTTGCTTGGAACGGTTTGGGAACTTGAATGATTTGCGAAAGGAAGTATAAGGTTTCTCAAGTTATTATTTCAATTTTGGGTTATTTCACTCTCTTTGGAAATGAACAACAAGACGTCGGGAGGTTCGCATTTCTTAAAAATAAATGGTTTGGGTTTTTGTTGTTGATTAAAACGACACATACTTTCACTTACGGGTTTAACTCAGTAATACGAAGAGGGATGAATATCTTATATCTTATATATCTCATTTAAGGGTTGGATCCACGAATTTGCGAAACTGAAGGGGTTTCACAATATTCCTAAAATATGCTGTCAACCTAAAAAAGTTAATAAAACTGTCATGACCTCCAAAAGGGGGGGGGGGGTGGGCACATGTTTGTACTTGCTTACTAAACATATGCTACTTTGATTTTAAAAGAGGGGACGAGCCTTTTTTTTGGGGGGGGGGATCCGCCCTCCCCAAATATGAATATATATATATATATCCGCCTGTACATGAGTGTCAGATCATAATAGTATACCAGAATATTTCATTAATTCATCGTCACTTACAATGGTAGTGAAGTTTTTTCCTTATGTTATTCTATAGATACGAAATTACGAATATATGTATTTATTTGTATTTTTGTATTTTATCAGACAGCAACTGATCCCGAATGCTTACTTTACCAGCATTCATTATCTCAACATAATTATAGGTCACATAAACAATCGAAGCATTATGACGTCAGAAGTTTTCAACCATAGATGTCAAATATTTCAAAGTCCACATTCATAGGCTATATAATATCTCTTACATTTAGGCAAACCCTTGAATGTATTTGAGATTGGTAAATAAATTAGTTAAGTCCGGGGCACCTTTTATAGGGGAATCGAGGCTAAATTTGTAATATCTCTCATTAGAAAGAGACTTATGCAGGTTGGAATTTAAAACAAAACAATTCTCACCTTCACAGTAATCAGCACTGAAAAAATATTATTTTTATGTTAAACTTTATAGACAATTTCAAAGAGGATAGTGTGTTTTTTCTATTAAAGTCCGCTGTGCAAAAAATTAACAGCAATTCCAACGTAGAGGAAAACAAAAGAAGCAACAGAATGAAATACCAACCAGCAGATTATCTTAAATTACTTCTGTCACTAGACGAAACATCTTATATAATTATGATGATGTTAAAGGAGAGGGGTTACTGGATATTCATGTTATTATTACCAATACCTCGAACTAGACGGTATTGCATAGTAAGGCAAGCAATAGGAATATCAAATTGTCTGAACACTTCACAAGCACAATTCATTAGTTGAGGTCTTACTTCGATTGGGACTTGCATCATTTCACTTGCGTCTATTTTAGAATGTCGTAAGCTTTGTTTGATACAGCTGTCTACTATGCCAACACTCCCGCGCTATCATTTTTATCGAGGGGTTCTCCCTGCATGGTATCGGGTTAGAAGCTCTAGACTTTAGCAATAGTCGTTGCTCTAACGCATTTAATCTTTCCGTCTTTGATATAGTATATAGGAAGAGAAAGAAAAATAGCGGGTGGGGTAAGGCCACTGTGTCGTCACAATGGGTGGTTTTATGCATTATTATGAAATATACTCTTCAAATTTGTTTGAAGTGTTTTTTTATGTAAAGGAAAAGTCGTTGAGATAATTCCAAGACTCCCAAGAAAGTAAGAATCAAAGATTTAGGAAATGTTCCTCATAGTTCTAAATCTGACGGTAATGTTAGGGATTTGCTGGAGCTTGGATCGACAATGTATATATACATGTAGTAAAAAAACAGTTGCGATTTTCAGTTTAATTCAATATTTAAATCAGGTTTTATCAATAACAATTATAAAAAAACATTCAAAATATAATACATGATTGTATTCCAAAGACGAATGTTTACAATAATGGATAACATAGACAAATAAATGTAAACAGTAAACATCAAAGTCATAAATGAAAAGTATAGATGAAAGGTAGTTTGTCACACAATATGTCTACTTGAACTCCTTCAAGAAAAATCTTAAAATATATCTATTATCCCTTTAATTTGTTTTTATATATTTCAATACCTATTTTTAAAATCAAATACAATTTTGTAAACTACCATACGAGAGAGATGGGAGAGGCGGGAGGTGGTTGGGAGGGAGGGGTAGATACTCTTTATTATGTTATTATAAATTATCTGTGTAATTATTTTGTTCAAAATTTTGAACGCCTGAATCAACAAGCTAAAACATGCTTTCTACAGGTGCTTCCTTTTCCTGCTACGCATTT